TGGAGGCATTGCCATGGGCCGTCTGGAGGCGGTTGGAGGCGGCGATGGGACATTCACACCGATCAGCAGCTACGTAGGCGTCATTACTCGGGAGGGGCTGGCAGCCAAGGGGCTCCCGCTGCCACGTCAGCTCTTCACCGTTAGCCCGACCAACAACCCCATCCCGTACCTTCATGAGGCAGAGGCGGCCCTGGCCGCTGCTGCCACTGGCACCTCCCTCGCCGGCCCAGCCGATAACACCCAGCAACACCGGCTTTCAGAGCACATGCAGCGGCTGACAAACACTGCGGTCCCGGAGCTGCTGAATGCCGTACGCATCGCCCAGCCGGCTGTCGTACAGGCGGCGCAGGCGGAGTGGGAGGCTGCCGTACGGCGGGTAGAGCCGCATGTGGCCCGCATGGCCGAGGCCCTCCTAGCTGCCGTACTGCCGCCAAACAAGCGGAACAGACGGCGGGCAGCGGCAAGGGGTCCCAGCCTGCACATCGGCGGCTTGATCAAGGCGGTTGCCACGGATTTTAATTACAAGAAGATCTTTGCGGAGCGCTGTACGGGCAGCAAGCGCGAGTACGGCATCGCGATTGCCGTGGATGTGTCGCTGTCCATGCACGGCCAGCTGGCGCACTGTGCGATGGATTCGCTGGTGATGCTGCTGACGGCGCTGACGCAGCAGCTGGGCTGCGAGGACTTTACGCTGCTGACTTTCGGGCAGGACGTGCGGCTCGTCAAGCCAGCTGCGGAACCATGGGACGGTGCTGCGATGCTGGCGCTGCTGTCACAGCTGCGCTTCGACGCCAACGCCGCCACTCAGGACGCGGCGGCAGTGGATGCAGCTGTGGAGCTGCTGGCGTCGCACGGTTCACGCCGCGCGCCCAAGCGGCTGTTCATGCTGACAGACGGGTACGGCAGTACGGGACTGCAACTGGCGGCGGCGTTACAGCGGGCGGAGGCTGTGGGCGTGGAGGTTGTGGGTGTGGCGGTGGGGTTGGAGCGCAGCCACGTGCCCAAGTGCTACGCGCGGTGGGTGCATGCGGCGCTGCCTGGGGAGCTCCCTGACGCGCTGGAGCAGCTGTACACGGAGGGGGATGGCGGCGAGGGAGCCTGGCAGGAGGACGGCGCGGATGAGGTGGAGTACGGCGCGCTGCTGGCGTCAGGAGAGGACGATGTGGAGGCCATCCTGCGCAGCCAGGAGCGCGTGTTTGGGGACGTGCTGGATAAGCTGGGTGAGTGGGAGTGCTGACAGGAAGAGGACTGAGGGCGGCGCGAGGGGTGCGGCTAAAAGGCGCTAGCGCAAAGGGTGTTGTCCAGGTTTCTTGGGTGCTATAAGGGGGTCCATGTTGCTTTAGAGCAATGAGAGCATGAGAGCGATTGAGCGGTCCTCATGGCCCCGTGCAAGTCAGCCATGTTTACAATGCATGTCGCCCATCTTCATGGAAGCATGTCGCTGGGAATACCTCCGCCGTATCGCCCCTTCAAACCACATCCCGCCTTCCTCCCTCTTCCCCCCCACCCACAAGGCGCCGACAAGGAGCTCAAGCTGCAGCATAGCTCCCCCGACTCCATGACCCTGGACGTGGCCTTCCTGCTGGACGTGACGGGCTCCATGGGCGCCTGGCTGGAAGCCTGCAAGGCCAACATCCGGGCCATTGCGGCCGACATCGTGCCGCGCATCCACGCCAAGTACCCCGGCCTCAAGCTGGAGGTGCGCTATGCGGTGCTGGCCTACCGCGACGTGGGGGACTGCCGGCAGTTCGAGCAGCAGGACTTCACGGAGGATGTCAACCTGCTGCAGGCGTGGGTAAGCAGCAAGAGACGATGAGGCCGGAATAAGAGCGAACCGAGGATTGGCCGGCTGTCTTGAAATCAGGGGAAAGCGAAAGTGTTGGGCCAGAAGATCAACTCCATTCCAGTGCGCGTGGCAGTCCCGCTGTAGGACTCTATAAAGATGCTCCGCCTGAAGGCGTATGCACCACCTAGCTCGCCCAATGCCTTGTTGAATTGTTTTCTTAAATCCTGTCCCCCTTGGCACCTTCCAGCTGAGGCACCTTAGTGCCTACGGCGGCGACGACGGCCCGGAGGATGTCCTGGGCGCACTGGACCGCGCCGCAACCAGCCTGGACTGGCGGGCCAAGGCGCGCTTCATCGTGCTCATCGCCGACGCACCAGCACACGGCACCGAGTGCAACGACGACCCGGGGGACCGCTACCGGAGCGGTGTGCCCGGCGGTTCCTCCGTGGCAGACGTCATGAGGCGCCTGACCACCAAGGAGGTGCCCATCGAGCTGATGCTGTGCAAGGTGGGTTGGTGGGAATGGGGCGTGGGTGCAGGGCGAGGGATGGGGCTTCGGGTGGCATGGTTGAAGGGTTGGATGCCTTGTGATGGCAGCGGCGTCTCCTGTGACGGGGTTCGCCTGATGCCTGGACTGCCATTGAGCTTTAGGGCTGGTGTGCTTGCCGTTTCGTATGTCCAGTGCGCTCTACTCGTTCGTGGGCACACCCAAGCTTGCACCTCGCTCGACCCGCAGCAAGCAAGCGTGCCGCTTGTAGCATCCGCCTAAGACAATGCCCCAATCCCAATTCCGCACCGCAGGTCCGCCAACGCACGCTCGACAAGATGGAAGCCGCCATGCGGCGGCACTACGACAACCGCCAGGACAACCGCTACATCCGTGCCGTACAACTCTTCGATGACAGCAAGATGCCCGCCACACGCTTCCACATCGTGTTCTGCCTTGACGAGTCGGGTTCTATGTCTGGTCAGAAGTGGCAGGACGTGCTGTCGGCCTACAACCAGCTGCTGCAGCGGCGGCGCAACGACCAGGGCCTGGAGGACCTAGTCACGGTTATCACTTTTGACAGTTCTGCGCAACTGAGGTGCACCCGCACCCCCATCAGCTCAGCACCCTCAAGCTTCAACTACCGTGGCGGCGGCACGTGCTTTGCCCCAGCGCTGCAGCAGGCCCACAGCGCCATGGCTGGCCAGCCGGCCGACTGCACGCCGATGCTGGTGTTCATGTCTGACGGCCAAAACGCCGATGCACCAGCCACCACGTCCGCCATGCAGCAGCTCGCCGCGGCCTTCGGCGGCCGTCGCAACCTGCAGGTGCACACCATCGGCTTCCAGGCTGGCGGCGGAGAGGCCATGCTGCGGCAGATGGCGGGGCTGGTCCCGGGCGGGCTCTTCCACTCCTGCCAGTCAGGCGTGGACCTCTCGCAGGCGTTTGTGAGCATTGCGGCGGGCTGCACGGCAGTGGACGGACTGGTACGGCGGTTCGCTGAGATCCTGTCGGAGCAGATCTCGCTCAAGGTCATGCACGACTACCTGTGAGGGCCGAACCGCCGCTGGAAGTGCTGCTATTGTACATTATGTTGTTCTTGTATGGGTACCTTATACGGTTTGTGTTCCCTTAGGGCGGTACGACAGACCGCATGTAGGTTGTCGGGATCGGCCGGTGTGCAGTGATGGGCCGGTATGATGGAATGGGAAGGTGGGAGGTGTCGTCAGCTGCAGGAAAGCTCATGTAGTTGTTCAGGATTGTTGGTGCAGGCGGCGCCAGTACGTAGGGTGGCGTCTACCTCCTAGAGTCTTTTCGTATAAGAATTGCAGTAGGGGTCTGGCCTCAGGGTTTTGCAACTAGAACTACGCGACAAGAGCTCTTGTTACAAGCTTTCGGGGCTTGGAAGGCCCAGACGAGCCAGCAGGGAGCAGGCTCATGGACCGCCACAACGCCAGGATAAACTTTTCGTCGTTCCGCCCCCAGGTTGTCGGTACTTGTTGTATAGCCTTGACTAGCAGGGAAGCCTTCCAGCGCATCTCGCAATGTGTCGTAGTACGGTTGCTTTCACGGTGTCCTACAGCACGGGTTTTTGGGATCCTAGGCACCGTTGCCCGTGAGGGAAACCCCTTACACGACGTCAATGCGCATAATGTTACAAGTTGATCGGTTCATGTTGCTCAGTGTTGAGTTGGTCGTTTGGACTTTACCCTGTAAATGAGTGGAGGTTGGTCTTCTTGGGCTCGTGCCTTTGGCTTTGTAACTTCTACGGGGGCGGGGCGTACGCCCCTACTGTGCCCCACACTGTTGTCAAAGATTCAGACTGCTAGTCTAGTCGCGCAGTTGCGGCGGGCTCCTGGACCCGTGTTGGGGCGCTACTCAAGGTTTGGACAACTTGAGTGAGCCCCAAACACACGTGCAGCTGCTCTTGCATACATGTAATGTTGTACTTCGTCCGTGCACATAGTGCAATAGGCAAGGTGATTTTGCGCTATCGTGGCTATGAGGCATACGAGGATACGAGAACGGATCGAGGGGTCAGGGTTCGGCCGCAAGCCTTACTAACGAGCTGTCCTTAGCGCTCGGCACAGAGCGTCCCCGGGCTTGCCAGAACATCTCCCAAGAACATCTCCCAAGGACGAAACCTTCAAGCTATTGTTCGTGTGTCTGCGAAGCAAATAAGTTGACGTGGTGTTCGAAAAAGCCGAAGGCGATAAGCAAGTCTGACGTGCTTGCATGGCGGACCCATGACACTGTTGTATCAGGCACGGTCACAGGCATAAAGCAAAAGCTAGGCCAAAAGCTAGGAGAAATGGAGAATCTGTCACTGGCACGACGAGCATATGGGAGGTTGACGGTTAAAAGCTAGTTTAGCAAAAACGGCGTTTGCGAGCAGCCCCTAAGCAGTACGCCATGGGGATACCTCCCTTGGCGTTGGGGGAAGTAATGATTGTTCCAGCATGCATGGGTGTAAGCTAGCGGGGAGTTCTGGCAGCTTCTTACCGCTCCAGGAAGGGTGTGTCTTCAAGCAGGACCGTCACAAAGGTCATGGGCTATCGCAAACAATACACCGGTACTGCATTTCACGGCAACAGCTTAACATTCTTGAAAGGTGTCCGGGAGGCGAAAAGCCGTTCATTCTAATAGTTTTGTACGACTGGCGCTCGTTACGTGAATTAGGTAATGGCGTCAACTAGCTTCGGCACCTGCAGCCTGCTGCAGCCACTGTTTTTTCCGAGCTTTTGCGCAGTGACCTTGTGACCTTCACCTAGTATGTAGTTCGCCAGTACTTCTTTACTTTCCTCGTGAACACACTACCCTGCAAATTCAATCACTACGAGGGGGCTCCCAAAAGAGCGCGAAATACTAGCAAAGCATGACTGACAAGCAACAAGAGACACCGAGGGCGGAAGATGCGGATCATAGCCTGGAGGACGTCGTTGTTCCTGATGAGCCGGCGAAAAGCGAAGCAAAGAAGGAAGAAGTGCCTCCAGTCGGCTACCATAAGCTGTTCAGGTAAAATTATATTGAAGTATAATGGCACAGTGCCTGCGTATGTTCGGTTCAACGATGGCACACTGATTACTATCTTCCTTCCATGCAGCACTGCCGATGCATGGGATGGCATACTCATGATCCTTGGATTCATCGGCGCTGCTGGCAACGGTGGGACCTTCAGCTAATGGAACGCACTGCTTCCTGTTGTGCTGCGCTGTTCTGAGCCTGAGGATTGTTGCGTCACCCTTGCCTGCAGGCACGCTCCTTCCGCTGTTTGCCGTTGTCTTTGGAGAATTCACGGGTGGGTATGGTATTGCGACATAAAACTTTGTTTTGGTAGATGGGGTCAAGCGGGAGTTGCTCTGGGTTTCGCCCAATTGCACATGGAGCGGGGTCTAGTGCGTAACCGCTCCTTGGGCATCATCTTCTGCGGTGCCGCAATTCCGTGATCCAAATCGGTTCCAACGGCTTGTGCTTCTGTCCTTTCCAGAACCAGCCTCCCCCACTTCTTCCTACCTAGCCCGCTCCCTACCCCCCCTCTCTCTCCCCCGTTCCTTCACCCTCTCCCGCCCCCATCCGCTTGTTCATGGCACGGTATGTTTCCTCTTTGCCCTCAGATGCATTCGGCACTGGTCCAGGCAACCCGAAGTTCATGTCGCTCGTCAGCAGCATCGCCCTCAAGTTCCTTTACCTGGGCATCGCCGCCATCGTGGGTTCCTACCTGGAAGCGGCGCTGTGGATGTACACCGGCAACCGCCAGACCAACCGCCTGCGCACGCGCTTCCTCACGGCGGTGTTGCGCCAGGACGTGGCGTTCTTTGACGTGCACTCCACCACGGGTGAGGCTGAGGGGGTGAGGCTGGGAGGAGAGGGGTTGTGTGGGGGGTAAGGCTGGGAGTAAGGCTGGGAGGAGAGGGGTTGTGTGTGGTCGGCATGGGTGTTGTGGGGGTTCCCGCCCCAATCACGAAACAAGGTGAATGAACTGCGCTCTCGGCAGTAAGCTTGCTGCCTCGTCCACCAATCCTGCGTGCATTTTCCTTGAATGCATTACTTACCGTCGCGTGCTGCTGTCCTGCCTGCCCCGCCCCGCCCTGCCTGCAGGTGGCCTGGTGCAGGGGCTGAATGAGGACAGCATCGATGTGCAGAACGCGATCAGCGAGAAGCTGGGGGCCTTCATACACCACCTGTAGGTGGAGGGTCCTGTGGGGTGGTGGTGAGGGTGCCATAGGAGGAGAGAGAGGTGTCAAGGGGCGAGAGCTTTGTTCAGGGGAATCGGATCGCAGTTATCAATCCTCCAATCGCGGCCTTCCCATCCTCCTCCCGCTCCTCCTTTGCTTCCCACCCACCCCACTACACCCCGCCACCCGCAGTTCCACCTTCATAACGGGTTTCATCATCGGCTTCGTGAAGGGCTGGGAGATGACGCTGGTGATGCTGGGCTGCATGCCCTTCCTCGCCATCATCGGGGGACTGCTGGCCAAGGGAACCCAGATGGCCAACAGCGCCTCAGCCAAGGAGTATGCTCAGGTGGGGAGGAGGAGGCAGCGCGGGGAGCCGTGGGGGAGGGGATGTGTGGGATTTGTGGGTTTCTTGGACGACTGCCTCCTCCTCTGCATGGGTCACTCCTTTTTGTACCAGAGCAGCGTTTAGGGCTGACGTACCGGTATGCTTCCCTTTCCAAACCGTAATCTCCTTTAGTTCGGTTCACATGACTTGCCGCTTATTCACTTCTTCGCAAGATGAGCGTGTTACATACGAGCGCGCTGCCGTAGTATATCGTACAGAAGGACGGACATCCGAAACCTGCCTGTCTTGTGTGCTTATGAGTCCGCATCCATACCCATCCGCCTCCATGTCGCTGCCGTACATGCAGGCGAGTGCCATTGCGCAGCAGAGCATCGCCCAGATCCGCACCGTGGCGGCCTACAACCGGGAGCAAGCGGCCATGGAGCAGTACGACAAGGCGCTGGAGGGACCCAGGAGGATGGTGGGAAGCGGGGGGGGTGCGGTTGGGTGAGGTGTCGGGTGATGCGGTTGGGTGGGGAGCGGGGCGAAAAAGGATGGGGTTATGGGGTTGGTTGCGTGCAAGGAGGGCGGCGTGTTAAGAGCGCAACGGGTTCTGGGTTCATGGGGTTGTGGGGCATGTTGGGGATGTGCTGCTCTAGTGCTTGCGCTTAGCCAACCGCGCCGCCCTACCACATGCCCTTCTACACACGCGCACCCGCAGGGTATGCGGCTGGCCTGGCTGAGCGGCGTCAGTCTGGGTGCCGTACAGTTTGTCATGTACGGCACCTACGCGGTGGGGCTGTTCTTTGGCGCCTACCGTGTGGCCGCGGACGACTACACGGGCGGCAAGGTGCTGATGGTGCTGATCGCCACCCTCATGGCGGGCTTCTCACTGGGGCAGGTAAGCGCGTGTGCGGACAGGGCGGAGAACGAGGGCATTAAGGATGGTATTACGGTCACCCGCCGAGGGCAGGATCCGGATCTGTGTGATGTAAATCTGTAAAGCACGCGGCTGTGCTAGGGTGGTCGGGTGAAGGTGTGAGTGCAGCCACATGGGTGACGGCGCTGCAAGCTGGGAGGCGTCCCTCGCTTCCGAACAGCGATGCATGAACCACAGGTTGTAAGGTAAGGTACCTGAACAAAAAATGAACACAGAATGCAAGTAAACACAAAGAAAGGTGACACGTCGTAGAGCTAGTTCAGGTTGGAGAAACGGCCGTGGCAATGCAATCTGCACAGCTGCGAGACCCTCACCTTACCAACCGAGCCTTACCGCTTGCCTCCACACCCCTCCAGGCCGCACCCAACCTCCAAGCCTTTGCCAAGGGCCGTGCCGCCGGGGGCCGCATGTTCCAAGTGATCGACCGCCGACCCGCCATCACCGACGAGGACCCCGCCTCCCAGGACTCCACCAACTCCAACGCACCAACCGCAAACGGCCATACCAAGTCAAACAAAACCAACTCCAACAACGTCACCGAACTCGCCATCGTCCAGCCCCCCAGCACCGTCAGCGGTGAAATTGAGCTCCGGGGAGTGGACTTTGCCTACCCCGCTCGTCCCGACGTGCTCCTCTTCTCCAACTTCAACCTGCATGTGCCTGCGGGCAAGACGGTGGCGCTGGTGGGCAGCAGCGGTAGCGGCAAGTCTACTGTCGTACAGCTCATTGAGCGGTTTTATGACCCGCTGGCTGGGTGCGTGATGCTGGACGGGGTGGACCTCCGCCAGCTGCCGCTCAAGTGGCTGCGTAAGCAGGTAGGAGGCGGGCGGCCCGAGCTGAGAGCTTCTTCCATATCGACTCCTTCTGCTGTTGCTACTGTTGCTGTTGCTGCTACGGCTGCTGCTGCTACGGCTGCTGCTGCTGCTCTGTACTGGAGTGTCGGAATGTTATCCACGCTTGTTTCCTGCCGCATGGCAGCTTGACGCCACATTCGGCTGCACCCGCTGTTGAGGCTGACCTCGCTCCCCCTCGCCTGCTCCTCTGTCGCCTCCGCCCATCCTTCTGTCAGGTGGGCCTGGTGAGTCAGGAGCCCACTCTGTTCGCCACCTCCATCTACGAGAACATCGCCATCGGCATGCCGGGCTGCTCGGCAGACGAGGTGGAGGCGGCGGCGCGGGCCGCCAACGCGCACGGCTTCATCTCGCACCTGCCGCTGGGCTACAAGACACAGGTCGGCGAGCGAGGCGTGCAGCTGAGCGGCGGACAGAAGCAGCGTATTGCCATCGCGCGTGCCATCCTGAAGAGCCCCAAGGTGAGAAGAGATGACGGCATGCATTGCGATCAACAAGTCGCTTACGCTGCGTATTCCGCTTTAGCCTACCTCCAGTCCTTTCCTGCCAGGACGCCATTATCTCATATCCTCACTACTCATCCTGCCCATATCCTAGGATACCGGTAAACCCGTTGCTTTTACCCCCCCCCCCTGCCCCAACCAAAGGTTTCCATGCTGCCAACGTATCTTTATGTTCGTACCGCCATCGTAGCATTTCAACCCTTCTCCCCCTTATATATTTTTCCTTCCTCCCCCTGCCCCCCCAGGTCATGCTCCTCGACGAGGCAACGTCTGCCCTGGACACCCGCTCCGAGGCCATCGTGCAGGCGGCGCTGGACCGGCTGGTGGTGGGTCGCACCACGGTGGTGGTGGCGCACCGGCTGAGCACGATCCAGGGCGCGGACGCCATTGCGGTGGTGCAGGGGGGCAAGGTGGTGGAGCGGGGCACACATGCGGAGCTGCTGAGGAACGAGAATGGTGAGGGGAGAAGGGGGGAGGGAGGAAGCGGCTGGGGAGTAGGGTGCGGCTCGCGCCCAGATTACGTGCCCGATGCTTGCGAAGGGCTACGGATCTAACCATTTCATGCCCCCGTCATCTGCATGCCGATGGATAGTGCTTGCATTCCCCTCATCTTTCCTCAACCCCTTCCCTCCTCTTCCCTCCCCCTCCCTGCCAGGCGCCTACTCCATCCTGGTAAAGCTGCAGATGGAGGCGCAGCAGCGGCAGGACGGCCCCGAGGCAGCGGCCGGCGAGGAGGACGAGGTGGACGAGGTGGAGGACCTCACCCTGCCCCCTGCTTCCACAGCACCCGCACCCGCAGCCCTGGGCACCACCAGCAGCAACATCCAAGCAGCGGCGGCGGCTCCACACAGTCACGATCAGCAGCAGCAGCAGCGGCCTGGCAGCGCTACCGGCCGTGTGGTTTCCATGGACTTGGGTGGGGGCTCCGCACGCAACGGCTCGGATGCAGTGGTGGTGATGCCCAACGCCATTCCCTCCAACGGCACCACACCCACCGGTCAGACGCCGCCTGGATCCGCTAATGCAGCTGCCAAGGGCCGGACGGGCAGCGGAAAGCCGGCAGAGGAGGGGGGCAAGAAGGGCAGCCAGGAGGGTGAGAAGGATGAGAAGAAGAAGGTGAAGGAGGAGCCGTACAAGGTGCCCTTCAAGCGGCTCATGTCGTATGCGGAGGGCGAGGGCATGTCGGTGTTCCTGGGCTGCCTGGCGTCTGCGGCGGCGGGCGCGCAGCACCCTGCGTTTGCGTTTGTGATCGCCTCCATGGTCAACATCTTTTACACACTCACGCCGGTAGGTTGGTGGATGGTGGTGTTGCGGGGTTCTTCCGGGCGTGTAAGGTGTAACCGGGACCTGGGTGTGTTGGTTGTGTCCGGGCGGTGAGAGGTGGGGACACAGCCTGGTTAAGAAAGGGCTATGCGCTTTCTGTACCCCTCTGCCTGCCTGCCTGGTGTGCCCCTCTTACTACTCGCCTTCCCATCATGTCTCCTGTCCCCTTGCTCCTCCCCCTCCTCCTTTCCTTGCCACCCAACAACAGTCGGAGCTGAAGCACGAGGCGTCCTTCTACTGCTGGATGTTCTTTGTGATCGCGATGGGCGCCTTCTCGGCGCTGCTGGTGCAGCAGGCGGCGTTTGGTCGGGTGGCGCAGAAGGTGTCGGGGCGGGTGCGTGTGGCGCTGTTTGGAGCCATCCTGCGGCAGGAGGTGAGGCCGGCAGGTTGACTCGAGGCTGGGGACAGGGTTGTAAAGTGAGGTTGCCGCACGGATGGTGAGGAGAGTTGGAACGATGAACAGCAGCCGGTAGGTTTAGTACGTGACCCGCTCCACTCAGCACTCACATACGCGTCTACCAGTACCTTCCTACTCGCGGCCAGTTTTCTTAACACACGTCTCCCACCTGAATCCACTGCACGAGCCCAACAGCGCGCCTTCTACATTCCCTTCCGCACTCCAACCCCCACCCCCACTGGCTTGGCTAATGCGGGCTGGGCGGGTCGGGCTGGCTCACATGTTGCAAACCATGATGACGCCTAATCACTTACCACCTCCCCTCCCCGCTCCCAGGTAGCCTGGTTCGACGACGAGGACCACGCCAGCGGCAAGCTCACCTCCAACCTGGCCACCGACGCAGCCTACGTGCGGGGGGCGGTGGGTGACGTGTTCGGCGTGGTGTTCCAGAACGTCTCTACGCTGGCGCTGGGCTACCTGGTGGCCTTTGCGTACGACTGGCGCATGGCGCTGCTCATCACGGGTGGGTGGGGGGGGAGGGTTGGGGGGTGCTGGGAAACCCGTGAGGGGGTGGGGGGGGGGGTGACTAGGACGCCCGTGAGGGGGGTTTGGTGAGCTAGTGACAGGGTTGGGGTGCAGGGTGTTGTTTGTGCTCTGCTTGAATAGGGGTAGGGTAGATAGGAGAGAGCGGGTACTGCAGGGTATGGCGCTGCTTACTGCCGGTGGAGAAGAAGAGGACGTGCCCATGTAGCTGCCCCGCTGCTTTCACTCCTTGTCTGCACATCCAACATGCACCACCCTTACCGCCCTCCTTTTACCGCCCCCTTACCGTACCCTCCTACCTGCGCCCTCTCCCCCCCTACACCTACCCCCCCTGTCGCCCCCCCCCCGCGCAGGCATCCTCCCCTTCCTCACCCTCAGCATGTTCATCCACCTCAAGTTCCACACCGGATTCACATCGGACGCCGACAAACTCTACGCGGGCGCCAACCAGATGGTCACCGAGGCCTTCGCATCCATCCGCGTCATCCACGCGTACAACCTGCAGGGCTTCGTTTCGGGGGAGTACGGCAAGATGATTGTGAGTGGGGCAAGGAGAGACTAGGGTGGAGAGCTGAGTAAGGGACACGCATGCTGGGATGGATTCAAAAAGGTCCGGATAGATGGGGCACGTTGATCTGACTGTTTTTCCGGTGGTCATGATGTTGTTGAACGTTGTACATGTTGCCCATTCCTAATCCCGTCCTGGCAGTTGCAAGCTAACAAGATGCTGGTACGGCAGAGCAACGTTGCGGGTATCTCCTTCGCCTACTCCAACTTCCTCATGTTTGGTGAGTCCTTGTCGCGGCGGTCCCGCATCCGCACCCGAGCTTGCTTTGCGCTGGGTTGGTTGCACTGCCTCTGTCCAATGTGTGCAACAATGCAGACCGTTGTAGGCAATTATCGGTAAACCATTACTCTGTCGTCTTGGTCACAATTCACACAACCTTACAACCTGCCTCAACCGTCTCCCCCCCATCCCCGCAGGCATGTACTCCCTGATCATCTACTTCATGGGTCATGAGATCCGGCACGGCTGGGTGGAGTTCGGGGACGCGCTGAAAGCCTTCATGGCGATCCTACTGGCGGCGATGGGCATGGCGCAGGTGGGGGGGGCAGAAGGATACCCACTTGGGTGGGGGAGGAGCACAGGGTCCGGGAGGAGTGGGGGTGGCTAGGGGCCGTACTGTATCTTGTGCTTTTGCAGACACGGTCCGAGCGAGAGGCTCCGAGCGTTGTGGAGTGCAGAGTTATACCCTCGTATTCTCCCTGTAGGCTTTGCCGCCTTGCCTACCGTACTAGGCTGCTCCTGGCACCGGCTACGCCTTCCATTCTCGCTCCTAACCATCCCCCATTCCCCCTGCTGTCTACCCTGCGCAGGCCTCCCTGTCCTTCCCCGACCTGGGCAACGCCAAGGGTGCGGTGCAGCGCATCTTCCCCATCCTCGACCGCAAGCCGGCCATCGACAGCGCCGACCCCGCCGGCATCCAGCCCGACCCGCAGGTGCGTCCTGGTGGCGCTACCAGACTACTGGAGCTGCGGTTCATGTGGCTACCGGCGTCTAGAAACAAATTCATACTTCTTTCCATTTGTCTCCTCTCTTCCTCACTACCCAATCAGTTACTACCCACCCACACCTGCAATGCAGACCCTGCGCGGAGAGATTGAGTTCCGCGACGTGCGCTTCGCCTACCCCTCGCGTCCCTCCGTCGTCATCTTCAACCACTTCAACCTCACGGTGGGTGCCGGCCGCGTGACGGCGCTGGTGGGCGAGAGCGGCAGCGGCAAGTCGACGGTGGTGGGCCTCATCGAGCGCTTCTACGACCCGCTGGCGGGAGAGGTGACGCTGGATGGTACGGATGTGCGGCGCTACAACCTGCGGTACCTCCGCGCGCAGGTGTGGTGTGTGGGGGGGAGAGGGCGGGCGGCCGGGTGGAGGTTGCATGCGTGTGGATGGTCGTGTGGTGTATGTTTGGTGGGCGGCCGCGGCTGTTCTTTGAGACATGCAGGCCTGGCATGCATTGCATCATGCGTCTTTGTTGCTGTTTATGTCCCCTTTCCCTGTGTCGCTGCTACTCACCTCGCTCTTCCCCTCTTGCCTTGTCATACCCTTTCTCCCTCTCACCCTCCGACCCCTCACAACCCCTCTCACTCCCCCCCCCCGCAGGTGGGCCTGGTGAGCCAGGAGCCGCTGCTGTTCAACGGTACCATTGCCGACAACATCCGCATCGGCAAGCAGGACGCATCGCTCAAGGAACTGGAGGCGGCGGCAGGTGCGCGTTGGGTGTGGTTTGGGGTGTGGGAGGTGTCCTGCTGGGATGGGGTGCGCGCGGTTACACTGGGGCGTGTGTGGCTCACTAGCCCTACTTACCTCGCTAACCATACTAACCGCTGCCCTGCCGCTTCTTCCCACCCCCCATAGAGGCGGCCAATGCTCGCGCCTTCATCGAGGCCCTGCCTGAGAAGTACGACACCAAGGTGGGCGAGGGCGGCATCCAGCTGAGCGGTGGACAGAAGCAGCGCATCGCCATTGCCCGGGCGGTGGTGAAGAACCCCAAGGTGGGTGGCTTGGGGGGGCTGGGGGGAGCAGCGGGGACGGTGCTAGTGGGTAACAGTACTTGGTGGCATTTGCAGCTGCGACCTTGGCATCTCCTCTCCCTCGTCTAGTCCATGGAGTTATGGCGACCCATGGGTCACTTTAGCTGATGTTCCCAGCCGTTTGACAAGACGTAAGAAATCTTGCGAAATTATCTCAATAGACATCCGCTTGCATTCTCAAGTATCGTTCCTCCGTCCCTCCCTAGTCCTACCTACCCCAACTGCCTCTCCCACTCCCAACTCCCACCCCCTCGCCCAGGTCATGCTCCTGGACGAGGCCACCTCTGCCCTGGACGCCCGCGCCGAGGCGGTGGTGCAGGCCGCCCTGGACCGCATCATGGAGGGCCGCACCTCCATCGTCATTGCGCACCGCCTGTCCACCATCCGCAACGCGCACTCCATCGCGGTGGTGTACCGGGGCTCCATCCTGGAGCGCGGCACGCATGAGGAGCTCATGGCGCTGCCCAACGGCTCGTACGCACGGCTGGTGGCGGCGCAAAGCAGGGAGCCGGCGGGTGCAGCGGGGAAGGGCAAGGCGACGGCGACGGCCAGGGCGTGAAGGAATGGGATTCCTTTGTAGAAGTAGTAGGTGGAAGGTGGAGGAGGAGGTGGTGGGGGTTGGGCCGATAGGGGAAGGAAGAGTTTGGGGGGGGGGTCTAATGCATGGGGGCATGGGGCGTAGGTCCAGGGGAGACGTGGTACTAGGGGTATGTAAAGGGTCATCGAGGGTGCCAAGACAGTGCGACATTTAGGATAGGCGCCGACGTGCGTGCTTTGCATGGCGCGGGGGGGGGTGCTGATGATGGCTGGGCAGGGAGGAGGCATGCCAAACGACTTGGTGTGGGCGTGCTGGCGGTCTTTTTTGAACAAGGAGCGTGGCGCGTGCATCTTGGGCGTGATATGGGTGCGTGCCTGCGACTTGTGACTTGGTAAGAGGGAAGCAAGGAGCGTGCACGCGATATTTGTGCGTGCCTGCGACTTGTGACTTGGTAGCAGGGAAGGTATGTGCTCTGCGCACGCCCTAAGCTGCGTATCCTCCATCCGCGTAAAGAGGAGAGATCACACAGGGGGAAGTTTATGAGGCTGTCTGAACATTCGCATGCCATTCAAACTGTTTTATCGCGAATTGTCGCTTTTAGTGCAGTGTGCTTTGTGCCAGGAGGAAGAGTTTTATGGCTTTGATTAGGGAAGGAGGCAGCGTCTCGGTGCTTCAGCTCAGCAACCGATGACGGTATAGGTGGGGGCATGGCCAGGAGTGTATAGTGTGCCAAATTGGTTAACAAGTATTTCTTTTACGTCCACTCCTGAACTGTCGAACTATTGGTTAGAGGTCACTGTGCCATTGCTGAGGCCCAGCAGGGTTAGTGGCCTAGCACTGCTGGTAATAGCTTGAGGTTCCTAAGTTGGTAAGGGTAGGGTTGTTTTGGAACCTCAGACGTTTTGCGCCCATGATGTCCTCGTGGGCTTTAGGATCTTCACTGACACCGTGTCAGATGTTCTCCTTGTTATACAGACCTTTGCGCTAAAGCCCCAGAGATACCGGCATCCAGTTATACTGCTGCCCCACCTGCCAGGTTTCTCGGATTCAGGTCTACGATGCATGAAATGAACGGGATGGCCAACCTCGGCAACCATCGGCCCGTCCTAGATGACTCCCTAACCCCACCTCGTTACACCGGTGCCGCTGCCTAGCCAGCCAGCTATGGAGCCTGGCAACGCCTCCACCCCACCACAATTTGTAGTCGTTGCTCTGCATCGTCTAAAAGCATTCTGCTTTTATAAGACTTCCTAGAAATGTCAGACACGGTGTGCCCATTCTGCCTTCTAGGCGTTACCCAGGGCTCGGATGTGGCGACAATACGACGCGCCTATCGCACCCGGGCAGCGCAGCTGCACCCTGACAAAGGTTCGTTGCATGCACCTCAGCTTCCGGTTTCAACATCCAGGCGCGGTGGTGATCTTCAGGCTGCCGTTACCATGCATGCCTATCCTACGAAGGCCCAAAATCTCGTGCTGCGTGTTCTTGCCTAGACGCTATGCTCGTTTCATTGCTACCCCCTGATGCGGTGGTTCGTTGCTAACACGGTTGCAGGCGGGCACGTCGAGGCGTTCCAGCAGCTGCAAGACGCCCTGCAACAGCTACTGCAACAGACAGCAGTGGGGCGTGCAGGGCAGCACCAAACCCGCAATAATGCCGCCTCAGCAACCTTCATGGCAGATCCCTCACAGCAAACATGTGCAGCTTGCCGCATTCAAGGCAGACATGGCGCTGCGGTGCACCCTCATCATCATCAGAGCAGCAGCAGCACACCTTGCCGCAGCAGGGTGGCTCCAGAACCCCCAGGCCACGAGGTACGGGACGCTAGCATGACCACCGGGATCTGGGATTTGGACTTGGATCCATTTATGATCATCACTTTATGCATGCTTTGACGCATCGTTGTGTGCACGGCTTGCGTTTATCCTGGTGCACTTCTAAAGCTATCGGGGCTCGCTGCAGCATACGGCATGTCGTACATTCCCAGCTGCGCTCCTCCTGTTGGCAGTTCTCGCTGCAAGAGGCGGATCAGTGCTTCTACAAGCGGGCGGCAGAGCTCATCGCCTCAGCCCGCACTGTCCTCAACGAAGGTGGCTGACGGGAGGGGTAAAGAGGGAACCCAGCCATTGCTGTGAGGGGAGGTTGGGCGTCTTCGTCTTCAGTGTTGGCTTGCAGGGTACCTGATGTGCACGTTGGGCCCCTTGGCGCTGCTTCCGTACACACATCATGTGCTCACGTACCGGTACCACGGATACAGCCGTGCAGCCGTAAGTCAAATGATGTTTAGGATGCTTTTGATATCCCCCAACGCATGTCACCTTGCATGCTGCGTGTTTCGTGCGGCAGGTGCGGCGGGCGCAGCGGAGGAGCTGCTGACCACGGCAATACGGCTGCTGACGGCGGTATTGGATTGTGATGGCCCGCTTTCACAGCCCCAGCAGCAGCTTCACAACGCGGGAGGTATGTACAGCATGGGGCTCTAAAGGTGGATTGGAAGTGGTACCGGTATGCTGCCAGTGCAGCTAAGGACTCATGGCCTTTTGGCCTTTGTCACGCATGCCACAGGCAACATCGCTGCCGGTGATGATACAGATGGCTTTGGCTCTGCCAGCAGCGCAGCAGAAGCGTACCAGCACCCGCAACAAGAGCAGCAGCAGCAACATTCCCCAGAAGCTGCGCAGCGGCAGCAGCTGCTGGCAGATGCACACCAGCTGAGGGGGCTGGCACGTCACGCCCAGTCTAGGCACGCTGCGGCTCGGAGGGACTCTGAGGCGGCCTGGGAGCTCAGGAAGCAGCAGCAGCAGGTGTCGACATGACACTGCTTAAGCCGGTGCGTGGTGATCGTGCATGGGTGCATGGGTGAAGGGAACGAGCGGGTAGCAGTGCCTGCATGCCGCTCTCAGCAAAGCAAGTGGTGGTGACGACGTGCGATGTACGTGAGTTCCGTAGCATGTGGCAGTGCGGGCGATGACAGTACGCGCCAAGGTGGTGGTTGTAGTCGGCGGCCTGGGGCTGCATGGGCGCTTAATGATGGGCATACATCTACACAGCATTCCAACTGGGTGAATACACCGGGAGGAGTCTGTCCATGCACCAAGTGCAACGTGCCAGGAGGTCTTCACCCGTACACCGCCTGCTGCAAGGCAGTTGCCGTACGAGCCTAAATGTCCTGTTATATTGCCATGCGGATGCGCCGTGAGCAATGAGATGAGTGGCAGCTGCAGCTGACAACTGTCATGGTGAAATTGCTACCGGGATGTGGCGATGTTCGGGGGGATAAAAAATAAAAATGAGCCACTGACGATGCAACTGACGAGCTGTATGACAAGGCTTCACCATGGGGTGCAAACATGGTAGCCCCATGTTCGGGGGGAGGGGGTCAACTGTGAATATTCCGTATAACTGTGGACTTGTTACAGAAATAGCACGAATGGCAGGAGGCGGCAGTCCTTGTCCAATCTACTGCGCACTTGATGCCTAACATAGCTGTACACGTCAACTACAAACGCTGCATGTGCATGTCGTGTTGTGTAGGGAGGCGTATGCACCCCGGCCAACTGCGCAAGGACCAACGAATCACGTATACGGTGCAAGTAGTGCGCCACAACCAATGCAACCAACGTGCACTCTATACTCCTTGCTTGGGATCAGAGTATGTATTCGAATTGTCATTCTTAGACTTAGACTCCTGCAACCGACACAACGGCATGACGTTTACGGCCGTACTTTCCATGCAAGCGAACCTACAAAACTGCCTCATACCATACATCGCCCTCGTAGCACCGGCAACAACACCCAGCGACAACACAGCTTCCCGTCTTCGGCTTCCAGCAAACACACATTTTTTAACAACATACATTCCACCTTCTGGGCGCCTCCTCCCTCATGACTCTACCTGTACCGGTATTCCAACCCCATTCCCAACCCAATACCCTCATGCGCCCCCTCCGCATCAAGCACCTCTGCTCCACCAAGACCTCTCACATCCTGGCCCTGCCCGGCAGCCCCTCCCGCAGCAGCCGCCGCATCACCTTATTGGAGGCGTTGCGGGGCAGCGAGGCCACCACCGCCACACGGGATACCTGGGGTGGGGAAGGAGGCGCGCATGGGGGGAAACGTGCAGCGGGGGAGGGCGGGGGAACATGGGGTTGGGCTCCATGCATGGTTAGCGTTGCGAGCTGGGCACGAGGCCGTCCTCTGTGCAGGTCTCCTTCCTTCCAGGAAGATGGCAGACGGGAGGAGCGCACAGGACACAGGCGAAGAAGCATGCATGCATCAGTGAGGCTTGTAATGTCAAAAGGAGAGGAGTCAGGGAGCAACGGCCCTGCCTCCTCCCAGCCCCGCACAACCCCGACCCCCCCACCACCTTGAACAGCGGGTTCAACTGGTCCCGCACCGCCTGCTGGCACCGCCGCTGCAGCTCCGCCACCTCAGCCTCGGAGGCGCCGGGTGCGGCGCTGGGGCCGCTGCCGCTGCTGCTGCTGCCGCCTGCCCCCTGCTGCTGAGCTCCCTGCTTGAGCACCAGGAAGAGGTGCAGCTGCTCGGGGCCGCCCTGAGGTGGAGCCACCCCCACCGCGGCCGCCTCCGCCACCACCGGCACACCCGCCACCACCGCCCGCTCTAACTCAACAGAGGAGACCTGGGGGAGGGGGGGGGGAGGCGGGAGGAGCAGGTCTTGGGCAGGGCAGGAATTACTCTACACCGAGAAACGGATAAACGAAAGGCTGTGGATCCCTTCTCCCGTCGTTCCTCGCCCACGCCGAAGTATACCAAGGCCGAACATCCGAGGCATCATCCCCTCCTTCCCTCACCCCCACCCCCACCCCACCTTGATTCCTCCCAGGTTCATGGTGTCATCACAGCGACCCAGCGCGCAGTACGACCAGGCGCGTGGCCCCGGGCCCAGCGCCCGCAGCACCGCCACCTCGTCCCCGTGGCGCCGCAGCGGCAGAGCAGGTGGAGGGCAGGTGGGCGAGCAGGAGGAGGAGGGAGGGGGGGAGGAGGAGGAGGGAGAGAGACCGGCTCCGGGGAGGGTACGGTACAGGGGCATGCCGGCGTAGTAGACCTGCACGGGCCGTCGTTGTTGTTGTTGATATTGATGGTGGTGGTGTTGGCGTGGTTGTTTTCGGAGGAGTGAGGATGGAAGTTCAATTGGACGCGAGGGAGAGGGGCCGAGGCGGTGGGCAGGAGGGTAGGGCGCAGGGACGGGATGTTCCCGCCGCTAACTACCGATGGTGAAACATGCAGTTGCTTGTTGCATGCGATGCTTCCCTCCTCCCAAAACCCACCCTCCTTATGCCTACTCGCTTCCCTTCCCCCCTCCCCTGCCTCCACCCAGTCCCCCTGTCCCCCTCCATCCCCACCTTGTAATGGTCCCTGTTTAGCAGCCGCTGCGACATGCCCAGCATGGGAGCAGCCAGCGCCACCTCACCCGACAACATGCCGGAGCGGGCGGCGGCAGCGGCGGCGGAGGGGGTGGCGGGCGCACCGTCCCATAGGATTGCTGGGGGACAGTGGGAGGGGTATGCGGGTAGTAGGAAGTGAGGGGGGTCGAGGAAAGGGAGGAAAGGTGCGGAATAAGTGGGGCGGCTGGGTGTTGCAGATGGAAGTAGGGTCGCAAGCTCGCCACCTGCGCTGTGGGGACATGCAGCCGCACCACCCCGCCCCACCTGTGCTCCCCGCCTCCGCCTCCGCCTCCCCCGCCAGCAGCAGCAGCCGCGCCCCCAGGGTGGGTGTGGAGAAGGTGGAGGGCGCGCAGGGGTGCAGCAGCGTGCCGCTCAGGAAGCCGCCGCCTATCTCGGTGCCTGCGCGGGAGATGAGCGATGTTGTTAGGGGAAGGAAACGTGGGGTTCCCAACATGCCCTTAACTAGTCGGGTGAGAGGAGGAGGCAGGGAGGTGGGCACTCCGCTCCCCCCACCCATCCAGTCGCAGCTCCTACCTCCTGACTTCCAGTGACAGACTGACAAGCCTAGCCGGCTTTGCCGCACCAGGCTGGCCCCCAGGCTGCCCCTCCAAAGAGGACGTTACAACTGGGAGGGTGCAAACTGCACTGGGATAGCCCAACCACCCCCCACCCCATGACACCCCCTCACCCAACCCCATGCGCCCCACCACTCACCACCGCAATACTCGATGACGGGCCGGTACCCTCGGATGCGCGACTGCCGCGTGCCAGGAGGCGGCACAGTGGTGGCAGGTGGAGGGCACAGAGAGGGCAGATTCAGAGGAGAGAAGGGAAGGGAGGGGATCTCACCGTACCAAACAGGCACCAAACCGCAGCCCAGCTCGACCAACGTGAGTAGCACACCCGTACACATGTTCGCGCTCGCGGCCGGTTTCTCAACCCAAGTGACATGTCCAGCCCACAAGCGAGTGACGTGAGCGGCGCCTGCGGTACATGTGCGCGGCAGGTGCCCGCAGGCAGCTGCAAAGCACGCGGAGGTTGCAAACTGCAAAGCACGCGGAACCCCCGCGGCCTCTACAGCCCCTGCAGCCCGCACCATGAGCCACGCGTAGTCCTCCGCCGCCGAAGCCTCCCCCGTGCTCCCGAACAGTCGCACACACGACAGATCCAACACCGCCCCGCCGCCAGCCCCTCCCGCCGCCTCCGCCGCCGCCCTCTCGAACGCCCTGCCGTGCCTCCACGCCCGTACGATTGAGGGCACCAGGCCCAGCACCTGCACCCGGGCTGACGACACGAACCGCAGGAAGTCGGGGCCCAGGGGTGCACCCTGGGGGTGGGGCGAGGAGGACGGGAGGGAGGGAGGGGTTGAACGCTGCGGGAGGCTTAGGGAACTAGTGCGGATATGTCAGTGAATACGCTTGAAGGAGGGGGTAAGGGTAAAGAAGACCAATGCCGCACACCTGAGAGGGACACACCACCGCCTCCCCGACCGCTCACCCCGTATATCGCGGCGGTGCCGCCGTTCAGCAGCGCCGCGTACAGCAGCCAGGGCCCCATCATCCAGCCCAGCGAGGAGGGCCAGCCCACCACGGTGCCCGGCCGCACGTCCAGCTGCGCCCAGGCGTCCAGCGCGCAGCGCAGCGGGGTGAGGTGGCTCCAGGGAATGGCCTTGGGCTCGCCCTGGGAGGGTGGGGGGGATGGGGGAGGTGAGAGAAGAGGTGCGCTTGGACGGAGGAGGAGGGGTTTAGGACGATTGGACAAGAAAGTAAAGGGTTGTAAGGCGGGTACAGGACGGTGCGGCATAACGGATGTGCGGGAGTAGAGGGGCAAACACAGGGGAAGTAGGGCAGCCACGATACACGTGCGCACCGTGGTTCCGGAGGAGAAGAGGATGTTGGTGACCGTCGCTGAGGGGTCCTCCGGCAGGAAGGGGTGCTGCAGGGAGTCGGAGGCGGCAGTGTCCCGTGGGTCGGTGAGGGCCAAGAAGTCGGCCCAGGACATGTCGCCGGGGCGCAGCGGGGGAGCGGAGGGGGACAGGCCTGTGTGCGCGGGGGGGGATAGGAGGCGGCAGGGTGCCACAATGCGTTAGGAGGCGATAAGGGGGTTCCTTTAGGAAGGACGGTTAGGCAGTTGAGAAGCTGGGTGTGTGAAAGAGTGTAGTGCAGGACAAGGCTGTGTTACCGGTATCAGTGCTGCCCCCCCCTTCAGCCCTCACCTTCCTCCTCCGCTGCCGGCATCACGATGGCAACCACGCTGGGTGCCGCCGCTCCCCCGCTGCCTCCTGCACTGCCCCCGCAGCCCTCCACCACCTTTTCGTACAGCGGGTGCGCCCGGCCGCCCCGCAACACCACATCCTGCAGCCGGGAACAACCGCAGCAGCAATGCAGGCTCGAACTTGCAAGTGCATGCATGTCCGTTGACTGTGTGTGCACGTATGTCGACATGTCGCATTTGCATTCGTCGCATGTCGCATACCAAGGAGGTGTGCAGTGTTGTTGCATGCGCAGTGTTGTGCTTGCAGCGCACATCCACCTACACCCAAGGTTAGGGTCACGTCTGCGGCTCAGTTGCTTTGACACCCCCCACCCACAGGACGTCCCGACCTGCCCACACGCCCCCACCCCCCCACCTGTCAGTTAGTTAGCTCACACAGTCAGTTGGTTGTTTCCCCTTTCCACACCCGCACCTGTGTGAACACGCCCACCGCGCCCGCCAGCGCCAGTCGCGTGCGCAGCTCCCCCGCGCTGAAGGAGTCCGCCACCGACACCACACAGCAGCCCGCCAGCACACAGCCCAGGTAGAGGGCGGCGGAGGCGGGCGAGAGCGGCAGGTAGAGGGCCAGGGGGGAGCCTGGAGGGGGGGCGAGCGGGCAGGAGGAGCAGGAGGCATGAGGGAGTGCGGGTTGGTGAAAACACGAAAGGCGACATTGGGCACTCAATGCATTGCAGAAGGCAAATGACCGCAGTTGCCCGTTCCTTTTTTGCCACAATGGGGCCGCCTTGCGCCATTCCCTCCTCACTCCCTCCTCCCCCAGCCCTCTCACCCGGTTCAAATCGCCTCCTGATGCACGCCGCGATGTGTGCCGCCCGCCCCGCCAGCTCGCCCCGCCCCACCGCCACCAGCTGCCCCGGCCGCCCGTCCGGCGCCCACAGCAGTGCGGGGCAGCCGGGGGGCGCGCGGGGGCAGGTGAGGGCGGCGGCGGCGATGTTGAGGCGGCAGCCCGGCAGCCAGGTGCAGCGGTCGGGGTCGGCGGGGTGCAACTGCAGGGCCCTGGGGGGGGAGGTGGGGGGGGGAGGGAGTGGGGTACTTGGGGGACAGGAGGGGTACGGCATGGATCGTGTCAGGTTGGATGGGCTGTGGGTGTGTAGCGGTTAAACCGGTCAGTCGCCCTCGCCCTGCCTAACCCCGCCTGAAACCCGCACCCCCACCTCAACCAGGCTTCTTCCTCGCCTGCTCTTTACCGCAGGCCGGCTTCCTCCCCCCTTGCCCTAATGCCCCTCCCCTCCTTCCCTGCCTCCCCCCCGTCCTTCCCCTCCATTCCCCCACCTGGCCGGCGGCCTGCTGAAGGCCACCCCCAGGGTCCGCAGCGCCGCGGGCCAGAAGGCCTCCGGGTCCTCCCAGGAGGCGGCCTGCAGCACCCGCCACCCGCACAGCCACCCCGACATGGGAGTGGGAGCGGGGCTGAGGGTGGGGGTGGTGGAGGGGTTGGGGTTGGGAGGCCCCGGGCAGAGGGGGTCGGTGACGCCGTGTCGGGCGCATGCGCCACGCCACCAGGGTTCGTGCTGAGGAGGGGTTTGGGGAAGGGGAGAGGGAGAGGATAAAGAGGAAACATCTAACTGACCGTGTGATAAGGCATCATCATGGTTTAAAACATGTGAGCCAGCCCGACCCGCCCAGCCCGAATTAGCCAAGCCAGTACGTGTAATGGACTTACCATAAATTGTAGACTTACCGGAGCCAGAGCCAAGATGAATAGGAATTCGCGAGGTAGCGTCGCCAGCACATCGAGGTAGGCAGCCGCGCCGACGGTCCGTAGGCAGCCAACCAAAACGCAACCCCACAAATAAAACAAACCCCAAAACAGTACGAGACGGACGAGAACGAAGCACGGGCGGACTTACCTGGAAGCGAAAGCAATGGAGCCGCCGACAGGAAGAACGTAGAGCGAGGCCGGCGCGATGGAGGGAGACCAGCCACGAAGCAGTACATGCGAGCATGGGAGAGGGAGAGGAAGAGGGAGGGATTGAACAAACGGCAACGTGGGATGGGGGTGGGAGAGAGGGGGGAGGGGTAAGGCAGCATGGATTGGGGCTGCACACGTCAGCTAGTCCAGACAGCGCGATTTGAAGACGCTTAACTTCAGGTACCCTATGTTCACATGCCCTGCGCTGCGCCCCTCCACCCTCACCCGAATGCTCTCAAGGAATCGGGCCACATTGGTTTCGGAGGCCTCCGCGGGGTGCGGCAGCCACAGCGGCGGCCGGCCCAGCGCCGCAACGGGCCAGTTGTCGTACACCGCTGCGGCTAGACGCTGGTGTACGGCAAAGTCGTGGGAGGGCAGCAGGATGCGGGAGGTGATGTGGCGCCAGATCTGCGGGCAGGGAGGAAGGGAAGGAGGGCGGATGGAAGGATGCGGGGATAATAGCGAGGAAGGGGGGATGCGTGGGATGCAGAAGGGGACGGTTGGATGTAAAATCGCTGGATGGGCGTTACAGTCGGTGGAGTCAAGGGGAAGCCAGGATCAGCGCTGTGCCTTGAGCGCGCCACCTTTCAACCATCAAAGCATCAGCTTTGCTAGCACAGCAGCAAACTTTGGGGACTGAAACTTCACGTGGGCGTATACACGAGGACTTGACGTCAGATTACCGTCGGAATACCGCGAGCAAGCGCGTATGCAATACCTTGTTGCTCGCATTGCAGCCTCAAGACAAGGAGTTAAAAACCCAAAGACCCTTAAGCTTCTATACGCACCTCTGGTCCATCAGCTGCGCATTCTCCTGTGAGGCCTCTCAGGAGCACCTCCACTTCTGCGACCTGCTGCGCGCTACAAGCACCGCTTTCCAGCAGCGCATTTAGCACTGACTGGTGGTATGTTGACAGTTGCATGTTGGCGTGTTGTGCAGCAAGTGTATGTCTACGTGGCAGGGCAAACTAGTCGACGAGGACTTCTTGTCAAAGCATGGAAAGCTGCAATTCAGGCAATTTCGGTTTAATACACCATTCTAAAGGTTCTTGTCGCATAGTTGCATGTGGACATCGCAAGTGCCTGCCGACGCTCGAGCTTCACAGTCGCCGTACTGCATTACTTGCCGGAGATACAACGTTATTCCTGCACCGAAAACTTTATACACCATAGGACGGGCACCCAACAACTGATACTGGAGCTCGCGCTGCATTTCTACCCCTTTCTCTTTGGCGACTTTTTTGCACCGTTCTCTAGAAAGCGGCATACTCTTTTTGCCTCTCCCTTGTAAGCGATCTACAGCACACAGCTTGTGAACCTAGCACCATGGGCGGCTCTCGGCGGCGGCTAAAGAAGAATGCACCGAAGGTCCGCAACGGTTTGATAAAGACAAGGAAGGACGAGAAGACGAAGATACCTCTACAAATAGCGATGGAATATCCGGAGCTTAAAAAGCGGCTAAAGAAGGAGTGAGTTGCTGTTTGGCGACCGCATTACCTAGTGTCGCCGCCTTGCGAGTGGCGAGGGTGGGCTTTAGGGCTCTTCGCTTCGCAAGCTGTGTTTATACAACATCACCTGTCGCACCCGAATTCGTTTAGACTTGATGTCGGGGCCCTGGGGTTTAGGTCTCGTCCATGTTGTCGTGTCCAACATGCTCTTCTGGCCACGTCCAGGTATCCTCCTACCCCTTCAGTCTCCCTTCCCTTCTCCCATCACCTCCTCCACTGTCGCTTCCCAACCAGGTGCCTTTCTTCCCTTACCCTTCACCCCAGCCCCTCCTCTACTTCACACCGCTACTATTGGCCACAACCCTCTCTGCCGTACTCCTCTCACTTTCTCTCGCCTGCCGTACTCCCTGCCGTACAGTGTGGAGTGGGACGAGAAGGACACGCTGGACGAGAACTACGCCCGCAACCAGCTGGTGTCCGACCCCAACGTGCTGCTGGGGCGCAAGGAGAAGAAGACGCCGCTGGTGGCCCCGGAGGCGAGGAAGGAGGCGGGCGAGGAGACCTTCTCGGATGATGACGGTGAGGGGACTGGGCGGGAGGACTGGGGGGAGGGTATCGAAGTGCGCGGGGAGTGAAGAAGGCAACGTGCTGCACCCCGCCTTGGTTGGCACCTCCCACAACCCTGCCCTCACTCCTGCCCTCCTAACTTCTTCCCCTGTACGCCACCTCCCACCTGCCCTCCCCCCCTCAACGCACACACTCTCCAGAGCAACGCGCCGCCCTGCACCTGCCCCGCAAGTCGGGTCGCGCCCCCCCGGCGCGCCTGACCGCCACGCAGCGGCAGGTGGTGGGGGCACTGCTGGAGAAGCACGGGGAGGACGTGCATGTGAGGAGAGGGGAGGGGGGATGTGAGGATAAGATAGAGGAGATGGGGGGTGGAGGAGGGTTAGTGCCACGGAGTGGGGTGCCACTGAGTAAGGGAGGGCAGGAGGGAAAGTTGTAGATCAGTGCAACAACGCAGTCCCAATCCCGACTCCTGCAGTGAGCGCATTCAGAAGGGCAGGAGGGTTGTGCAGCCGCAGGTCATGATGCTACACACCTACCCGCCCACCAACCCTACCTGTGGACCTGCTGCCACCCCCGCCACTGCCCGTGCGAACCCCTCCATTCCCTCCCGCGCCCCCCCGGCCCCTACCCTCTGCCCCCAGCGGGATTTGGGATTGGGACTCCGTTGCTGCACTGATCATTTTATTTCCACCCCCTGCCCCCAGGCCATGATGCTGGACACCAAGCTCAACAAGATGCAGCACTCGGAGGGCGAGCTGCGCAAGCTGATAGCCGCGTACCGCTACTGGGGACCCACCTGCAGCGCCGCGCAGAAACACGACTTCTGGACGGAGAAGAAGCCGCCCAAGAAGCTGCTCAACTGCAGGTATGGGATACGGGTATGGAATGAATGGCGGGAGGAGGGAGGACGAGGCTTGGGGGCTTGCGGCGGTTGAGGGGGGGGTTGGGCGGTTGGGGGAGTGAGGCAACCAGGCGTGCCGGTACTTGACCGCATGCGTGCCAATATCCAACAGTGGGCCCGAAATGAGGTTACGGCAATCAGTTATTCACGTTCCGCGTCGTGCCGCCCTCGCACACCTCGCTGCCCTGCAGGATTCTGGTGTGAGCTACGAGTGAGATGAGAGCTGAGGACGGGGGGAGTCAGGAGCCGCAGGGTAGGGAGTCGGGCTGTGTGGGTTGGGGTGTAAGAGTTGGTGTACGAAGGTGAGGGCGGCCACCAAGAGGAGCGCTAGGGGCAATAATGCCGTTCGGGTCTTAGAGCCGCCGCTGTGGTTGTGCGGCGTGCGGCATTCCCACACGGCTTTTCGCAGCTGGGGGGCTTTTCGCAGCTGGGGATGATGGGGTTGAGGGGCTGTCTTCGGGCATGGCGATGGGGATGGGGCAAACGAGGCAAGGGGGCATTGCGTATCGTGTATGTGCGGATGGTGCGGTGATGCAGCGTTGTATAGGGGCTTAAAGGGTTGTGCTGGACCCGTTAGCGGTACTGAGTACTGTAGGACACTGAGGTAGAGGCCATGGACGTGCGCAGTGTCAGAGCTGTCGAGTAGATGTGTAGTAACGCGGTCCTTTACTTGCTTTTCTCTGCCTTTACACTGAGCTAAGCGAATGAACGGAGCTGAACTGTGGGAATGAATGAGGGTCATGTTCGTACGACAGATGAGAGTGATATCTTGGTTAACTTTAACGATTCCAGGACACGGCGGGCTGGGCTGGGCGTGCTGTTGGCTGATGTGCATTGGCTGTTCGAAGCCGTGCATACCGGTAGAGGGTTGGGGTTGTGCAGGCGAGAGGTGCAGCGTGCAGGTATACCGCAGTTCCGTGGCTCGGGCATGTGGTGGCATGTGTTGCCAATTTGCTATGTAAGGGGAGGTGCTCTGCGCTGCAACGGCCGTGGGAAAGGGGATTTCTTCCCACGGTGCTCCTCACAAGCAATACGCAGTTGAGAGCGAAGGGGGCTAAGAGGCAATCTACGAACCTAACGCCAATATCCGACCGAAAACTGGCGCTTAACACTATGACCTACAAACCGGAGGCTGGTGGGGTTGGCAGACAGGCAGAGCTCTTGGCAGTGACAGTGTTTGCCTAGGACAAGCCATCTTTGCGCAACTGGTTTCGTTGGTTAAAGGGAGTGAAATAAAGGCCGTCCCTCCAAGCAGTGGTTCAGGTATCATCCGCCACTGGGTCCTACCGGTACAAGATGGACGATATACTCTTATGCAGTGAAAGTAAGCATAGCTATTGTTCATTTTTATACAACCACTAATGTTATGTCGGTATGTCTGGTTCATATGCCTGATGACAGGCGTCTTCGCATTACAGTAAGGTGTACACCTTCTTAGCGCCTTTAGCGCAAGTTAAAGACGACAGCGTAATAATTCAGAAGTGTTTTGAGGCAACGGATTTGCACTCAGATGCAGCTGTGTGGGCGCTGAGGCAGCCGACGGCGAACTTAGATAGAGGGATGCCAGTACGGCAGGGTAGAACACTTCCACTGGGATATTGGAGATACCGCCGCCGAACATGATCCGTCCTTGTGGGAAAATCCGTCTTTCTAGACCCGCAGTATTTTGTCTAGTATTGCTCGAACGGCTAGTGACCTTCTGACCTACAGTCTGGCCTACAGTCTGTAAGAGCCCCAATACACCTTTTTTGGTAAGGCTTTCCGAGCTAAAATACCTACATACTGCCGCACATTTCCTGCATCCTCGGTTACTTTGTGCTAAGAGGAGCCGGTTCAGGCAAGGCGCCGCTTGCACTGCCTGGCTAGACCGCAGCGACCTCACCGCTTCGCTAGTAACATGGATGCAAAAGGAGGTTTCAGCTTTGGTGCGTCAGACTCTACTGCTGTGCATCCGGTGAGCTATGTCAGGCTTTGATAACTAACACCAAGCTAGGGTCGCCCCGCCCGAGTTACCATGATGCTCTTATTTCGCGGTTTAAAATGACATATACATACATGGAGTGGTCAATGGGACAGCATATAGAGGTCATAGCCCCCCTTCGTCTTTTCAGTGCGCTTTGCCGCTTTCCACTCCTATAGCCTTCGGTCGTATTGAGTCCACGGCAGTCTTGTGAATGGCATCCTTCTCTATATTTGTCTGTAGGGTAATGACCACGCGCTGTCAACGATGAGCACTGCACGTGTCATCGCGACCGCGGTTATTGACCCTGCGTGTCCAGCAGGGTCTGAGCAGCGCCAGCGCCGGCTAGTGCTGGAACCTCTAGGTGTATGGGTCAAGGATGGTCATATTATTGCCAATCCGCAAGACCTCGAGTGCGCATTCGCACAATGTGGCAGCCTCGCTGAAGCCAACCCTAGGCCTGGGAGCAACCTGGACTACGCAAACCCTGGACAGTATCTACTTACAGCAAGCTCCACAGCACCCGATAACGTGAGGTCTCTGCAGCAATCCCTTGGTGAACCAGTGCAAGCGCAGCAGCTTCCGAGTAGGCCAAGCCGCTTTGGCATGCTGCGGAATGTTGGGTCGTCGTCGGGAATTACCTCCGAGTCGCCAACTACACTTGCGAGGTTCCAACCTTACCTCTTGCGTGGCAGCAGCACAGCCATCGCCAAGCATCCCACGCCGTCCGATTACACCGACCTAGCGGCAGCTCGACAGCTGCCCTCGCCAACCTCTGGCCTGGTCCTGCCTTCCAATCCTCTCCCACAATCTGCCCCCATGGCAACATCCCCTTACAACGCCATTACTCGCCACTCCTCCGCCCCCGCCTCAACCTCATATACCCATTTCCAGCCTGCTCCGAGGTCACAGCAGCCCTCCGTCATTGGCAACTCCTCCATCCCTGCTTCGGCTTCAGCCTTGCTGTCTTCCCAACCTCCATCACTGCCGCCGTCACAGCAGCCATCTCAGCCGCAGGCCGCCAGCCAGCCCCTGCCGCTGGCGGGCCGCGCCTCCGGTGCTGGCGTGTCCGAGCTGTGGCACATGTGGGCCAGCGATGAGGTCGCAGCGCACGAGGGCTGGTCAGCCCCTGCCATGGCGGCAGGGGGCCCCCGCCCCGAAGCTTCCCCCCTGCTCAGCCCGGCACCAGGCCTGCAGGCGAACGCCACCAGCTTTGGCGACGTCAGCAACCCGGATAACACAAGCACCGCCAGCAACCGCGCCAGCAGCAGCAGCCTGGGGGCCAACTGCTGCCCCCGCGTCAGCAGCATCACCGGCGGCGGCCCCAACCTGGGCAGCGGCAGCAACTTGCACAGCTCGGGCGCTGCTCCCCTGGAAGGTCCCTTCCGCCGGGGAAAGCAGCAGTATGGCCTGGGGCGGACCTCCCGGCCGCTCTCCCCCTGGTCTGCCAGCTGCGCTGAGGTGTGGGAGGCCGCCTTCGGGGAGAACCCCGCACGCGCAGCCACGGTCACATCAACACCTGCACACACGCCTACACCCGGTACTGAAGCTGCGCACGCAGGACACACGCAGGCGCCGCAGCAGCTCTACTTCGCGCAGCAGCAGCAACATCAGCACCAACAACCTGGTCACGCGCCAATAACTGTACAGCAGCAGCAGTCCCTGTGGCCGCAGCAGCAACAACAACAGCACCTCAGTCCACAGCCGGAGGGCTGGCCAGCTGCCCCTGCTTACATGGGTGCCCATGCTGCTGTTGCGGGCGCGGGGGTAACTGGCGGCGTGTGGGGGCTGGGGGGCGCCGGCGTGATGCATGCCGCGGGCGCTGCGATGCCATACCCTGCGGACCTGGGGCAGCAGCCCTTGGCTTACCAGGCCACACCTCCGTTTAGGCGGGGCGAGTGGCAGTAACGGTGGTGATGGCGGTAGTTGAATGTGCTTGGGTTGATGCTCTTGTTTGTATTGCTGATGTTGCTGGTGTCGGTGTGGGGGATTAGATACACTGCATGGATGGGTGCTGGAGCAGGGGGGGTTGAGCAGTGCTGTGTGTTAGCAACACTGGCCGCAAGCATGTGCGCTGCAGGATGAGGCTGTGTACGGCCTTCCCGCATCATTACGTAAGACAGAGAGGCAACGCAGGCGTGTGAAAGAGAAGAGAGAGACATGCATGCGAGCATCATCATGGTATGTCATCAGTGGTTCATCATTCCTCAACTAAAATTGCCTGCGGTTCCGGTATCTTGGCTGACCCCTGGGCCTTTCTGGCGTATGGTGCATGGCCAGAGTAATCGGGCTGCTGTCATGCATGACCAAGCACCATGTCGTAGTATGTACGGACAATTTTCATGTCGCCGTACAGAGCATGCAACATTGCCAATCCCATTGTCGTACTGCGTTGCTTATGAGCGGCTGAAGTAGCCGACCCACGCCAACGTACCGGTATGATGGGTTGCTAACCATCGGTTCGGGTAGGGGTCATCGTGTGCACCTTGCGCGCATTAGTTAAGACGAGTCGTTGGTGACTGAATCGGAAGGGATCCTTTAGTAACGACTCCGGAGTTATGCACAGTTATGTATCGTTGGCTGCCCATATCTTCATTCATGTATTCTGGCAGGGGACGCGTGCGACGCTTCATTCATGCAGGCAAGCTAAAACTGCGGTCAGTGGCGAGGCCTGTAGGGTTTTAGGGCAATCTCCTGGTTTTTTTTGCGGAGGTACCTCTTCCTTCTCCATAGTATGGGTGTGTGGGTCGTTCTGCAATTGACTGCCGTTGCGGGGTGCTAGCCTTGCGTGGAATGACCATGGAGGGGGTAAATCGACCTGAGACGTTCATTCCTTTACTTTGCTTGCGGGAAAGGTGCTAGCTCTGAACGCGCATTTCCTATCACTGCTGTCCTGTCATTACCGTCAGCTGTGGAGCTCATCCGGATAACAATTTGGCAGAGCGTGCTTTGGTGCCGCCGAGTGCCCAGACTTGGTCGTCTGCTGTCCGTGTCCTTAACACCTTGTGGCCGCCTGTCATGCTCATTTGTCACTGCAACCTGCAATGTTACTTTTTCATGATTGGGGTGATTGCGAGGTGCTAGCTTCGGTGTCTTATGCGACGTTGTGACCCGTGGGTCTTTTACATCTTGACCAAGTGGCCGCGGCTTTGCATGGGGGAATGACAGAGGGCTGCTGTGCCACACCTCCCAGCGATTGCTCGGGATTGGGCCCGTAGCTGTGTGTGTTTTTCGGGGTAATGGTACTGCGCATTATTACCATGCATGGTCGGCTCAGGGTTGTTGGATGCTGGCCCGTGCCAAGGGTTTGTGCAGAAAAAATGCGAATGCTGACACGTGCGGGCGCGGCTGTCAATTAACGGCGTGTGCATGGTAGCGCGCCAAAGCATGACAACAGCAGCTCGGAGCAGGGTGGTTTCGTCATATACGAGTGCTCAAACAACGTTGGGTTTGCTCTCTTCATTACATTCATGATATGCATGTACAGGACGCCGCCTTGTTGGAATGCTGGATCGGGTTGCGCATTAATTGGGGTCGGGAACATGCAGGTCTGCTTTCTTAGTTGCCATAGGTGGTTGGGTGTTTGTTGGCGCGGTGGCTGGCTTTGTGATGTGGGGTGAAGGAGGCCTGCGGCGCCAGATAATCGCTTTATAGGATCCCAGTTGCCTTGTGTTCGTGTCCCGCTTGCAGCGATCTTACACTTTCACACGCCATATGAGCGCAGTTGAAGGGAACCTCCTGGCTTGTGTGACAGGTCGCGTAACGAGAGTTTCCAAGGTTGTCCCCAATAAGAGTTGCAAGGTTGTCACGCGTGTGTGCGTGTCGGAGCATCGCTATACCTACTGAGGGGTGTTCACAAACTGACATGTGCTGGCGAGGAACGACGGGTTATGTGCCGCGTGTTGCGGACCATGGAGTTTATACTTCATGGCTTTCAGATCAATCAACTTCACGAAAAAGCCCTGTAAGTGGAGGCTTGCTCAGGATGACACGCGTTTCAACGAGCCCGTCAACTGCTATACGTTGGTGGCGGTCCAGTCCGAAGCATACATACGTGTCCAGGGAGCGCATATGGACCTGGTGCCGAAACTTCCGCATTACGTGCACACTGCCACCCATAGTGAAGTAGCTATCTGGTATCCAGAGTGTTGGACATCCCATGGATGAACAACCTGAATGGCCGCATTTCAGGGCGAACAATACACATTAAGCCTTTAAGCCTTGGTATGACATAGCAGCGTCAACCAATTTTCCCCGTTTTGAGTATGTAACACATGTTTGTATACCCGATGGTGGTCTGTATAGCCCTTGTCCATCTATTATAGGCGCAAGTACAGGACGACGACTAGGTAGCAAACCGACACCTCTTGGTAGAACGTTTAGGATGTCAGAAGAACGAATGCGTGCCCATTCAAAGGCATACGTAAAAGCATAAGTTAATATACCCTTACAGTACGATTATGCCGCCGTACCTGTTTGGGAGTGCCTAATAGCTTAGCAGCCATCGTGCGCCAACAAATATTAAAGCTGCTTGACGAATATAACTTCTTACTAGTACCTGTAGGACTGCGAGTCCCGTTCTGTCTACAGTCTGTACTCCGGAAGAGGCCTAGGTACGCAACCAGTGGCCCGGGCTTAGTATCGTGGAGCCAGTTCCTTACAGATAATATCGGGGTCTCAATGGACTAATTTCTTCTTGTCCTGCAGGTAGCGCGCCTAAAAGGCTACTCGGCTAGACGTGCGGCGCCTTCCCTATCCATCATAGCAACAATGGCGCCAAGCCTTGAGGTCACAGCTTGGAATGGAGATATTTTTACTCTTCGCCAGGTGCGGTGGCTTGGGGAAGGCGCTGTTCTTGGGACATGAAGAGGGCTACAGGTGCACGAAAGGCGCTTACAGTGCACGTCCTTGCAGCAGATAAGATAGCACACAGCTTAGCATAATATGTTTCTCTGGAACAAAAGCACTCTCGCGCTTGTTGTCCAGAGGCAATGACTCTACAGATTTCCTACCTTGAGGATGGTCAGCTATCCTGTGGTGCAAGCACCACTCGATATATACTAACATAGTCTTCGTTATTCATTTAGGTTGGTGGCCTCCTTCCAAGAACCATGACCCCTGGCACTCCGCGTCTTATCGCTGCTGCGGCCGTTGAACCCGCACTGCCAGCTGGTTCCCAGCAGCGGAAGCGGCGCCTTCTCGTAGAACCACTGGGAGTGTGGGTCAAGGATGGCCGCATCGCATGTAGCCCACAGGGCTCAAGCAACTCGGCCATTTCCGCTGTCGGAAACGATGCCAGCACTGTGGCAATGCTGAATAATCCTTCTACGACAGGCCGCCAGCAGCCAAGTGCTGACACATACAGCTCTACTGCTGAAGCAGGACAGCTTGCGCCCACACAACTCCAGGAAATGCAGTCTCCATCCCAAACTTCGAACAGCTATGGCCCAGTGCGGGCACCCGCTGTTCCCCTCCTCAGCGCTGCCGCAAGGCTCAAGCCGTACACCCTCCAGGCTACATTGAACAGAATGGCGTCATTCGACCGGCGTCTGGTCACAAACACGACCAACAACCTCCCGGCAACCATTGAAGCAGCTTCTCCGTTTGCACTAACTGGCGCGATCACGCCCTTCGTCATTGGCAACTCCTCCATCCCTGCTTCGGCTTCAGCCTTCCTGTCTTCCCGACCTCCATCACTGCCGCCGTCACAGCAGCCATCTCAGCCGCAGGCCGCCAGCCAGCCCCTGCCGCTGGCGGGCCGCGCCTCCGGTGCTGGCGTGTCCGAGCTGTGGCACATGTGGGTCAGCGATGAGGTCGCAGCGCACGAGGGCTGGTCGGCCACAACGTTGAAAGCAGGACCGTCTGGCCCTACTGCTGCTTGCTGCAGCAGCAGCAGTTCCGTCCCACTGCCAGCTTCAATGTCCCAATCGCGCCACTCCTCCTCCTCTCTGTCCTCCGGCCTTCACCCTGATCTTCCTGCTGCTGCTTCGTCGTCCCCTGCTCGTCCCTCCTCCTGGGCCGATGGTGGCGCGGAGGTATGGGAGGCGGCGTTCGGCGAACCCGCAACGGCATCAGTCCTGCTAAGGTAGAAGAAGACACTGTCGACGAACCTGCCCCTGCTGCTCCCGCCCTGTACTCCGCCACGCTCCCTTGCACGCCTCATCACCTCCGCCGCCAGAGGCTTCGCCCGCCGCCTGAGCACAGCATCCGCCGCCGCGGCCGCAGTCGCTGTGGCGTCCCCGAGCGGTGGCCTAAACAGTCAGTACCAAGCCATAGCACATGCCGTGATTTGGGTAGGAGAGCGCATGTGGCTGTTGCCGTACTTACTACGAATTGCCTGGAGTGACTAACGTGGAGTGTGGGACTGGAAACTTTTATTTTAGCACTTTGCGTTGTTTAATTGAGAAGAAGAGTATGTTTATGTTTGTGTTTTAGTGAGCCTTTTCTGAAGGGGGGGAACATTACATAGCTTGTCGGGCCTGATAGGGCCTGCTGCAAACGGTTATTATCGGCCGTACGGCACGGCTAACGTAACCGAATTACATCGCACACCACATGGAAAATCGTACAACGCCTGGATGGGGGCCTTGCTGCTTGTTGGCAGTGCACCATTCGCGCTAGTAACTGGTAACTCATGTCTGGGTCTTTGTGTTGTGCCGGCTAGCAGTTCGCAGTAGTCGCGCATGGGCCTTGCACGGCTTCTTCCTTTGTTTCAGGCATGGCTGGGTGCCTTGCCGCTTTCACAACGTATTTCAGTTACTCGTGCTGAGTACCCGAGAGTGAGAATTTTGCTGTGGTTACCCCCTAATTGTTACCGGAGTTGGGGGCGCGGACGTGATCAAGCAGTCTTGGTTCCGTGTCTCAATCCCCTTCTGGGGTCTCCCTTGTGAGTTGAAGACTTGAAGTAGTCAACAAGGATGTTGTCGTGTGGAAAAGGCCTAACCTTTGGACCGGATCTTGGAACTGGCCGGGGCAATACTTGTCCTCGACATGGCAGCAGAGAGGCGACCAGATCCAGACAGGCAGGCGAGCCCTGTCCCGTGGCGCTGGCTTGTTTTTAGATGCATTTTGAAGACACGCGCATCTGTGAACCGTGTAGAACTTTGTACTTTAACAAGGAATTCGTTTGCTTTACTCGTGTTGAATGGCTAGAATGGCGGGCATTGGATGGTATCTGCAGTGTTTTGTGGTACCCCATGCGCATATGCGTGGAGGAAGAAAATGTTGGCGGCGTTTACGCGTCCTAATGGTGTAGGGTTCGCTACGGCAACCCACCTTGTCATGGAGTGTGCAGGTTTATCGCAGCGGCCTTTTATCATATTCTGCAACCGAGCATAAGTTTGGCGCAGCGAGCTGGCGGATGCGTGCTTCTGCAGCTGTATCGCCCTTCATACCTGTGCATGTGATTGCCTCGTTAGGCGTTACCCCCAATAACATGATGGGCATGTTTTAAGGCAGCTAGTGCCGTCGTGGTTATTACTGGTTGTTAGAAGCTCAAAAGCATGGGCCTCTGCCGCAAGACGCTAGCTGCGTGCTAGGCCGTACCATGGACGCATGGACTGCTACCAAGATTGCGACTGTTCGCAGGAGGAGGTTGGGCCCCGTGACCGTTTGGGCGCCACAAAGTGATCGTTTCGTGTATATGCGTGCAGATTCGCAGGAGTGCGTTTTGAAGCAGACACGATGATAGGCATGTACCATGATGCATTTCATTTGTTCAGGCTGTCGCGTCTTGTGAAGAACTTTTTGTGGGCATATCCCGTGGCAGGGTTCGGAACCTGGCTGCTGCTTGTGGGGTATCGGCCAGGTCGTGTGGTTGCGACACGCCGGTGGAACCCCGGTGTGCTTGGCCCCTGGGCCGCAGAGATGCGGCCTTTGGTGTATCAATTGTGTGTCTGTTGATTACGGCATGTAATCTATTCGTACAAGTCCATATGGCTAATGCTCATCTCCATGCTTCATTGTTCTCACGACAGCTTGCCGCCAGGGAAGCCCCACCGTGTTGACCCGCACCAGTCGTGCAAGCCAGAAAGGCGGGCTGCAAGGGAGACTTCGACCAGTGAACACCGGTAACCCCTGCAACGCTTGTTGTGCTTGGCCAGCTAATCCTGCAATTCAGAATATTGAGAGGTCTAGGTAGGTTAGGGGTCATTGAAGCGGGCAGGGTGAAAAGAGGCTACGGGAAAGGTTGTGGGGTTTATGCTTGTGGTTGCCCGACTGTGGCGACGGCTGCTAGGGTTCGTGGAGTTGAGCGTCTGCAGACGGAACGGCAGGGACCACTTCCAAGGACCATAAGTTGTGCTTCTCGCGTCATATGATGAGGACTTACACCGGATGCGTCTGCAAGCTGTTGAAAAAGCCGAAGAACCCTTCACCTTGGTTGCCGTGGGTTTGTGTTGACCCTTGGGACATCGTGCGGCACTGTTCACTACTCTTAGGTGTCATGCTGTCAAAGCATTTAGCTTCTGTCAGTGACGCTAGGTAGCACTGCCTGTGCCCTTCGCGTAGAGCTCGTCGCTTTCCGCTATATATTCTGCTGTTTCCAGCAAATGGTAATAAATAGCTAACCACAGCACAATATATACATAACCATGGAATATTTTCAACATTTCCACACGACTATCAGTTAATACCTTGGGACATTGACATTCGCACCTGCAAGTAACCATTCGCGTAACCAGGACCTCCGATATCGCTCGCCCAGAGGGGTCATTTCATGGGTTGTGGGGCGTCAGTCAACACAGGGCGACGTGAATCTGGTGCGGAGGGCGTTCAAGGAAATCCTGCAGAACAACTGCTGACGCAGCTGGTGACGAGCGAGTAAGTTTGCGATGACCACGGATTGCTGCGGACTTACGCCTACAGACACAATTGTGCGCAATTGTGTCATTTCCTTTCTTATTTTGGAAAGCGAAGACTTGTCGGTACCGTTGCAACATTCTCTGCTCCGGTAGCCCGAAAGCCATTAACCGGCTTCCCCGTCGATGACCCAGCATGAGCAGGTTTGCAAGTAAAGAGCTGCAAGCATCTGCACAGGATGCGGCAAAGGAAGCAAGCGCGTCGGACGGCAATGGCCTTGCCGCTGAGACATCGCAGAAGCTGGTGCTGGAGCGGGTGTGCTCGAGTGTGCGCGACGAATGGCATGCTGATGAGGTTGACTCTCTCGGCAAACAGCTGCGTCTGGTGGGTTGCCAAGTAACGAAACCTTGGGAGTTGGATACATCCGCGCGGGCGGTCAAGCTATTCGACTGAGATCGGTGCCTCTGAAGCATGGAAACAGTCCAATAGACCGCTTCCTTTGGTTTCGGCACAACCTAAGAGCCTCGGCATCTCACTTCTCATATAACGTTTCCATCATTTCCATCCCTCAATGTCAGTCAATCGTGGTGTTCGGCGCCTCGGGCGACTTAGCCAAGAAGAAGACCTACCCCGCGCTTTACGAGCTCTTCAAAAAGGGGTGAGCGCCTAGCTGTTGCTTCTTCCACCGTATTCCCCCTTTACCGTTAATCCGCCACACTCTTCCACGTTAACTGCACCTGCTCAATCTTTTACCCTTTCATGCCGCTGCCACCGATCCCTCTCCACCCACCCTCCTCACTCCCACCTCCCTCCGCCTTCCCTTCCGCAGATTCCTTCCGCGACGTCTGCAGATTGTGGGCTATGCACGCTCCCGCATGAGCACCCAGGTAGCTGCGGGAAATGGGAGTGACAGCAGCCGTGTAGGGTATTCCAGGGTCCCCCACCCCTCACCCCCCACCCCCCACCCCCCACCTCCCCTCACCCCTCCTGCAGCACCTCCTGCCATCTCTGCCATACAGACTCATCTCCTCCCCTCCCGCTTACCCGCTAACCCACCCCTTCAATCCGACATCTCACCCTCCTCCCTCCCTCACGCCCTCAGGACCTGCGTGACCGGCTGCGCCCCCACCTGAGCCGCCAGCCGGCCGAGTGCGAGTGTGTGGAGCAGTTCCTGAACAGCTGCTCCTACCTGGCGGGGGAGGTGGGGGGGGGGGCCGGGTTGAGAGGGGCGGGTGGGTGGGCGGGGGCCAGAGATTTAGCAAAACACCAGGTTAGGGGAAAGCATGGGGATAGAGGAACGCAGTTGGGGGTAAAAATAAGGAAAACTGACGAACTGGATGACGAGGCTTCTCCAGTTTGGGGGGGGCGCAGCAGCCGGAGGCGGCCGCTTCCGTACATGTATCTTGGGAGCATGATATCATCAGGGTCTAATTATGCATCCCCCTTTCCCCTGTCCTTCCCTCCTTCCCACCCTCCCCCTCCCTCCGCCTCTTCCCCCTCCCTCCGCCTCGTCCTCCTGCCCCCCCCCCCACCACCCACAGTACGACGCCCCCGCCGGCTACGAGGCTCTAGGGGCGGCCCTGACCGCTTGGGAGGCCACCATGTGCCGAGCTGCAGGGGGCGGAGGGGGCGGGGGGCGCGGAGGGGGCGGGGGGCAGCAGGTGGGCGGAGCAGGAGAAGCAGCAGGGGGAGGGAATGGAGCAGGCGGCGGCAATGGCGGCGGCGGAGGGGGAGGAGGAGGAGGGGGGTGCAGTGGTCCCCGGCTGGGTCGGTTGTTCTACCTAGCGCTGCCCCCCAGCGCCTACCCGCACGTGTGCCAGTTCCTCAAGCTGCACTGTGCCGTACTGTACGGAGGGGGAGGAGGGGGAGGGGGAGGGAGCAGGGCGGGGGAGGTGCGACGAGGAGGAGGAGGGGGAGGAGGAGGAGCAGGAGGAGGCGTAGGGGGCGTGGCGCCTCAGCTGCAGGGCAGCTTCGTGCGACTGATCCTGGAGAAACCCTTTGGTAGGGCGGAGGGGGCTGCGGCTCTTACGGGATGCTTGCCTGCCTGCTTGGTTGGTTGGGTGGTTGGGTGGACATCCACGAATAGCAGCAGCAGCAGCAGCCGGCTGTGGCCTGCTGTTGATTGACGTCGGGGCGAGTGCGGGTGGGGCGCTACTGTGTACTGCGGGGGGGTGGGACTGGCGACTGCCGCGGCGGCACTCAATGACAACGACCACCCCAACAGCCGCCTGCACGTGTCTACCCTACTCACAACTTCTTCCCCCGTCCTCCTCACACCCCCCCATCCCCTCCTCACCCCTCCCGCCCCCGCCCCCCCCAGGTCACGACCTGTCCAGCAGCGAGGTGCTAGCTGCCCACATCGGGTCGTACTGGCCGGAGGAGCAGCTGTACCGCATAGACCACTACCTGGGCAAGGAACTGGTGCAGGTGGGGGGGGAGGGAGGTGGGGGGGGAGGTCAAAGCCATACCGAGCCATAGGAAACTACAGGTTGGGGGGGGGAGGGGGAAGAGGAAGAAAAAGAAGAATACCTACTGTGTGGGCTGGGGGGGATGATGAGGGTGCCCTGTTTCGTGCTCCAATCTGGCTACCTAGTAAGCCCACCGCCCGTCCCACCCCCACCTTCACCGGCTGCCGGCACCACAGTCACTCTCTCTTTACTCCCTCACAACGCTGCCCGCCTTCCCTCTCAACCACTGCTCCTCCCCCCGCCCAACCCTCCTCCCCCACCTCCCTTCCTCCTCCCCCACCTCTGCCAGAATATGCTGATGCTGCGGTTCGCCAACCCCATCTTCGGCGCCTTCTTCAACCGTCACTACATTGCCTCCATCCAGGTTACCTTCAAGGTGGAGACGGAGGCGGGGGGGAGGCGGGGGCATGGAGGGAAGGCGGGGGCGTAGGGGGGAAGGCTGGGGCATGGAGGGAAGCGGTGATGGGGGTGACTGACACTGCGGGACGAGGGAGGGGTTGTCTTAACGAAACCTTTTTGGGGACTTTCCATCTCCTCTCTCTCCAGCACTGCACAAACCACTCACCCTGCGCGGCCCCCGCCCTCCAACCATCACCACCACCAACACCAACACCAACACATCCCTCCCCCCAGGAGCCATTCGGTACGGAGGGCCGCGGCGGTTACTTTGATCAGTACGGCATCATTCGTGACGTCATCCAGAACCACCTCATACAGGTGCGAGCAGGGAGGGGTGTGAGGGGGTGGAGGGGGTCATGCAAACGGTTTGAACTGTGTGCATATTTGGTAAGAGATCTGGCCGCGTGCGTGTGGTACGGCAACCATACGTGCGTCCGCGCATGTGGGCCCAACGGTTGGATGCGCGTTTCTGCAACTGCCCTGTAACCGAGCCACGGCCTGGCAATGACCCTCCCGCCCCAATGCCTGCATGCCCCCCGCCCCCTCCCCCTGCCCCCCTCACCCCCTTCTTTCCCCCCCGCCCCCCCCCCCCCCGGCTCACATGTTGCAACCCATGTTGACGCCTTATCCCTCAGTCAGTTAGTTGTTTCCTCTTTACCCCCCCGCTCCCAGGTTCTGGCGTTGCTGACCATGGAGGCGCCCGTGTCCCTGCACCCGGATGACATCCGCGATGAGAAGGTCAAGGTGCTTCGTTGCATCGCCCCCGTGGGGCTGCAGGACTGTGTGGTGGGGCAGTACGTGGGGGCGCAGGTGGGTCAACAATACAGAGACACTGACCAGGCGCAGGTGGGGGAAAGGGGGGTCTAGATAGTCCAGACCATAGGAAACCACAGGTTAGGGCAAAGCAAAGGGGGTAGGAGGCGGCAGGGTGCCACATGGCAAAGCGTTGATTAACTGAGGGAGGGGCGGGGGGATGGGTGGGGAGAGGAGGAAGGACCAACCAACCAGCCGTGTGGCAAGACGCTGCCATCCGGGGCAGGGCTGGGCAGGGATAGGAGGCGTGAGGAGGGAGTAGCAGAGCCATGTACAAAGGGCAGGGGAGCGGGGCTGGAACCCAAGGCCTGCCTTCTTCCGTTCCCCTCCTCAACTGGGTATCCTTCTATCCCCTTCCTCCCCCCTTCCCCCTCTCCCCTCCCCCCCCCCCAGGGCCAGCCCGGCTACCTGGACGACCCCACGGTGCCCCCCGGCAGCCGCACCCCCACATTCGCAGCGGTGCGGCTGCTGGTGCGCAACGAGAGGTGGGACGGAGTGCCAATCGTGATCAAGGCGGGCAAGGCGCTGAACGAGCGGCTGGCGGCGGTGAGGGAGGGGGTGTGGGGGAGGGTTGGAGGGGGGAGGGGAGGAGGAGGGGTGTAGCGGAGAGGTGGCAAGGGAGAGGAGGACGAATTGGGTGTGGCAATTCTGAATCGGTAAACATCGTTTCAGTCGCGGTCTCTGTCCACATTGGCAGTCCCAGGGGGCTGGCGGTACTGCTCCCACACCCACCAAGTTCCTCAACACAACACACAAAACCCTTCCCCCCGCCCCCACCCCCCGCCCCCTCCCTCCCCCGCCCGCCCCCAGGTTCGCATACAGCTGCGCACTCCGCCCGCCTCCATCTTCGGCTCCCTGGAGCACATGCGGAACGAGCTGGTCATTCGGTTCCAGGTGGGGGGGGAGGCGGGAGGAGGGGAAGAGGGAGGGAGAGGGGGAGAGAGGGTGGAGGAGGGGGAGAGGAGGGAAGAGGGTAAGGGCGGGCGTGCATAGCCTACCCTTTAATAGCACAACCTGGACTGGGCGCCTGGAAGCCATGCAGGTGCTGGTGCGGCACACGAAGGCAGGGGTGCTGCCTCACCCTCACTTCATTCCTACGCTCACATCTTCCCCGCTTCTTCATCTTCTCCCCTCCTCGTTATCATGTTCTTTCCTTCCCACCTCCCCTCCTCTAGTGTCTCCGTATGCGCTCACTGCATGAGTCGGGATATGGGATTGGGACTCCAGTTGCTGCATTTCTCACTTATGTTTCCCTAACCTGTGGCTTCCTATGGTATGGTATGGTCTTCGACACCCCCACCTCCCACCTCCCCCACCTCCCACCTCCCCCCCTGCCAGCCCGGCGAGGCCATCTACGCCAAGATGGTGGTCAAGAAGCCGGGGCTAGAGATGGACTACGAGATGTCGGAGCTGGACCTGTCCTACCCGTGAGTGGAGCTGGTACGGGTGTACGGGTGTAAGCACCTTGGTCTCCGTGGTCTGCGTCTGTCTGTCTGTCTGTCTGTGTTACACATTTGTACTGCATACTGTGTTATCGTACAATGTGGATGTGATAAGTGTACGTGCCCTCCTGAGGTGATCATGAGATGTCGTACCGAATGCAAGCGTGATGGATGCGAAAGATGTTCGGCGCGCATGCAACCCCCTTCCCTGTCCCCTTCCCCGTCCCCGCCCTCTTACCCTGAATTGCCCCCCCCTGCAGTGAGCGTTACAAGGGGGTGGTCATCCCGGACGCCTACGAGCGACTTATCCTGGACTGCATCCGGTAGGGGGCCGGGGTAAGGGGGCCTCCGGTAGGGAGGTGGGGGATGTGGGAGGGGAGCGGGGAGCTAGTAGGGTTTAGGGTGTAGCGGGTGATAGCAAGGGCCACGACAGGCTTGGCAAGGCCTTAACACCTCATTCGGCCACTTTAGCTTCCTAAACTTTCTAAGCCTTAACCCATTCCTTCCTGCATCCTCTCCCAACCCCTTCCCTCCCCCTCAGCGGTGACCAGCAGCACTTTGTCCGGCGCGACGAGCTGAGGGCCGCGTGGGCCATCTTCACCCCGCTGCTGCATGCCATTGACGCGGGGGCGGTGCCCATGCACCTCTACCCGTACGGTGAGGGGAGGGAAGGGGGCGGGGCGGGGTGGCTGGGTGGTTACGGAGGCTCCTTTACTTTGCTGGTTCGTTGGGTAGTTAAGGAATCTGCATCACGCTCAGCCCGGAAACCCTCACCCGGACCACTCCTACACCCGACCTTTCCATCACCCTCGCTCCCTCTCCCCTCTCCTCCCTCCCCCCCCCCGTCTCCAGGCTCGCGCGGCCCCCCCGCCGCCGACCCCTTCATCGCGGAGAGCGGCTACGTGCGCACCGAGTACACTTGGCAGCAGAGCCACAAGGCGGGGGGGGCGGGGGAGGGGCCGGGACCGGGGGGCGGCGGGCAGCCGGCGGGGAAGCTGTGAGGAGGAGGAGGAGGGGAGGGGAGGTGGGGGGCCAAAGACCATACCCGAATGATAGGAAAACAGGGGGCAGGGCGGTGGTCGGGGGTGCTTGGGAGGAGTGAGGACGAGGGGTAGCGGCTGGCGGCGGCGGCTGCTCCCACTACTGTCCATTACACGGAACGCAACATGGGATGAGATAGCTAAGCTGGGGAAGCGCCTCCGCTGGATTGTGGCTGCACGCGTTCCACGTGTAGATGTATATAATAAGACCACGATTGGGGTTGTTGGGTGGAGAGTGTTGTGTGTGGGGGGGGTCTTACATGCATGGGGGGGTTGCTCATGCATTGTGAGCTTTAGGTAGGAGGTTTGGGTGGGTGTTGGGGGGAAGCTGATGGCGGTTCGAAGGTTGGAGGGGCGCAGTGCACCTCTCGCGGCATGTTGGAGGAGAAAGCGTCTCTGTTACGGGGTCTCTGTTTGTAATTTGGTACCAATGTCTCCAATCAGGTAATGAACGACGACACTGCTTACGTAAGCGATGATGTCACACAAGGTATTGCTGCAGAGCGACTCTACAGTGGTGACTCGCAGGTCGTACAGTTGTTGCCTCCTTAGAAGATGTGCGTACGACATGTTTCCATGTCAGAGACGTCACTTGTTTGTTTGTTGTACGACATCCCCAGTTTCACAAATTACGGTTGTGTACGACATGTCAGTTGTGTACGGCATGTTGTACGACATGCTGATCTTCTTTGTTCTTCCCAGCACTTGGCTGTTTCTTGAGGATGCTGCTGTACGGCTGTCGTTGGGAAACCTAACGTGACGAGCTCGTGGGGTGGTCTTTATGCTGATGTTTGTTATGCTCGTTGGATTGTCTTTATGCGGATGTATGGAGAGGTGACCGGGAGAGATAGGCGGACCTTCATCTCCGCGTGTGCCGCATGCTCCGGCGGACCACCATTGTACCGGTAGATCACGTTCAGGGCAGTCGCGGCTGCAACGGACAGCTTGTTGAGTTGTTACCCCTCTCCCCTGCATGTCTGCATAACAACGGCGCAGCTACCGGTGGCTGAGACCGATCACGCTGCATAGTTTTAGCACGATCTGCGTTCGTGAAAAGCCAAACAAGGCGTCCCATGCGTGTTGATGTGCAGCGTTCGTCAAGCCTAACATACCAGTATGTCAAGCCTCCCCACACATGCGCGACCCATATCCCCGCGTATGATGTAGCTCCATGCACCTGCCAGGGCCATAAACTCATAATCTGTTGAAACGCAGGGAGATTTGAATCCGCGATCCCTTAGATAGAATCCGGATCTGAATCGCGATCCGTACGACATGGATTGGGAAGAGAAGCCGTCGTGTACATTGCCTACTGATCTCAATGCTACGACTGACACCATCCTACAGTTCAAATATGCGCATGTCTTAAAACTTCACAAGCTGGGCGTTGACAGGCTCGATGTGGCTTCTCGGCAGCAGCTGTGGGACTCGGATCTGCAGCCGCTACAGGATCTGGTCGCCCGCTGCGTCGCCGTGCATATGGAAACCATGGCGGTGGACAAGAACGTTGAAGCAGCAGTTGCAGCCATGCAGCTGCTCGCAAAGCCAGAGTGGCTGGAAGTGATCCGCCCACAAAATAGGCTAAGGCTGCAGCTCCAAGCGGTTGTGAGGCCGCTGACTGCAAGCCAGCTGGTTCCAACAGAGCCGCCGCCATCAACTGCTGCTGCGGCTGGGGTGCTTCTGCTGATGAGCCCTTGGCAGCCTCCACGGTAGCCGCCCCGCTGCTACCCCAGCACCTCAGCACCCCCGCTTTAAGGCACTCCCCGTTCCTGCTGTTGAAGGGGCCCACCATCCAGGCCTTGTTGGACTGCATCAAGGTCACCAAGCTCGAGTCATATCCACGACAGCTGGGCAAGGACGCAGCAGCAGCAACAGCGACCACGGGCAGCTGCAGTCCCAGCAGCAGCCCCAGCAGCGGCCGGCACCTGGTGCGCTACACGCTGATGCGGCGCCGTCCTGCTGCAGTGCACTGAGGACACGGGGGCGGTGGGGGCGGCGGTCAGGGCCGAGGCAGTACGGAAGGAGTCGGGCTTGGAGGTCGCCCGGGTACACGCTCCGAGTATACTCGAGCAGACGGCATCATTTTCGTTGCTCTGCAGCAGGTGCGACCAAAATGTGGAGCGTGAGTTGCGAGAGCAGGGTTCCGCGTGCTGCCTTATCTATGTTGCCATGCCCGGTTGTGCATTGGAAGCCTCACGACAGCTACGGTGCATGCGAGTGCTCGGACGTACATGCAGACCGGTGGCTCTTCGGACATGGACATACACAGATACACTTAGCGTGTCTAGGTCTCGGAGTCTACGAACATGTGTCCAGTCCTTGAGGTCTACATCTCGGTCCTTTGTATGCGTGTGTGCTCGCATCGCCTCACATGCCACTATGTTTACTAGCTATAGCTCTGCCGTGAAGGTAGCACCCTCGCGCTGCCCATACTGACAACAGGTGTTGCAGTCGCTGTGGGACGATGCGGCCGCCGAGTGGGCGAGGAGGAGTGGCTGCGGCAGCTGCTGGAGGTGTGGGAGCAGCTGAGCAACGTGCCGCCCCGGGTGCTGCTGTAGCCGGGGGGACCATACCGAACCATAGGAACCGAACCATAGCTGTAGCCGGGGGGGGGGTTTAAAAGAGGAAACAACTTACTACGGTAGCCGGGAGGAGAGGCAGCCTGCTGGTAGAGTCCCGCATTGTCTTGCGGCGGGCTCCGGTGGTGCTGAGACCGGTGGCGTCAGCGGTCGGCGACAGTGCTCGAGAATGCGTGTTGGTGATACCGGTACTGATACCATGCAGGCAGAGGCTTATTGTGGAGGTGTGACAGCTGGTTGGGAGGGTGAAGTAAGGGCTGTAGGGAAGCAGTAGGAGCCAGGGAGGAGTGGGTGTATGTAGCTGCGACGCTGACATCGGAATGGAGCTGAAAACAGATAAACACAGCACCCATATATTGGTATGGTTTAGGGCACACTTCCGGACAGGGTGCAAAGCTGCAAGTGAGGCAGGTTGAAGGTCACGGTGCTGTTTCCACTGCCACGGTGTTTTGGGGACACATGTTCCCCACATGAAAACTTGGTCCATTGTTCGGTGGTTCCGCCGGGTACGAGTGAGCGCATGAAGACAAACAAATGCTGGGCGGATGAGTCGGATGGACTCCACATAGCTGGTCATAGCTGGTTAGTCGGTGCGCCAATACGGCACGTTGTCCAGCTGGTTGGCACTTGCTTCTATCGCAAACGTCACCACCCAGCCAAGCCAAACCGCGTACCGTTACCGTTAGAAGAGCTTATGCGCATTATTTCAGACGCCGTCCGCCAGCTACATACCGCATTACAACCTCCTACCGCCAACCGTGTACAACACACGCACACTGGCCCAGTACGAACGGCTCCTGCCGCTGTTATTAATGCTGCCAAGCTTGCCTAAAGCCCATACCATACCATATATGCGCCTTTAAACTGCTGCCATTGAACTCGCCCGCACACCTGACGGAAGGCCCATAGCTCAGCCACCCAATGGCAAGCGGCGCATCTCCACTACCCACTTCCCCGACACCCAAATGCACCCGTACGCTGCCAGCCACATACCGTTCACAGCTATGCTACACACGCATAAACCACACCAGTTTATCGAACACAGGTGCAACCCGCACCAGCCTTAAGACCATACGAACCGACAAGCGCGTACATGAACCGCCAGAACCATTACCAAACCATGCAACACCATGCCACTTTGCGGCAGGCAGCTGCACGCTTTGTTCCCGGCACGCCTCCCGCATATCCCGCTAGCTTTCCACGCGCGCTGGTCCGCAGTTCCCGGCTTCATTCCTGCCTCTAGTCGTTGAGCGCTCTCTCCCTCTCAAAAAGGCACACAACAGCTCTCCGCCTCGCCCACTGGCTGGTCCCCATGAAGGCCACGTTGCTCAAAGAGCTAGCGACCCGAAAAACAAGCTCATGGGGACTACACCTGCGGACCAGAGGACGACCACCACCTGCTAACACACCAGTCATGTCAAACCCACGACCTAAAACAGGCGGCCGGCAAGCACCTCGGAACGACAAGTTGGCGTATAGCGACCGTCCAGCAAATAAAGCAGCAGCCGTCTTGAGAGACGCTCGACAATGGGGCACAGAGTCGTGATAATGCAGCAGCGTCGTCTGGCCAACCATGAACGGACCCATGGGTCAAACCAGCTACCGGCAAGGTGATCGCTGACCGTTCTTGGGGACTAAAAGAGAAGATCAAAGCTGTCCCTTTATGCTGCAGTTTATCTCAGACCCCGTCCGCCGTATGCAAGCATGGCGCAAGTGACGCCTCTCGTATCACGCCGTTTATGAGCGTGCCGAAAACCGCACCCCGGTATGGACAAAAACCCAAATTGGTGCCATGCATTAGGATTCGCATTCCACCATTTCACGGGGTTAACGCTAGCGCCACCGCTGCTGTCCCTTTTCCTGCGCCCTCCAAGCCCAACTTCCAAGCCAGCTGCTGCTGCTGCTGCTGCCGCTGCTGCCCGCTGCTCCCCAGCGACGGCCCAAGCAAAGCCGCATCGCTGCTCCTGTCGGTTCCTGAAAGCACCACAGCCGCTTCGCCGCGCTGCGCTTAGTTGGTGGCGGCCTTGTTCATGGCCTCGCGTCCTGCACGGACAACAAACCCAAACGACAGTGAAGTTGGAGGCGTGTGCTACAGAGTGGGCAACACTATCTATGACCCGCAACCCAACAGCAATGTTCATAATCCGTACCACGACTAGGGCAAAAGGGAAAGCGACAATGGGCACGTTGCAATGCAATCGCGGGATATTAAACATGCCCTCCACGGCCCCCACCATCGCATGTTTACTCCCTCCAACCCTCCCTACTTGGTTTTCTTCATCTCTTTCCCTCTTTCCCTCTTTCCCTTCCTCCCCTCCCACCCCAACTCACGTTGCCGGAGGCGCTGCGCGACGTAGAAGGCAATCTCCAGGGACTGCTCGGCGTTCAGGCGCGGGTCGCAGTGGGTGTGGTAGCGGGAGTTCAGGTCGTCCTCCGAGATGGACGCGCCTCCACCAATGCACTCCGTCACGTTGTCGCCCGTCATCTCCAGGTGCACACCGCCGGGCACGGTGCCCATCTTGTCGTGCACGTCGAAGAAGGCCTCAATCTCCGAGCGCACGTTCTCGTAGCGGCGCGTCTTGTAGCCCGACACCGTCTCGGTGTTGCCGTGCATGGGGTCGCACACCCAGGTGACCACCTGGCCTGACCGCTGCACGGCCTCAATCATGCTGGGCAGCTTGTCACGGAGCTTCTTGGCGCCCATGCGCACAATGATGGACAACCGGCCGGGCACGTTGCTCGGGTTGAGCATGGCAATGAGCGTAACCAGGTCGTTGGGAGCCATCTTGTCCGACACCTTGACGCCAATTGGGTTGTGCACGCCGCGCATGTACTCCACGTGGGCGTGGTCTAGCTGGCGTGTGCGCTCGCCGCACCAGAGGAAGTGGGCGGAGCAGCCGTACCAGAGGTCGCTGGTGGAATCCCGGCGGGTCAGCGCCTCTTCGTAGTCCAGCAGCAGGCACTCGTGAGCGGTGAAGAACTCCGTCTCGCGCATGAAGGGCATGTTGGTGTCCATGCCGCAGGCAATCATGAACTGAATCGCCTCATCGACGCGCTTGGCAATGTCCATGTAGTGGTGGCCCTCGTGGGTGTTCTTCATGAAGTCCAGGTTCCACTGCGACACGCGCGAGAGGCCGGCATAGCCACCGTAGCTGAAGCCGCGCAGCAGGTTCAGGGTCGCGGCAGACTGGTTGTAGGCGCGAACCAGGCGCTGAGGATCGCAGCGGCGGGCCTCCTCGGTGAACTCCGGCCCGTTAATGATATCGCCACGGTAAGAGGGCAGCGTGACGCCGTCGATAGTCTCGGTAGGAGCTGAGCGCGGCTTAGCGAACTGGCCAGCGACGCGGCCCAGCTTGACAATTGGCACACCGCCACCGAAGGCGAGGACAATGCTCATCTGGAGCAGTAGACGGTAGAGGTCACGGATGCGGTTCGCAGAGAACTGGCTGAAAGCCTCCGCACAGTCGCCACCGAAAAGCACGAATGCTTCGCCGGCAGCGGCCTTAGCCAGACGCTGCTGCAGCGTGCGGCACTCTCCAGCGAAAATCAGGGGTGGCATACGATGAATTTCCTGCAAAAGGGTAATAAAATCCAGATGGGTTGGCTCAACGTCAGCGACAATTGACAACAGGCCCTTTGCCCAAAGCTCCAACAATCCCCCAAAAGAAACACGTATACAAAGGATTGGCTCTAGAGTATAACAAAACATATTTAACATCCGAAGAAAGTGCCGCGGGCTTGTTTTGCAGCACCTACCGCGACTGCCTTCTCAACCTCGACCTTATCAATATACTCAGGCTGCTGCTGCGCCGGCTTGCTGCGCCAAGAAGCAGGCGACCAAGAGCTGTTGTTTTGGAGTGAGCTGGGAACCTCCACACGAGGCTCGCTGGCAACAGCAGACACCGACACCGTGCGCCGGCGAGCAAGTGCTGGAAGACCACGGGCCGATGTTCGGACACGCAGGCCCTGGGCCTGAGACGTTTGCAGCTGCATGTTTCCTAGCGGTATGGGTGAATAGCGGTGCAAGTAACAGTAATGAATTGGTGGGTAGCGGCGGCTATTTCCAGGTGGCCAAGTGGCCGACCTACGAACTGCACACGCAAAAGCGTGTTCGGTAACAAGGTACAAAGGAAAGTTTCGGCAGCGGCCTGTTGCCAAATGTGTGGAAGGATGTACGGCAGCGAGGCTTCTGTCAGGAAGATTTCGCCCCGCCCTCCACCCTTTGGTGTTAATCGTAACAGAGGGCAACCCTGCATATTGAGTTGTACCCAACAAACCCTGAATTAAACCTTGTATCCCATTTGTATCCCTTGCGCCAGGCTTTACCTTAGTGAAACATATTGGTTACAGTATTATAAACGTACTATTGCATTAAACTGCAGCATATACCTATCACCCACAAACCCAGCGCGGCTAGCTCCTCCACGCTAGGTACTAGCATGGAGGCGGGGGTAGCCGGCGTGCAGAAAACATGCAGCTGCTGACCCAGCAGGAGACGCCAATTTTGCTGTCGCTTCTTCTATCGAGTGAGGCGAAGAGCTTGCGGACTGTCCAGACAGAGTTCGAGAGGGCCTTCCCGGACCGCTTCCGCGCCTGCTGCGCCGTTGTCCTTTTGCTCGAGGTAAGCCTGGCGATGTAGAAGCGACACCGCCGCAAGCTTGGGTGCACCGCCCCTGACACCAACTCTCCACCTCCGCCGGCGGTTGCGCAGGATCCGACGGTCCTTCGTCTGCCGCAGCGCATAGCGTCCTGGTTTTTGCTGTCCATCCGTGACGCGGGTGCCAACAGCGCTTCACCCTTCCTCCCCCTTCTTGACAAGGTATGTGCTGACTAACGCCGCAACACCTGGGGTCGGAGCCTAGTTAAGAGGGTTAGCGGCATGTAGCATGCGAGTCCCCGAACTACTACATGAAGGCGGTACGGTAGTGCGGCTATAGGAGCTTTAGACGCCTGGTGGCCTGCCCAGGATTGGGACACGGACTCCCCACTGCAAGAGCTCACACGCACTAGAACCACAGCAGCAGATGCCGGTGCAGCTCAGCCGCCCCAGCTGATCCCTCCCTCCTCTTTCCGCGCGCCCTTGCTCCCGCCTTATGTGGCCCCCAGGCCGCCAGCAACCCCGCCGCCCCGCACGTCGAGCGGACCTTTCTGCGTCAGCTGCTGCTTGGCCCGCTCCCTGCAGAGGTGTGTAATGACGCTAATGGGTGTGCGGACAAGGATGGAGATGTTGCATGGAGAGGGTAATGGCAGGGGGCGGTCTGCGTGAGTCCGCCTCCTGCATGCGCGCTGGGCCGGTTGCGCTTTGCCGCCGCTTGCTGTGCCAGCCGTGTGTCGGGGGCTTAGGGTAAAGCAGTCGTGGACCCAGAACACGTGCACGTCTCTGCGCCTCCGCACCGACTTGGCAGTGTCATCACCGCCCTCCTGACCCACATCCGCGCATGCCCCACCCCCGGCTCTGCTCCCGCGCCTCACAGCTAGCGGAGGTTACCCCTAGGGCGCTCGCCTTCTCCGCCGTTCAGCTCCCAGCGGCCACAGCAGCGGCGGCAGGAGCGGCAGCAGCTCCGACACAGCCGCAGCGGGACCAGCAGCAGCAGCAGCCCGGGGCGACCACCGCCGCGCTTCCCACCGCCTCTTCCGCAGGGCCCAAATGTCAGACCAGGGAAGGCTCTAGCGGGGCGCCGGACGCTGCCCCACGACCCCAGGGTCATGCATTGCAGCATGCGGTCCCTGCCGCTGCGGCTGCTCAGGGGCAGCAGCAGCAGCACCAGCAGCCGGTGCTGCCGGCTGCGTTGATGGTGTGGGAGCGGCCTCAGCCCGCGGTGCTCACCCCGCTGCCCTCGGAGCTCAAGTGGCTCAATCCGGACCTGCAGGGGGAACTGCTTTGGGACTCGGACATGGGGGACACTGCGGGCGGGGGCGGCAGCGGCGGCGTGGGAGTGGCGGGGGTGAGTGGGAGTGCAGCTGGTGGTGCTGGTGGTGCTGCCTCTGCACGGCTGGATGGCGCTGGTTCGTTGCCGGGCTCGGGGTTAGGGATACAACAGCAGCCCGGGCTGCAGCAGCAGCAACAGCAACCACAGCCTTCTGCTCAAGGGGCCGGGGGCCAGCAGGCGGCTAGGGACCTGCTGGCATCTGCGCTGCGGGCGCCGCTGCTGCCCATGCAGCAGCAGCAGCTCCTCGCGGAGTTTGACGCCGACCCACGGGTCATTCTGCGGCTCGGCCTGACGCCCGCGCACCTGCCAGCCCTAGTGGAGAACGCGCCGGTGGTGGCGACCGAGGCGCTGATGCTGCTGATCGTGCGGTGGCCTGAGCGGGCTGCCGGCTTCCTGGGTGTGTTGGCTCGCAGCGAGATGAGCCTTCACTCGCTGGAGGTGGTGAACCGGCTGACGTCGACGGGAGCGGTGCCCGTGGAGTTCGTGCACCTGTACATCACCAACTGCATCCACTCCTGCGAGAGCACTCAGGTGGGAGGAGGAGGAGAGGGAGGAAGAGGAGGAGAGGGAGGAGGAGGTGGGGGATGGGGTTGGGAAGTGGGAGCTGTTGGGGGCCTGGGTGTGGGTGGCTAGCTGGTGGAATGAAAGTGTAAAGGGTTTGCAGGGCTTGGCGCGGCAGGTTAACTGCGCATTGGAAGGGGGCACACCAACCCAGATGGGAGGAGGTGTTGCATCGCATCTGCTACCTTCCCTACACTCGTGCCCTACCCTCAAGTGCTCCACATGCGGCCCTACCAATCCTCCCTCTCCCAACCCCTCTTCCCCTCGGCCCTGCAGGACAAGTACGTTCAGAACCGGCTGGTGCGCCTGGTGTGCGTGTTCCTGCAGTCGCTCATCCGCAACAAGGTGATCCACATCCACGAGCTGCTGCATGAGGTGCAGGCCTTCTGCATCAACTTCTCACGCATCAGGGAGGCGGCGAAGCTGTTCAGGCTGCTCAAGCAGGTGGGGAAGCGGGGAGGGGGGGAGCGGCACGTGTACGTACGGCACGTGTGTGGGCGGGGCGGGGGGGCCGGAGGGGTTGAGAGCGGCATGTAGAATGCAGGGTGGGTGTAGAATGCAGGGTGGGTTGCGTGTGCAGATGCATGCGCCTTCCGAAGTTAATCCCGGGTGCGTGCCACACACACGCCGCGACTTGCCCGGCACGTGCCGCTGGCTCGTCTGCTTTTCCTGCTATTCCTGCTGTACTTATCAATTACTGGCCTGCTGTATGTGTGCAGATTGAGGCGGCCATGCGGGGAGCTGATGGGGCCGCCGCGGGGGCAGGGGGCGCGGGTGAGGAGCCCTCTACAGCAGCAGCAGGTGGGGCTGGCGCAGCGGAGGGTGCCGGTGGCATGGTGGGGAGCCTGGAGGTAGCAGGCGGCAACGAGTGAGCGGAGGAAGGGTGAGGAGGGTGTGAGGAGGAAGGGTTGGCGGAGGCAGGGGCAGAGATGCATCTATAGTCTATGTGAGAACGGAATTATCCTACTTGGGACGGATCGGGTAAGGTGGATGACTCTTATTAAAGACGATGGCATCCTTGTTTCGGGGTTTTGCTCAGCCTGAGCCGTTGGGGGCCGGATGTGTTCGGGTGCCTCTGTAAAGGGCTCTGCTGGCTCGCCTGGATGTTGCACTTGACGGACATGATGGTCATGGGGAGAGACACAAGATAAACCGTAAATGGCAGCGGACCGCTGTAAGCGCTGTATTGTGAGTTAGGACGATTGCCGGGAACATAGATGTCGTTGCAGTTGTTAAGAAGGCTTGATGTACGAATGCTTGGCTATTTTGCTTACAGGCTGCGGTAGCAGAGCAGCTTGCAAGGGCTGAGCGGTAGATAACAGTTGCTCCGATGTGGCTCCGGAAGCAGCGTGGAGGGTACCGGTAGTGACAATGCAGGGTGGGCTCCGGGGCACTAAAGGTGGTGGACCTTTACGCTGCTTCTACCGTACTGAAGGTAGCGCTTGAAGTGGCTTTTCGAGGTTGATGAATATAGCCTCTTCCAGCGCCATACGACAGCTCAAGCGCTGAAGCTCAACAGTCCGCTTTGACAGCAGCGTGTAGAAACCGGATGTATAACACGACGTTCTATGCTATGTATCCAAAACGAACACAACGTGTTTGTCCGCAATTCCCAGCAGTCCAGGCCAGCGCCCAGACCCCGCCTAAACAAAGCCGTCCGCCCCCTCCACTCCAACATGCCGCACAGAGCACGTCCCTCACACCCCTGTCAGCCTGCTACGAAACCTGACAATGGCAAGTCAGGCAAGGGCCCGCTACCATTGCGCTAATGCTGTGTACGTGCCCGCAGCGCCTGCTACCCGTCCTGTCGGCTTACAGGACCGGGCAGAGGACTCCCCCAGTGTTCCTCCAGCCGGGACACAGTCGAAGCCCATACCTCAGTTGCCACACCACACCCTTAAAACAGACCGCCTCCTGCCGTACATCACATCAGAGACATAATCCTACTCGTCACACCTCCTAGGCTTGTTAGGTTGTTACATCTACATACCTCCTGATCCTGTCACACACACGCATGTCCTCGTCCGTCGCTACTCCTAGATCTCCTGCAAGTGGAATTTAAGCACCGCGTCCGGGCAGTGCGGATGCTTCCGGATGCCCTCCTCCAGCTCCCGGGACCCCACCAGCAACACCACGCCTGGGGGTGGCGGGGGCGGGTGGGTGTGGGTGAGTTGCTAGGGATAGGGATATCATGGGAATAGAGTGAGTGGGTGGGGTGCGGGGTTGTGATGTGCTGAGTGGAGGTTGGCGGAGTGGTGGGAGCAATGGCGGTGTGGTACGGACAGAGATCTTGTACAGGTCGGGAGATAGGAGCATGCTGCGATCAGAGGTAAGCCCCACGACAATCACATGAGACAGCAACATCATCATTACCACACATCCACCCAAAAGCCACTCTCCCCTCCCACCTGCGTACGACAGATCTCTCCCCCGTGTCTCCACATTCGCGTCCGCGTAGTGCGCCAGGCCGCTCAGCGGCAGCCCCTGCCAGGCGGCCGCAGCGGCCTTCTTGTCGAAGGCGATGGCGCCCCGGCCGCCCTGAATGGAGCGGTACTCGTCCCACACCATCTGGGAGGGAGCGGAAAGGAGGGGGGGCAGAAGGGGAGGGAACAACAGGACCAGGCTTAGGGAGAAGACAGCGCCACAAGGCAGGACGCGGCGATGATGCGGACGGGAGAATCGGAGGTTGAAGAACACCAGCAGCCGCGCTTCCCCCCCCCACACCTCACAGCTGCACCCTGGGTGCAGCCCCGTCATACAGCGCGTGTCAGTTTCCTATCCATTTCAACCCCACCTCAAAGTTGCACAGCGGCTGTCCCTTCCTCTGCAGCCGGTGCGCCGCCACCAGCAGCACCAGCGACAACACCGGCAGACCCTTCACAGCTTCGAACTGGGGGGCGGCAGGGGGAGGGGGGATGGAGGGAAGCGGTGGGCGATGACAGGCCCCCGATGGAGAGGAGACGGCGAGAGGATGCACTGAGCGTGTATCTGCTGGATGCGAGGACGTGGAGGTACGAGCGGTGCGTGTAGGGGTAGCACAGAAACACTTGGACCGTAACCCGAGGGAGATCGTGGAAGATGGTGCGACCCCCTCCCCAACCCCACCGCAACACCCCCCCAACCCACCAGCGCCATCTCCGGCCCCTCCACCACCTCCCGCAGCGCCTCCTCCAGCTGCCCCGCTCCCAACATGGGGGGAGCACCCCCCTGCCCCTTGCCGCCGCCCTGCCCGCGCTGCTGCTGCTGCTCCGCTGCCGCCTGCAGCTGCTGCCCCCACGCCGCCAGTGCGACCTCGGCCACCAGGGCCAGGTGCTGCGGGGGGGCGCCGATGAGGGACAGCCGGGAGAGCAGCGACTGCGGAGGGGGGGTTGGGGGGAGGGAGGGGGAGGAGGGGAGGGAAGAATGTATGAAAAGTGAAGCAACTGGAGTCACAATCCCAGGTCCCGACTCATGCAGTGAGCGCACACGGAGAGGAGGGGAAAGACCCAAGGCATGGAAGGAGGAGTGCTAGGCTAATACGACACAGCCAATGTTTAAAGAGGCCCGGGGCCGGCCCTAGGATTGCGGATGGCAGATGTGGGAGGGGGGTAGAACCCCACTCCTCAGCTCCCAGCTGCGCAACCCCACCTCCCCCCCGCCCCACTCCTTCTCTCATCCTCACCGCCACTCTGGGCTCCCGCAGCGCCCCCGCCACTCCCCGATTGTGCGCCTCCACATCCGCTGCACTCAGACACCCTCCACCTCCACCTCCTGCTGCCCCCGCCCCTGCCACCAGCAGTCCCGTCATGCCGGGGTGCAGAGCCAGCATGTCGTACAGTAGCCCCTCGTACGAGTCAGCCCCCCCTCCGCCACTCCCCGAGTCAACCACCATGGCGCTGCCACCAGCTGCTGCTCCTCCCTCGGGGCTCCCCCGGCTGCTGGCCCCCGGTGAGGGGGGGCCGAGGGCGGGGCCGGCAAAGCCGCCGGGAGCCTGCAGGGGGGAGGGGGGTTAACGCTTGGAGGTTGGGAGCAGGCCCTGTGGGGCGCTGGTCGCGTTCGTCAATGTCATGTATCCCCCCTCCTTGACATGCAAAACTGACTCCACTCCACGGCAGCCAGCGCAACATCCGCCATCGGCCAGTCATACTCCCCTTTACATACCCCATCCCCACCCCCAGCCCCCGACCCCTCCCTCACCTCATCCGCCCCCGGCGGTGGCGCGGGGAACGTCACGATGACCCTCCTGCGCCCCACTCGCGACATGACGCGCTTCTCCAGGTCCTCCGCCACGTTGTGGGCCGAGCTCAGCCCGATCACAGCCGCCTGGATCTTGCTGTCCTGGGAGGGGGGGAAAGAAGGAGGAGGAAGACCACAGGGGACATAAGGTTGGGTGAGAGACATGCGTCTGTGTGCATGCGGATGACGACGGGCTGTGTGCGGCGTGCGCGGGGCGCACCACTTGCTAGCCCCCTCCCTGAGGTCCCTTCTCCTCCGCAACCCCCCTCCCGGGCCCCGGGACCCCTCCTCCACCCTCCCCCCACCTGCAGCAGGTCCAGCAGGTAGTAGAGCATCTGCTGCTTGCCGCGCTTGGCGTACTGCTGGAACTCGTCCACCACAAACACCACCTTCTTGAGGCACCTGGGCGGAGAGGGAAAAAAGGTAAATGAGGAATGGGGGGGGGGGAAATGACAAGATAAAAAGCACAGTCCCATGTACCGAGGAGATTAGATAAACTGAGCCGAGGGGAGGGGACAGGAGAAGGGAGGCGAGGGAGCTGTGTTGGAGGTGGTTGAGGAAGAAAGAAGGGTAGGCCAAGAGGAACCCAATGTCGAAACATGACGCCCATGCATCTCAACAACGGACGTACATAACGTCATCATTACATAACCTTCGGAACAGTAAGTACGCTCCCCCTCCCCTCCTTACTACCCACTTGTACAGCGCGTGCAGCATGCCTTTGAGAAACACCAGGTTTTCGTCAAAGGTCGCCGACTTGACGAACTTCTGACCGAAATCGCGACAGAGCTGTCGTGCGACTTCCTGGAATGCCGTACGCTCGTCCGGCTGTAGCAGACCGTTAAGTCGTACGACACCCACGTTGCGAACCGCTGCGCTGATGGATGCAGTGGCGACAGTTGCGGTTGCTGGTGCGGCTGTGGCCGCAGCTGCAGAGGTGGTTGGTGCCTCGGCGGTGGTTGCGGTGGTTGGCGGTACGTTGGTTGGTGGGCCGTTGTACTTATTACATATCTCCTGAAGCGCACGTTCCACGACCTGCATGCATTGGAGGAAATGCAGATCCCCTATTGATGACAGCGTCCTGTTCCTAATCCATATCCTGAGGCAGTGTTGATTCCCTCATTCACGCCATCCACAACCCAGCAGTACCTACTCACCAGCGTCTTGCCGGTTCCCGGCGGCCCCAGCACGAGCAGCGAGGCATTGCCGTTGTGGGAGCTGACTGCTTCGTCCAACACGCGTACCAGGTCGTCCTTAATGCGTCGCAGCGATGGGCGCAAGGGAACCATGGCTGCGGCCGGGCAGCCCGGGTCGACTACCGCTTCGCGTAACAGGCTGCAGCACCTTTGCCAAGTTTGTAGACTGGCGGAGGAAGCGGGGAGCTGGGCTGCCGAGGAAATGAAGCCTGTGCTCTTCGTGGCCCGCGGAGAAATGGGCATGCCAGCTGCAGCTCGTCGGGAAGCAAGGGGGCTACCATGCTGCACCATAGGTGAGGACGTAGACTTGCTGGGCGTGTAAGGCTGCTGCTGACGGTCCTTTCGTTTGCGCGGAGATGGCGAGCTGAGGGGCCCCGGGCCCGGCAGCTTCGTCATGTTGGAAGGAGCAAAGCTATAGCAAAGATTATAACGGTTAAAGCTATATGGTCAGTTGAATTAATGTAAGTTAAGCATCGGCGAATTTGCACGTGAAGTTTGTGCAAGAAGGACAGCTCCAAACAACAGCTGAAATGAAAATTTGAGTTAATGGATGCTGTTGATGCTAAGTTACGTATGGTGGTACCCTGTGTCGGCGTCTCGCAGGAAAGGGTCTGTCCCGGATTCCCCTGGGACTCCCGCCTTTCGGCTCCATCGTACTGCCTACGACAGAAGGCAATCAGATTAGTTCACCGACAACGAACCCTTCACCAAGACTACCGCAACGCTTGCGCACTGTATGTGCTTCACAAGGGTCTAATCTTGCTTGAGAAGGAGCCCCCAACATGCATTCTACTATTCGGGCACCACGCCCCTTCACAAATGCCCCTCGCCTAGCCTCAAATAGAACACGAAAATTGCGTGTACGTGCTTCACTGGTTCGTGGAAGCTCGTGCAGCAGCGAGTGCTCAACATCCGGCTCGGACAACCTTTGGTGGCGAACGCTGGCGACGCTCGAAGTGCAAAAAGTACAACCTGCTGCGACAATTGCAGTACTCGTGCTAGGCATGGCTGCAACGGCTGGAGCTGCATCTGCAGCGGACTTTGGCGACATTCATGTGCAGCCGCTTGCAGACCTCGCGGAGGAGGATATCCTTACAAACCTAGGGCGCTATGCCCGCTATTTCGTCTCGGTTATGCTCGGAACGGGTTACGTGATGCTGCGTCCGCTCCAGTCCATGTTCAAGCGGCCAGTCACCGCAATCCTGGGCATCGTAGCAATAGTTGCCTTGGTGCTCGGCATACGCGTGGCGCTGGAGCTCATGTTGGGCATCAACGAGTACCAGTACAACCCTGACAACTTCCAAATTGTGACCCAGTACTAAAAATGCCAGGTTGCAGTGTGGATGACCGCATGGATGTCCACATTTTGGGGTTGCCGTGGAGCCCAACCGGCAAGAAGACATGCGAGCGCGGCCTTCATCCGTCGCTGGGATCTCTGGTTGATTTCGAGCTTACCCTATGAAACGAGCATGGCTACATCCTTGTCCCCACTGGAGGAGGTTTTCAGGGCTTTCACAGGCCCCTGTCAGAACATGAACTGACGGGAGAGGTTTCCGTGTTGTGCGGGTTTAAACCAAGCTGGGCAGGACAGTGCTGCCATGCCTAACGTTCCTCCTACGCTGTTTGTGGTGGCAGTGGGGACCAGCCACCAGAAAGGAACGGCTGGGCAAGGCTGGTGGAGGCTGTGCGCCCGGTTGCTGTTATGATCCTGCAGATGGCGAAGGTAGCTGCGAGGGTGGAACCCCAGGAAGGGGCCCTAGGCGGGGGGATTTTGTGACGCAGCCGCCTGGAAGTACTGACCGTGGTGGGTGTATGAGAGTGACCAGCGGGGCCTCGATGTATGGGGCTCAAGGTTTGGTAACGCAGGATGAAACTGACACTTGCTGCTCGTGTGTTGCATGCAAAGGTCTTGTTGTTGTGCATATGGGGTTTATGGGATGGCCGCAAGTAGGAACGTACTGTGAGGACGTGACGTGTGGGGACTTGTGTATGTGTGAGGATTGGCTTATTGCAGCTCGCATGCTGTTGCAACGGAACGGAAAGGCAGGAGGTGGGAAATGATGCACGTGATGCGCCTGATCGAAGATAAGACGTTGACAAGTACCTTCCCCTTTAAACAGCCAACGCAGTAAACCTCGCGCATTCCGCATCTCTCTCTGTGCCATCTCCTCCACAGCACATACGCGGCCTGCCTTGCACCCTAGCGGACCTCCGCATGACCGCTAGCAGTCTCCGCAGGCGCTGCACGGTGCAGTGCGCCCGTCATCCCGCCTTGAAAGCTCGCCTCCACCTGCCTTCCTGGGCCTCTCCTCCTCACCCTCTTCAACATCCCCCTCCTTCCCCCGTCTTCCTCGGCCAGCATGAGCAAAGCCAGCATGAGTTGCAGTGGCAGGCTGCAACGAAGCATGTAGCCTCAAGTCAAGAGTCCAACTGAACGTTTGCAATTCCGTTACGAGCATTGCAGCTCTTAAAAGCTTTCGCTCTCCGCCCCCATGGCTACACCCTTCACACACCGCTATCACATTCCCAGAAAAACTAGGCGGATCTTGAGCACGCTATAAAGCACTTGAGAATGATCCGGCCTTACTGCTTTAATCCATTGAACGCATTGCAACGAGCCGACCAGAAGGAGCAACGAAGCCCATCCCCAGGACCATCCCCGAGCGAAATTCACCCCGCACCAACGCTGCCTAGCAAGCAAATTTCTCACTGCGAATCAACTGGCCAACCAGCCAGGCCCCGTTCATGCAGCCCGACTAGGGGCAGCGCAACGCCCCACCTATCCTGCGAACAAAACGTCAATCAACGCCTCCCCGCCTAGTCCCCCCACATCCGCTTCCGATTCATAGCAACTCCAATACCGTACCGCAAAGTTTCACTGCAATTGAACACTCAACACCAAAACCGGACCGAACATACCCAAGAACCCAACCCTGCAACGCACCCCTAACCCTGCTTTCCCCACCCCCCAGTGCTCCCCCACCTCAATCCTCCTTTTCCCGGATGTCCTCCCCCTTCCCCTTCCGCACCGCCATCCACGCCACCCTCAAAATCAACCCAAACCAATACACATGGAAGCAACACAGCACGCACAGCAGCCCATTCAGCAGCCCGTGATGCGGCGGCGTGTAGCCCAGCACCCGTACACTGTCGTACAACGTGGATTTGATGAGTACGGCAGGGAAGGCGTACAGTCGCAGACCCGCCCATGCGCCCACGAAGAGCCCAAAGGTGGTGTTGGCTGCGGTGTGGAGTTCGGCGTAGTTTAGGCACTTGGCTAGCTCCATGATGACGTCGTTGATGTCGTGCAACATCATGATGAGGCAGCCCCAGCGCTGGTAGCTGAGGGTGCGGGGAGAAGTGCGGGGGCGGGTGCGGGTGGCGGGTGCGGGAGCGGGAGCTCGGGTTGGGTTGATTGCATCGGGACTTAGACAATGCACAGCTCAAGGGTGAATATAGGGTGGCGTGAGGTGGTAGGTGGCGCTGGCTGGAGCTACCACCCACTGCCGCGGCCAGGTGCTTTAACACACTACCGCTGGTGGGCTGGAGGCACCCCCCGCTGCCCCCCCTCAAGTGGCGCACGCTCCTCTGGTCCACCCCCACCTCCACCCCTCCCGCATCCTCCCACCCCTCCCGCCCCTCCTACCACCTCGTCACTTCCCTCCTGTTCACCCTCCCGCATCCTCACCACCTCTCGCGCATCCTCCCCCCCCACCAGTCAGTTTTCCTTTTTATTACCCCTCCCCCTCCGCCCCTCTCACCCGCTGATGTAGTTGTATGCGATGAGCACCACGGTGCAGCAGTGGTGCGTCTGCATGACCCAGTAGTCGCTGCGCGGCACCTCCCACAGAGCCAGCGTGAAGGTGGTGGACACGTAGTACGACAGCTGGGCCAGGAACAGCAGCCGCATGAGGGGGCTGGGGGGGGGTGGGGTGGGGAAGGGGGGTGGGAGGGCATTAAGGAAACGGACGAAAGTGTATGACGAGGCTTCACCATGGGTTGCCGGTGGTCGTTGGTCGTGGGGGTGGGAGACATGGGGGAGGGTGGAAGGCCACGCACAGGTGCGGAGGGGGGCGCCGGCGGTGTAAGTTAAGGACATTGATCCCCCCTTCCGCGGGGAGGACTCCCTGCCATACTTCGTGTAGTGAAGATCAGGACAGCCAGCTGCCCGGCCCCCCGCCCCGTCCTGAGCCCAGCACCCCGCCCGGTCCCCAGCCCGGCCCCCAGCAGCCAGTACCAGAAGATTCGCACCCACAGCACCTCCGGCCAGTGCCGCCCGCCGGCACCCCCTACCCCCGCCTCCGCCGCCAGTGCACCCAGCCCTGTGCGCCCCCGCTGCCCACCCCCCCCCAGGAGCTGGTACCGGCTGGAGGTACCGGCTGGACGACCAGGCAGCAGCGCCGCGGCACCCACCGCACTGACCGCAGCTACCAGCCACCCGGCCACCCAACCACACAGGCCGCCCAGCCAGCACCCCACCACCGTACGGCACCCCACCGTACGACAACCCCTGTACGTACGGCGCCCTGGCATCTCATCAACCCCTCCCCGCCCCGCCCCACTCACAGCTCCGGCAGCTGCGGCCAGCCGACCCAGTAGTCCCCCGGCCGCCAGAACCAGGGCTCGGGCAGCGTGATGGACAGCTCCAGAGCTAGCATGCTGCCGTACGCGGTGAGCTGGGTGGGGTGGGGGAGTTGTGGGGGTGTGGAAGGGGGCTTTTGGAGGGATGGTCAGAGACCAAAGAAGAGCATAGAAAATCACAGGTTGAGGGGTGGAGGGTGGCGGTGTGGGAGAAGTGGGGTTTGGAGTGGGTTTGGGGCGAAGGTGTAGTTCAGACTTCAGAGGATTGCAGGTGACGTTGGGCGTGTATTGTTGTTGTATCTACAACACCGATATGCCGTACAGGTGCTTTCCGTTATCAGCAAGTCTCGCATGCACGAGCACTGCTCCCACCCAGCATGCACACCCGACCCTGCATGTGCCAGCCCTTCCACAGCAGCAGCAGCCCTCCTTGCCTGCACTGTCCCAACCACCCCCAACACCCCCAGCCCCCACCTTCCAAAAGGACTCGCACATCTTTGTCACCCGCTCCGCCTTTAGTCGTCTAAGAGACGTCCCTGACGCCTCCTGCCTCCGCTGTTCCTGTTCCTGCTGCTGCTGCTGCTGCAATTCCCGGTGCTGCCCCTCCTGCTGCTGCTCCGGTTTCCTGGATCGATGCCGCTGCTCCTCCGCCTCCTCCTGCTGCTGAGCTGGTCGCCCTTTACCTCGCTGCTGCTGCCTTTCCTGCTGTTCTTTACGTTCATTTTGCTGCTGCCCGTGAGCTTCTTGCTGGCTGTGGGAAGAGCCAGATCCTAGGAGTATACGCCTTGCGATGGGCTGTTATGGACATGGGGGTGTACGGCACGGGATTGACAACGGATTCAGGGGGAGATGGGGGTTGAAATGGACGTCCCGAAGCGTGCTGAGGAGACCAAAGGTTCCGAAGGGAACATCTGACTGAGGTGACATGTACCCAAGGGTTCTGAGCTTCCCACCTGTTCCCACCTTATATAATAAGACGTCTAGCAGCCACCGCAGGATTGGTAGAAGTAATGACATGCCTGCAGGTAGCATCGTGTAAGTAAGGAGAATGCCGGGAGGGAAGCGGCGACACGATGGGATGGTGCTACGGTTTGCGGCGCCTACCGAGCACATAGCCCAGCTCGGGGTTGCGACGAACATGTCGGGCTGCACTTCCAACTATCTCGAGGGTTCGCGCGGCGAAATGTGGTGCTCCGCTCAGCGTGGTTACAACATCGCATGCATGATCCACCGAAGAACACATAAGGAACAAGGAGCAAGTTGTCAATAGACCAGTGCGAGAATATATGACTATCACTTAACAGCAGCTTAGGGATAGAAACATTTATGCTTAGCAAGGTGTGTCCGTTCAGACGAACAGCTAGGCACAGTTGGCTCGCAAAGTCCCGAGAAATATATAACCCTTAGTGTGTTCCTCCTATGCGAACTCGGATGTCCAACTCAGGCTAGGTCGACTCCCTTGCGGTTGGGTCCTTCTAGTACAACACCGTAGAAGACGAGCAAGATGTCATGCTCGAACCCGTGGAAGCAGTTTCTGTTCCTAAGTTGCCTATGCTACGCAAAACAGGTTAATACCAGCCGCGATCAGCACATCAAATACAGCGCACTAGCTCGCGGTTAGGGTTACTGGACTTGTCGACAAAGCCTTCGGGTTTAGAGCGTTATCGTGTCATCTCAGTATAGTTGCTCACAGTAATCTATCCTAGGAGCCTTTAGCTGGCTTAATTGTCCTCCTGCGTGCCGTGGGCGGCCCCAGCGAGATATCGCCGTGGTCTGGAGCACCGCTTGGAGGCCGCTAGAGCCCCTTACTATGCTTTCGAAGTCAAATAATCGATACCAGAACAACGTGTTTTAGCAGCATCCAAAGCAAGGGTGAGACGCCTGCACTTAATATCTACACCCGCGCTTTTCCCACCCTTGGTATTCGTGCGCTACTTGCACTACGAGCTGCAATTTTCGTCTTAATGCAATTTCGCCCTTGGCAGGGACCATGGAGGCTGCGGCAGGCGCCCCGATGCGCCCCCGGCTTGCACAGGTTGGACACACACACCGGCGCTGCGCCAACAGCTTTCAGCGCATTCCGCCGTCCTTTATAGTATCACGAAATTTAGCAAGATCCTTGCATTCCGCGGCCGGCCCAGGGCCCGGCTCTTCGAGCGACGCCGGCGATGCGCTTGCGCCCATCCTTTTCCGCTTCGGCGACAGTCCTACATCACCAACGATCAGCGGAAAAAGCTCACAAAGTCAAAGCTCTTCGCGTTCAAACATTTTTGCCGGCAGCGGCAGCAGCGCATCCCTCACCGGAGGCAGCATCTCCCCGGGCGGTACTGCAAGCATCTCGGGCGGAGGGATCAGCGGGCTAGCCCCGCCCTCAGCCGTTGCTGCTAGCGCTGGTTTAGCTCCTCTGGAGGCTCCCCCACGTCCAGCAACTTCCACCAGCAGCAGTAGCGGCGGCAGCAGCAGCAACACTTCCATCAGCAAAGCCACGCCATCCCGGCTGTCCCGCGACACCTCAGCGAGCAGCAGCGAAACTGCCAACTCCGCTACCGCTTCCACCTCGACGAAAAGCACCATTAGCAGCAGCAACAGCGCGAGCTACAGCGAGTACTATCGCATGAACAACACGCCCTTCCAAAGGCCCCCTGCAGCGGGTACCCCCTCCTCACCCTCCTCCAGCACCACCACCACAACCACCACGGATGCTGCCCTCCCCAAGGTTGCCAGCACAGGAGCTGACAGCAGATCACCCACCTCCATTCCTGCTGCTGCTAAGGTTTCGGAGCCAAGCCAGGCCAGCAGTAGCGAACGGGCTGCCCCCACAGCCACAGCAGCCGATGCAGCCGCACAGGCAACGACAACCACCCCCACCCCGACCCCCACCGCCGCTGCTACCGACGCCAGCACCCTGACAACCAGCAGCATCGAGGAAGCTCCTTCCTCCACAACCGCCTCCTCGTCCTCCACCACAACCGCCACAAGCGCCGAAGCTCCTGATACCCCCTCCTCGCCCTCCACCTCCTCCACCGCCCCCGCGGACGACCCCCAAGTCGCTGCAGCCATAGCTCGCGCCCAGGCCGCCCTGAAGCGCGCCGAGAACTCCCTGGAGGGCATCGAGCGCCTGAGCAGCAGCCTGGAGGAGGTCAGCATGCTGCGAGCGAGCGCCGAGCCGCCCAGCAAGTGGGCGCGACTGCTGTCGCTCGCTCGCGCCGCCGCCTCATTGGGCGCGCTGTCGGTCGCGCTGCTCGCCTCGCATGCATTCGGATTGGCAGTGCAGTGGGTGGGGGCAGTGGCGGGTGCGGCGGGTATCGCGGCGTGGGGGCTGCAGCGGCGGGCGCTGGCGCCGAGTGGAGCGGCGGCGGCGTTTTTGGTGGGGTGTGGCACGCTGGGGAGTAGCTTGAGGTTCGGCGCGACGCTGCTGGCGTTTTTCCTGTCGAGCAGCAAGCTGACGAGCTACAAGGAGGAGATGAAGGAGGGGCTGGAGGAGAGCGCGCGCAAGGGCGGCATGCGGGATTGGGTGCAGGTGGGGCGTGGGTGGGGTGAAAGGGGAGAGTGCGGAGGTGGGGTGAAGAAGCTGTGACGGCTGGTGCCGGGTGGTGGTGGGGAGGGGGGTTATGTCTGAAGTGTTGCTCCGGCTAAGGCTTGTCATGCGCATGGCCCATGCGGTGTTATTGCTTCTCGTGCACAACCTCCGCTCGTGCCCGTGACATTGATCCTTCCCTTCCCCTCCTTACCTTCTCCCTCTCCCGTTCCTTTCCCGCACCATCCCACCTCTTTCCCCGCCCCGCCACCCCCTCTCCTCCCGCACCCCAGGTCCTCTGCAACGGCCTGGTCCCCACCGTCCTCGCCGTCGTGTACGGCATCCTCGCGGGCTGCGTCGACCTCCCCCTCGGCCCGCCCATCTCCTCCATCGCCCCCACCATCCCCACCCCCCCTTCCGCCGCCGCCGCCACCGCCACCGCTGCTGCCGCGGCCGCCGCCCTCGCCACGGGCCCTGCCCTGGAGCCCTGGCGCGCCGCCGCCCTCACAGCCCTCATGGGCGGCTTCCTGGGCTACTACGCGTGCTGCTGCGGTGACACCTGGGCCAGTGAGCTGGGGCCGCTGTCCGCGGACACCCCCGTGCTCATCACCAGCATGCGGCCCGTGCGGAGGGGCACCAACGGCGGCGTGACGCTGTTGGGGCTGAGCGCCTCCATCTTTGGGGGCATGTTTGTGGGCCTGGTGTTCTACCTGGCAGGTGGGTGAGGGGGTTGGGGTGGGGGGTGGGGTTGCGGATGGTGGAGCTCGGATGTGGGTGAAGTTGGGGGCTTGTGAATTGGTAGTCGCCGCCCGGAGAGGGGATGAGGGGCAGTGATGTACATGTTGCCTTATGTCCCCTGCTTGACTCTCTTCCACCGCCCACTCCTCCTCACCCTCCCTCCTCCCCGCCAGGCCTGCTCTCCCCCACGCTGTGGATCTTCTCCTCCCAGCGCGCCCTGGCCGCCGCCCAGTGGCGCCTCATCCCGCTGGGCCTCATGGCGGGGCTGTTGGGCAGCGGCCTGGACTCGCTGCTGGGAGCCACGCTGCAGTTCAGCGGCTACCATGCGGCGTCGGGTCGCATCGTGAGCGCGCCGGGGCCGGGCGTGGAGCGTATTGCGGGGCGGCCGCTGCTGAGTAACAATGGGGTGAATGCGCTGTCGGCGAGTGCGACGGCGGCGTTGACGGCGTTTGTGGCGCTCAAGACGTTTGGGTTTTGAGGAGGAGGGATGAGGAGGGGTGACGAGGGTTGTGGAGGGAGAGGGGGAATAGGGTGTGTTTGGGGGGAGGGGTTCGCATGCATGGGGGGCCACAGGAGCGGGCTGATAAGGCATGGGGTGGTGTGTGGCGGCCATCACATGGCGAGTCCGGGGGTAGGTCTGCTGTGCCCCTCGTGGCGAAGTGGGTTAGGTAGCGAGTTGCTGCTGGGAGGAGTTGCTTGTGCGCGGCTTGTACGACTGCTTGCTGTTGGCTATAGCTCTCTAGTACCGATAACGGGGGTTGGTGGGTTGGAGTGTGGTTTTGGTTGGGTTTCGCAACCCTTTCGTGGGCTTATGCTTTCTGTCCAGGCCCGGAAGCACCACCCACATGGCAGGTGTATGCAGCCGCTCCAGGGGTGTTGGCTGGCATATCATGAGGGGGTGCCCGAGGGATAAAGCCAATGAGGAGGTTTATGTTTCTTTTTCCTTATACAGTACACACTTTTGAGTTGATGCCATGAGAGTGTGGTGGTGGTGGCAATGTAATCCGGCTGCAGCAGCCAATGCGGAGGATGTATGGTGATGGAAGAAACCACACCCAGTTTCCAGTTTTTGGTGGAGAAGAGGAGAGGAGGCCCCACGTGGCTGATATGGTGTAAACAGCACCATATGGTGTAAACAGCACCAAGTTGGCGGAGCTAGGCTGCCTTGGCACCGTTAGGGTTCATGGCACACCTCTTGTTGCTGTGTGCCCCGCCTCGCTGCTGCTGCCTGTGAGGGACGAGGCGCGGAGGAGAGTCGTGTGGGTTGGTGTGGTTGATAGTGCTCTGAAATGTTTGCGGGGGAGGAGAAGAGAGGGAAGCGGAGGACGGCGCTTCCTGGGCAGCCCGTGGGGGATGTGAGGGCGCACCGGAGCCGCCGTCGGAAAGGGGGAGAAGCGGGAGAGGCGCTGAGTTGTTTAGGGCTCCTTCTGGTCTGAAGCACCTGGCTGCTACCGGTACCTCTGCTGCTGGCACTGCTGCTGCTTTTGCACCGGCTGGGTAGGTGGAGCGTGATGCAGGATAGTATGGACAATTGGGATAAAGGGGCTGCTACACGTCGGCGGAGGGGACAGGGGGCAGTCGCGGCGGCGGCATGCGCAGGGGGCTGTCATGTGTCTTGTGTTTGCAGGAGTTGGGATTGATCCAGGTTTTTGCATCACATCACAGTGCCTCCTAGCCTGGCGCTGCTGTCTGTCCCGAGCGGTTCCAGTTCTTGTCCAGTTGAATACCCTTGAGGACACCCGGGGCAGGATTGTAGGTATTGTGCACCGGCTTCGGCGTTGCTTTGGCCCGGTAATCTGCATCGGGGTAGTATTCCGCACCGGTTCCATGTGTTGGTGGGTTGCCTGTTTTGTCGCTTGTGCCGCAGGTTTGCTATGAACATGTTACATGTTAGCAGAGTGCTATCCGCGTGGTTAGCGCTGCTGTGCGCATCCCCGTCGTTGCACGCGGTAGATATTCCCCTTCACCCGTGCAGGCGGGTGTTGCGCCGTAAGTAGGAGGTTAATAAAACGCAGTGCGTGTTGTGCGTAGGTTGCACGAGAGGTTGTGTGTGGGGCGGGGGGTGTATGTCGTAGAATGTAGAACAGCAGTGTCCTTTTCACTTTTCAGGGGGTGCATCTACTGCCTAGTGCTGTAGGTGTTTTCGGCGAGAGGTCCGAGGTAAGCAGGGAGGCGATTGCTGTTGGATTTTGGGCTTCAGTTTAAGAGCTCGCAGCAACATAAAAGAGAGGGAGAGAACACAACAAAGGTACCGAAATTGGGCCGTTGTTATTGCACATAGTGTTAGAGAAGGGCACCTCCCACTTCCCGGGCTCTTTGTTGACGCCGTGTTACCGGCACTTGGTGCGAGCAGCACGGGTTGCTGTACGTCACGTGCAGCGCCAAGTCGTGTACAGTACGATAACGTGGTTGTACGGCTGGAATTGTGGCAGCTGCAACTCTACGGTCGTATGCTGAGCGAGCCGTATATGCTTGTGGTGGTGGTGTCTGACGAGAGAGGGATGGTGTGAAGGTCAAACGTCACGTGAGAGAGAGAGAGAGGGCGAGAGAGTCAAGTTGCTAGGGCTTATAAGAGTTACGCGCAGGGGCATCCATACACATATCACTGATGTGTTAAGACAACTGGACGCGAGTCGGAACGTACTGTGTAAAAGCAGGTATGGCGCTTCACGTTTACCTTGGCCCCTCCTACTCCCATGTTACACATGAATGAGCAACGCACGATGGGCACTTGTTACAGCCTCAAGTCCTCCGCGCCTCAAGTCCGATCGGCCCCCGCGCTCGCCCTCCGGGGCAACACACCCGCCCCAAAGGACACCAATACAACCGGCAGTGAGCCTTCCGAGCCAGTGTAGTGCTCCTAGAGAGGACCCTTGCAGAGCTGTGCTGTGCCGCAAACCGTACACACGAGCCGTACAACATCTGACCAAGATGCATGCACCCAAGAGGGCTGAACCCACGCAACGAGCCCGTAAGAAAGGCCGCGGTCAGCGTTTTGTGGCGATTCGGTTACGACACCCGCCCCCTTGCAAGCCGCTTCAACACGTCCGCAGACGGCGCCATGCGACGAGCCCAGTGCTCGCCGCACCAACCGGCCCATCGCGACGAGCCCAGTGCTCGCCGCACCAACCGGCCCATCGCGGCCAGCACACCCACATGCACCTGCGCCACCGCTTCAAACACCATAAAGAAGACCAGGAGGACACCTCCTCCTTCCCTACTCCAAGACAGCACCACAGCTGCCGCCAGCAAAGATACACCTAGGGTCCTGCTCCCTGGACAGGAACCTAGGTGGACCGTAGCTGGAACAATTCCCATAATAGGATTTGCAAGGCTACCCAAGCAAGGTTTGCTAGCAGCTACACCAACACGCACGGACTGAACCTGGCTAAAAAAAGGCCCCAGGCAAACATCTCCTGTGACAGTCGCATGACCTAATATGCCAGGTTGGGCCCCGACATACGGGCGGAGGCATATGCACACACACCACCAAACCCGTGACACTCTCCAGACGCCTATAACCCCGTCCCTAAACAGAAGCTGGCAAGTCGACTTCTCCCCTACCACAGATACAACCCTCCACTAACACCAGCCCGCATTCCACCCTCCTAGGCTGCTACTGCCGCCAAAGGCGCTTGATGGCACACGCAGCCAACCCTCAAACCCATTAAGCCACCCCCAGCCAACTAGTGTCCCTAACTCCATGCACACCGTGGACGACCGTGCACTTTGCGTTTCAGGCAATCACCAAGACGCCTTGGAGACGCCAGGCAGGAAGCCATTGTGCGCCAGCTGGCGAATCATGATGCGTGACATCCGGGCAAACCGGTGCACACCGTGAGCACGCCCAGTGAGCACGCAGCGGTTCACCACGCGGTTTGCTGCTGAGTCCTTTGGCACCTCAGTTTCAAAGAGACGCTGAACTTGCAGCCGCGTGTCCAGTGGCAGCGTCCTGTCCGTAACCATCGCCTTAAATACTTGTCGGTCCACCTCGTGCTCCTCAACTAGCAATCGCCGGACATGGTCTTTAACGACGCCTCTGTTGCTCAGAATATAGGGCAGCTGTGGAAGCCGGAGCTTCATTGTAGTATTCCTGGCTTCCGGCTTCGGATTGTCAAGCTATTCCTCTCCCCGTAAGGAACAATAACTATTGAGCCTATCAAATCCTGTAATGCTAATGCTGCACTGCAGAGTGACCTAAATCGGACGTTAAAAGAGTGGACGTAGCCGCCGCAAGCAAAGGATTTACACTTCACAATACGAGTGATCCACGTTGAACAAGGCGCGGCAAGTTTGGCTTTGGGAGATGCTTTGTCGAGCAAGGCCAATCATGAATACGACACGCATTCTGGACGAGTAAAGGGACATAACCAAGTTTTCCGCCCTTCCGATAAACACAGTTATCCACGATGGCTTCAAGGTGTCTAGCCGACCTACTTCTGCCAAGCGCGCGACCAGGAGCGGCCCATCTGTCGGCGCTCCTTCCACATCTTTTCATATGCCGACAGGCACATACTAATGCAAACCTACAAAAGCCAGCCCGTTTCTACAAATCCGCAAATGTCGTGCCGACGGCAGATAATGTGAGCCTGGGAAGGGTCGCGATGCGAAGGCATCGGGCAATCACCGTTTACCTGAACCCATGTAATCACGCGCAGACCGGGTACCAACTGATGCTCGACTCTAAACCCGTCCGGACGCCTGGGAAGAAGCTGGCGGTGATGCCCACGTACCCCTTGGCTCTGGCCGTAGCGGCCGAGTGGGAATGGCAGGTAAGCCTTGTAAAACCGTGCTGGGGCCAGTTGCCGCACGTTTCCCCTTACCCACCCGGCGCCATGTAGTTATATCTGTATGTGTTCGTCAGTTTGGCTGCATGTTCCTGGACCTCCCCAACGCGCCTCTCGCACACTGCCCATGAAGCCTCCCACCAGGCTCGCATGTCCCACTGCACAGCACCCCGTTGTCCTCCCTCCCGACTATTCGGCATACAGGGTCATATGTCCTTTCCACTGTACTCCCCACTCACCACACTTATCTCCGGCTACCGCGCCATCCTCGCAGCTCCCACCTCCGCATGTACCGGCCCGGGCCGGCGTGCATGCCTCCTCCCTCCCTGTATCTCTTCCCCTCCAACCTCGCGTCCTTCCCCTGTCCTTCCCAACCTCCCCTCCCCCCCCCCCTCCTCCCTTCCCCCTCCCCGCTCCTCCCTCCCCTCCTCCCTGCCCCCCGTAGAAGACCAGCAAGCCCCAGCTGCACACCATGCCCATGATGAGCTTGGTGGCGCACGCGATGGACCAGGTAGGGGGGGGGGAGAGTGCGAGGAAAGTACCAAACCACAAGTGAGGGCAAGTGAAGGGAGAACTAGATGGGGGTCCCTCAAAGGAAGGGAGGACCAGATGGGGGGCCAGAGGGGCACCAAACTGTACTGTGATTGGGAAAGGGCGCTGCCGCCCCTAGGGGGGGTCACGCTGTGCTGCATGGCACACCGTACAGGGGTGGTACAGGAAACACGATTTCGTGTTTCCATTACCTAACGCCTCTCACCCAAACCGAGGTTGTGTTTGCTGCCAGAGTTGGGAGGCTATTCCACATTATCGCACTAGCCCCTTTCACCTGGCTCGCCCGGATGTGTCACCTGGTACCATGAGCCTCCCTTGCCCCTTCCTTCTTCCCTCCCAGCCGCGGCCCCGGGAAAAGGTTATTGCGCACATCATGAACTACGTACACACGGATTCGGCGTGCTGCCTGTACGAGGAGGGGGCGCTGGCCAGGAGGCAAAAGCGGGTGGGTGGGCGGGTGGGTAACGAGGAAGACTCTGAACTGAGCTGGGTAGGTGGGTGGCAGGAGGTTCTCGAAGCGTACGACATGATGGGCCACAGCCACCCTTGTGTTGGTGTCCATGTTGCTGCTGGTGTAGTAGCACCGGAAAGGGCAGGAAACGCAGTTGCGAGCGGGGCTGTATAGCTTCAGGATACGTGGAAGCAAATACGCCATCCACACGCCATGTTTCAGCCCAAGTGCGGAACATCCATTCCTTCCTAACCCCATTAGGCACCCCATCCCCCACCCCAGCCTCTTCATGCAGTTAGCTAATTGCCCTCTCCTTACCCCGTCCCACCCCGCCCCGACCCCCCTCCCCGTCGCTGCAGGTGTTCCTGCCCATCCTGGAGGCCCTGCGCTGCGACCTGGGCTGGCGCTTCGTGCTGTCGGACAGCATCGCGGGCAGCCACCAGACAGATGAGCTGGTGGCGGGGGTGCAGACATGGCTGGAAGGTAGGGGGGCAGGGGGTGTATGGGGGTGGGGAGGCGAGCGCAACGGGGTGCTTGTCCTTCCTCAATCTCCAATCGCCTCCGCCTCCTTCCGAGCCAATGAGCCGTATATGATCTACCTTCTCCCCTCCTATACCGGTACTCCCTGCCCCCCCTCCCAGGCCTAGATCACTGGCACCTAGCTGCCGTCGAGCAGCTGACGTCCACCTGCAAGTCGCTGGTGCTGGCGGCGGCGCTCATTCGCGGCCACGTGGGCCCTGCGGAGGCGCTGGCGGCGGCGAGGCTGGAGGAGGACTTCCAGGCGGAGGAGTGGGGACGCGTGGAGGCGGGGCACGACCTTGATGAGGCAGACCTGCGCTCGCGCGTGTTCGCGCCGTCGCTGTTTGTGCGGCTGTTGCAAGTGCGGTGATGGGTAGCGGGCGTGCGCGTGTGATTGCGTTGGTGGAGGTGTGTTTGGAAACACGGTGGTGGTGGTGGTGAGGGGGGATGGAGGAGGATTCGGAAGGTAGGGGTGAGGATTACGGACGGGTAGTTGAAGGGAGGATGGAAGGATGAGGGACTGAGGCCGTGGTTCCTGCTCAGTGCTTGTGACCTTAGATGCACGGGTTGGTACCGGCTAGGGTACGTACCGGTCGGAGGATCCCCGAGAATATTGCTCACTGACTTTCAGCGGCCTCTCGTAATTTGGTATGCGTCTTGAACAGAGTTAAGATTTCAGAAAGCCTCAAACCTGCTGGACGGCTACATGCCACAATTTTCAAAGCATGCGCGCAATCTATGTGCGACATCTACACTTTGAAGGTAAAAGCCCTTGGAAGTCCCACAGGTCAAAAGCATCACTGCCACGCTAAAGAGACTAGTGGACAACGCCTGAACGAGACCAGTGTGATGAAGCCAGAGCTTGACGCTCCAGGGAAGTTTTACCATGCCGTCCCCAATGAGCAAAGAAGGCCTGGTGATGCCACAGGAAGCCAAAACAAGCTGTTGCTTTGCGTACTATCAGAGTCTTCATAGTAGCTCGCCGTTGAGGTCATATCCGGGGGTTTGCTGCACCGATCTTCAAGGACCGCTGTTTCCTAAGGTAACCGCGCCGCCCTACAGCATTGCTCTCGTTTCTTCTATGTATATGCATGTTGAGTAGGTCGCTGGGGCATGGTGGCTAGCGTTATGCTGAACTGGCTGCTTCCAGCTTATCCAAGTGCTCGTTTTGCTGGAGTGCACCAGCTCGGGACCCTTCTCCGGTATCCGGGACTCTTTGCTGGCTTTAACAGCTGTGCCCCTTGATGCTGCATGCAGGAGACGAGAACTCTTTCTTTCTATTTGGTAGACCCAATGTCGGCATAGACCTTCTCGCTTGGTAAGGTTCATGCCGTTAACGCCTTCGTTTCTTGTCTTGGTTCTCTTAATGTAGTCATGCGTCAAGGTAGTTTATTTGCTCATAGCGGTCTAACGTTGTGAATCTATGCATGCAGGCGAGCCCTTGGCTGCTTTTTTGGCGACCACGCCCAGCCTTGCTGTAATAAAGTTGGTCACAAATTACGGGCTACAGTCTAGGGGCCCCTACGCCCCGTGCCTTTGTACAGTATGGCTGCAGCTCCTACCAATCTACTTCTCGCGCAGAACTTTACAGCAGCTGACTTGAACAACTTGGGGCGTGCAAATAGCCCAGCCATACCAGGTGGTCCACCACCAGGAGGCCCTGCGCCTAACGGCTTGCAGTTTCAGACTCGTGAGGAGGCGCAAATGTTCCTCCAGGCCGCAGGGAGGGCACAACAAAACGGCGCAAACCCAGGCGGCATTGCCCTTACGCGCGATGCAGTGGCGGCTTTGCAGCACGCTGCGCAGGTAGCTGCAGTTAATCAGGCAAAGATGGGGCCACATGCTGCTGCTGGTACGGGTGCTAACGGCAACATTCGCCCGCCTGTGCCTGTCGTGCCGCAGCTTGGTCAGGGTCAGAACCCTGCGTTGGCGAATCTGCACACCCAGGCGCAGCTTCAGGTAGCTATGAATGCCCAGCGCGCCGCTGCTGCCCAGGCCGCCGCGGCGCAACAGTCAGGTGGTCTGACGGCCGCGAACAACCAGGCGGCGCTCTTCCTGGTGCAGAACCAATTGGCGCAAGCTCAAGCGGCCAACAACGCTGCTCAGGTCAACCCGTTTGGACTCCAGAACGGCCTTCAGAACAACCCCATCGCGGCGGCAGCGGCGGCCGCTGCAGCGGTTGCTGCCACCACTCAGGCAGCTCAGGCGCGCGCAGCTGCTGTGGGAAACGCTAATCTCCTACAGTTGCAGCAGGCTGCTCAGGCGGCGGGATTGCAGCGCCCGCAAGCAATGGCATGGGCTCAAAATCAGGCGCTGCAAAACGCTGCCCTGGCGCAACACAACCTGGCGCAACACAACCTGGCTCAGCAGAACCTGGCAGCCGCTCAGAACAACCCCGCATTGCTCGCCGCAGCTCTGGCACAGCAAGCGCAGCAAGCCCGCGCAGCTCTGCAGGTACAGCAACTCGCGCAACAGCAGGCCGCCGCCGCAGCAGCTGCTCGGCCGCTCGCCCCCTCACAGCCTGGCAACCTCCAGGCCCAGCAGCTCCAGGTCCTGCGTCAGCTGCAGGCGCGCCTGAACGCCGCGCAGAACCCCAACGCACTCGCCTCAGCGGCGGCTGTGGCTCCCACCGCCGCTGCTAAGCCTACCGAGGCGCAGTTGCAAGCTCTTCGTACGGCTCTTGCACGCAGCGCCGCTGGTCGTGCTGCGCTCAACGCCGCCAACGTCCTGGGCGCTAACAACCCCCGCTCTGCGGTGCCGCAAGCTGCGAATGGCACCGGTGCAGCTCCGCCGCTGAACCAGCTCCAGCAGGCGATCAACCTGCAGCTCCTGCTTCAGCAGCAGCGCAACGCAGTGCAGGTGCAGCAGGCTCAGGCCCAAGTCAACGCGATGGCCAACAACCTTGCCAACATGCAGAGCAACGCGGCTGCGGCGCTGAACGGACAGCTGGCGGCGCTGCAGCAGGCCGCCGCCGCTAATGCGGCTGCGAATGGGCAGCGTCAGATGATGGCCGGCAACGCTGCTGCGGCTCTGGCGGGTGTTGGCGCGCCCAACACGGGATCACTCAACGATGTCATGCTGCAGAACCTCCAGAAGATGCAGCTGGCCAAGGCCATGCAGGACTCCGCGGCTGCTGCCGTGTCCGGCCTTTCCATGCCGGCTGCTGACAAGGTTGCGCAGGGTGGCGACGCGGCTGCTGCCGCCGCTAACAACAGCAGCAAGGAGCAGCGTCGCCTGGCGCTGGCATGTGTGGCGCTGCAGCTGGCGCGCGGCGGCATGACTGTGGAGCAGGCCATCAACTCGGGCATCATGGGCGGCATGAGCGTCACGGACGTCAAGTTCATCGTCGAGTGCTACAACGCCGAGCGGCAGCGCATGCAGAACGAAGGCACCCCGGGTACTGGTGGCGCCCCTGCAGCACCTCAGCAGCCGGGTGCTGCTCCGCCTGGCGGCGCCCCGCCTCCGCAGGGGCTTCACGGGCTCCCCGGCGGCTCCGTCAACGCGGGTGGGATTCCTGGTTTCCCCGGCCACCTGCAGGGACACGTCGACCTGGGCATGCATGGAGCTGGTCTTGGCGGCATGATGGCGCCGCCGGGGATGATGGGCCACCCCGGTATGCCGCCCTCGCAGCCGCCGCTGCCCTTTGCTCACTCGCCCTCTGCGCCCGGCAGCCCTGCGCCAAGCGAGTCCAAGGATCCCTCGGTGCTGGCGCCCGGCGGTGGCCCAAGCCGCATGGCCTCGGGCGGCATTCCTAGCCACATCTCCGGACCCGTCTCCCCGCCGCGCGCTGGCGGCCAGGACAGCCCCGTCCCGCGCGGCCACAGCACGCGCGCTGGCTCCGAGGCTGAGGGCGCGGCACATGAGACCCGTTCCGAGGGTGGCGCATCCTCGGAGATTGCAGCAGACGCTGCCGCCGCCGTGGCAGCCCTAGCCAAGGAGCCCTTTGACGCCTTCTCCTACGCCTTCTTCGGCCCCACGGAGGGCCCTGCCATGGGGGAGCTGCTTGGAGAGTTGGAGACGGGTGCCGGTTTGGACGGCGAGCTGGAGCCCAACGCGGTTGCACCGTTGGATGCGGAGGCTCTGGAGGGTGACGCTAGGCTGAGTGGGCCCTCACCGCTGGGCGCGCTGGGTGAGTTGGCTCCGGACCAGGCGGCTTGGCTGCGCGCCGCTGCCTCGGCTAACCAGGCCCTGTGGGCAGGCGAGTCGGCTGAGGAGGGGCCCATGTCGAACGATGAGATCGCTGCACGTCTGGCCAACCTGGACTTGGGTTCGGGCTTTTTCTGAGCCTGCCTACTAACAGATGAGTTTACCATTTCGTAGGGGTATATCTCATTGAGTCATGAGTGGAAATTGGGAAGATAGTAGAGATGTGTTGCAGGCGGTGCCGAGCGGTCTGTTGGTGGTGAGCTTATTGAGGGACATGTGCCGTCTTTGCTATGAGCGCGCAATGCAGCATGTGGCCTCTTGAGTAATTAAGCAACTACCTTTGGGCCATTAGGAAGACGACACACGCACACACACTTGACAATTGAGTACACGTCAGGGGAGTGTTTTTCGAGAGGGAGCTTTCGTTTGGAGACGTGGCACTTCAATAACGCGCCGCCCTCCGATGCACCCGTCGTGTGGCAAAGATCCATTGTGGATGCCTTCAAAGAAAGATTACACCTCGTTTTGGGCATCCTCATAATGTTGATGATCCACAATAGACGGCATCGTCTTGTGCGTTTGTTGACTACGTTTTGTGGGAGCATATTGGCAGATCAATGACAATGATGATGGTGAAACGCCACGAGGGAAGCCACCAGCGCTGTGAGTGGGGCTATGTGTCGCAAAGTGGTGCGCAGGCGCGCGTGTGGGGACGCGGCCGCCATAGCGGCTGTGCACCCCGCCGCAGAGGCGTATCCGTGTGCGAAACTTGCATGCAGCGTGCATATCGGACGGTTCGTGTGTATCGGTGTGTGGTGTGTCGGCGTGCTTTTGCTATCCTGAACCTGTTTCTCTTTCTTTTGGTTTTCGAACCTTTGGTCATGCCTGGTACTGCTGCTGCGGTTGTTGCTGTGGAGGGACCGGCTGCGGGGACGCGGGGCGGGCAGCAGTTGTCGTGTTCCCTTCCTGCTTTCCGGGCTGCGGTGGCCTGTCGAGTAATAGTGTTGTTGTGGTCTTGAGGGGCGTGGTTCAGGGGGCGGGATTAGCGTTACAGTCAACAACACGACCGCGGAACATATCTGCGGTCGAGCAGGAGGGTGCGCAGCTCTGATGCGGGTGTCGATATGCACGGTGGCTGTGCTGAGGTCGCGATGGTGGGGGCGAGGGGTCTGCGGCAACAAGGGCTGCAGAGGCCTGCTGGCACACCTTGCATGGGTAGCCCCCCTCCTTGCGAGAGGCTGACGCCGTCTCGGCCTTGGGATCCCGTCGTCATTGTGGTGTCCGAGGGGACTGCTGGCGAAATGCGGGGGGCTCAAAAAGTGAACTGGATGCTCGCAGCTGCAGGCAAAGTTTTGCATTCTCATGGTGGTTGAGCCGTGTCAGCCCCATGGGCAGGCTTCCCAAAGCAAGCATGGCATGTGGGGCGGCGTTTTCCTTCTTTCGAGGTCTGCGTTTCTGCTCTGGCCGGCGGCTGGTTCCGGGGCGCCCTGACGCGATATGGGGCACATAGCCCCGGAATGTTTGGTCGCGGCCCGGGAACGGGCATACTACGTATTGCATTACACAGACTGATGCACGTGTGTATGGCGTGGTTGCGAGCACAGTTGCCTGGGTGTGTTGCTTTGTCATTCTGTTGAGTCGCTGCTGGTGGTGCTGCTGCTGCTGGTGGTGGGGCGAGGCTCAATGGAGCACACAGGCCCACTTGCTCACGCCACGTATGTGAGAGGTCCACGTTTAGGCCATCAAGAAGGGAGCCCTGTAGGCGCGACAAGTCGGCACTACTACATACTACTGCTATTGCTTCCACTGTTATAGGCTGTAGAGAGATTGCGGGGAAGGGCATCGGGACGCGAGCGTGGGTGGAGATGTGAGGGCGCCTTGTTTTGATGCATGATACCTGATATGTTGTTAGAAATGTGGGAGGTGAGCGCACCTGTGTGGAGGATCGCCCGCGGGATGCTGGGGCGGTTTTGCGTCGTCGGTGATGCTGCCTTCCGTCGTGCCGCATATAATGTCTCGTAGAGCGATAGCCGCCAGAAAGCCAGGGAAATAATAGGTTTTGTGCCCTCTTTTCACATTTGCACATTGACCGCACGGGTTCTATACGCGGGTGCACATATGATGCAGTAAGGTCAGCTTTGCCACGTTGCCTTTTTCGGGCGCCCTCCTCTGTATGTCTCTTTTATTACGATTAACTGCGCCTGCGCTGGTCTTTTAGGTTAGATGTGTCACGCGTGTGTTTGAGAAAGGTTGTATGCCACGGCCTCATAGGCCTGAGGCTTGTTGTCGCCACAGCTTATCAGAGCCGCGATGATTGCAATGCAGCACAGGTAGGAGGCCTTTATAAGCATGATGGCTGCGGTCCCGGTGTGCATGCACTTTGTCTTATGCTGATGACGAGTGCAGGTTGGGTCGGATGATTTGCTTTGGTTTGTGAAGCGGGCGGGCCCCTGGGTTGTTGGGTTTTTTCCACATTACAATATGGTTAATAGATAAGTTAGTATGACGGCTGTGCTCCTGGACAAGATCCCGCAGATCACCGGTGTGGCTGGGGTGTGCAGTACATCATGCTTCACCCGGTGTTCGTAGGATGCATGGTCAAAGGTTGGTTGCGCAGTCGGGTCGGAAGCTCTCTAGGAGCCGGAGTTCTATAACCGTACATCCGTTAGGTCTTAGATCCTTTGATGAGCGTTCAATCCATGTTGCAGCCTCTTGTCCGTGTTTTGCGGCACCTCCAAGCTCTATATGCTGCTGCGCACCCAGCTCATTTGGAGATTGCCTGTACAGAATATAAATCCAAGCAGTTGTAGGCAGGGCGCGTGTGTGTGTAATGTGCGTGTGTTCTTTTCGGTCCGCGAAAGTGCGAGTGCTGGTATGTGCGTGTTGTTATGTTGTTTTTTGGTGGCATGAACTACTACTACCTCCTAACAACCCACCTTCGGTCGAACAACCCGGCGAATTAGTACAGAGAAAAGCGCCGCTATACTCGGCGGCAACATGGTGATGTGTATAATGCCCAACAATTGATTCCCCCGTATGTACGGCGAAGACTGGTGTGCGTGTTTCTGATTCATACGTACTACCGCACAGTGTTAAGAACCTTCTGACCGGTGCGTGTGCAAGTGCGTTGTCTTATCATCAACCGCAGGCGTCGGTGTGCTCCTGAAGGGTGCGCACGGGGCTACATTGCCTGCGTCACTTTCCCACACGGGGCGCCGCGGCGTTGCAGTTAGCGGCGGCGGCATTGGGCGTTGTCTAGGCTGTGTCTCTAGGCTGCTTTGCTGCTCGTCCTCGTGTGCATGTGTGCGCTTGCCCCGTTACCCCGTCTGTGCACGACAACTTATAGGACATGAGCCGCGCGTTCCACTGCTAATGTGGCCGCGGAGGGGTCGCGGAGGGCCCGTTGGCGTGTATATCGGCATTGCCAGTTTTGGAGGTGGTGGAGGGGGGCCGCCGTCTTCGCAACATTTTTTCTGCTGCTGCGCGTGACAGTGCGTTGTGATCTGCGTGTCTCGCGTGTGTCTCACCATGTTGCTCCCCGGTGTTGTACCCTTCGACTACCTACTTGCGTCGTCGTCGCTGCTAGTTTCCTAACCGTCTCTCTCCACTGCTAGTCGCCCCTTATTAACGACCCCATATGTGTGGGGGCGCACGGCCTGCTGCATCCCATGTCATTCGTTGACCGAGGTTGGTTCCTAGGGAAGATGTGTTGGCCTCATACCATAGCTTGAGGCGGCTGACGGGCCGCCGGAAACTGTGGCGATACTTGAGGACCGTAAATTTTACAGATTTACGCGAAAAGAAGCTATAGTGTCGGTGTGCGTCTGTCATTGTGCAGATATACTTATGCGTGTTGCGGAAAGAGGATGCGGAGGGCAGGCATATGTGTGTAGGTACTGTGTACAAAGTGCGTGTGAAGGTTAGGACGGTGCTATTGGTCGTGTGTGCCATTGTCTTGTGCCATTGTAGATCGTGCCGTGTGTGTATAAAGTTGCGCTTTGTGTCGATTTATTTGGCTCCTGGGCCTAAATCAAAGGAGTATTATGTAGTCTTAATTAGTTGCGGCGGAGGAAGAAGACAGCATTGGTTGCGATACTCGGGTTTGGTGTGAAGGGGGTGTGGTTTAGCGCAGTTGTGGTGGCGGCGGTGGTGGTGTAAGGGTGTGTGAGCTGTGGAGCGAGTGAACAATGGAGCTCTGGAAATTATTCGTAAAATGCATGTAATGGGCCTTTCCATGTTTGTCTTGGACCTGCTCGAGCAGTTATCAAGCTGGATCAAGCAAGAGGTATCGGCTTGTGACCCCCCGGCTCAGGACTCGAGCGGCATCAGCGAAAGCCTAGATGCTTCACGTACTTGCTTGCATGGCGGGGATGTCAGCAACATCAGCGGGGTTCCGGACTGCTGCCATGTTGAACTCCAGCGGGGGCGTTGCTGTCTGCCGGTGGTCTAGGTAAGGAGTAAGCAGCCCTTATATAAGACTCATGCCCCAATCTCTGAACGTGTCAAACTCTCACGCTTCATCGGCTTACAGTATGAGAGCCTCTTGGGCTGTAGGCTCTCCTGACCAACCGCTAGAAGCCAGGCAGGACGGTTTGTACGAAGAAGCCAAAGCGATACCAGTTTGGCCTGTTGAATTGCACTTATATATGCCAACAAATCGACATCGGGCTTCGACAAGCAGTATACGCTTGCATATGACCTGTGCAAAGGTGGGCTTCATCACGGCACAGCACGGCAACGCCAAGACCAACACTTGGGAACAACATTTTCTTGCGTCATCTGCAATTGCAAAGTCTTGCGAAGGCAACTTTACAACAGTAGCTTTTAGCAACCACTAGGGCTATGGCATCATGGCTTTTTGGGTGGGGAGCCAAGCCCGCGAAGAGCCCAGAGCTTAAGGAAGCGGAAGCAGGTTTCACAGGATCTGAGTTAAAGGAATTGCGTAAACACTGGGGGGAGGAACTTGCTCGGCAAGCAGGTGAGGAACCCTAAATGCTATGCATTGCACAGCAGGGCCACACCTGACTACCCCTACTGGTATAAGTAGTAGACTCTTTGTATACACACATTTGGACTATCCCTATGTTCTGTCACTTGTGATCGCGAAAAGTACCGGTAGCGAAAGGTCGAGGCCCGCGGGACGATCGGCCCAGAGTAGCGTTGTGCCAGCTCGCATGCAAGTAGCATCTTGCGCCATCCTTCGTCCCAAACACGTATTCATCTGCGTGTGGAACTCGTATATGTATGCATACATGTTCTCTTTCCCTCTCGACCACCCCTCTCCACCCCTCCCCTGCCCCTGCAGCCGGCCCGGGCCCGCCTCCTGCCTCCCGAGGCGGCGGCCTGCGCGCCTCCGCCCTGCCATCCCTGCTGGGCCCCCCCTGGAGCTGCCTGGACCCGCTGCTCGCCTCGCAGCTGCTGCTGCTGCTAGCGGGCAGGGAGGGGGCCGGGGTGGTGCAGCTGGAGAGACTCATCATTGCCAAGGCAGGTGGAGGTGGGGGAAAGCCACCTTAGCCATTCCACTAAACGCCGCCTCCGTGTGAAGGATTTGCGTATAACTCACGGGCTTCCGGACGGTCATGCATGGCCTTTTTCAACTACCGTGTCTGCCTGCCCGCCTGCGTGTCCTCAGGCCCGGCTGGAGGGGCGGCTGGGCGAGGAGGCCTCCCTGGAGTTCACCTACCGCCTGCTGTACGGCAATGAGGGCGGAGTACGACCGGAAGTCCTGGAGGTGGCGCTCCTGTCGTGCATGCGCATGGTGGCACAGGAGGCGGGCATGGCGGCGGCTGCAGGGGGGCGGGACATGGCGGCGGCGCTAGCACCACCTGCTGCTTCGACAGCGGCAGCGGCGACTGCGGCAGCGGCGACAGCGGCAGCGACTTTGCTGGCGCCGGCTACAGTGGATGGGGCTTTGGGGAACCCGAGGCCCGGGGTTGGTGGCGCGAAGCCCGTGAAGCCTAGCGGGGATAGAGTCAACAGCAGCAGCAGCAATATGGCTCCACAGGCGTCGGGGAAGGCAGGGTATGCGACGGCAGCAGAAGCAACAGCAGCCGCTGCTGCAGCGGCAACAGCAGTCGCAGGGGAGAAGACCATGCGCGCCCACATCGCGGCCATTCGGAGTGGCGCCGTACAATTCTACAAGTCGAGTACTTCAGCCGCTGCTGCTTCTTCAACACCCCCCACCGCTGCTGCGGCTGCTGTCGAAGGCACGGGCAAGGGTACGGAAAAAGGGGAAGCTGTACGGCTGCCGTACGATTGGTTCCGCCAATGGACGAAACGCTGTCCTGCATTGCACAAGACGCTATCGGGGCTGCTGTTTTCGCGAGTGGGATCTCCTGACAGGTATAAACAAACAGCAGCAGCTGCATCCGCATCATCAGCGACCACAGTACGGCCACCGGCTGCTGCAACTGCTGCCGTACCGCATACTAGCGGTGGCGCCCACACAGATCCCTACAGCAGTGGCAGTAGCAGCAGTGTCGTACGACTGCCGGTGCTGACTCAGCTCGGTCCCCGACTGTCCCCAGCTGCCACCCTGCTACAGCCCGTGTGGGTTTGGATGCTGAGCTCCCGTCTGCCACCGGGTGAGGGGAGCAGGGAGGAGGGTGGGGAGACGGGTGGGGAGGAGGGCGGGGAGACGAGGAATGCAAATTGCCAGTCCTAACCCATGGGGCCGTTTTAGGGAAAAGGTTGTGGGCTTGATGCGGAAACTGTGTGGGAAAAGCCATCCTGACGCAATGGAAATGTACCAAAAGACGATAAGACTACCGTTTCAGGGGTTAGCGGGAAACAAATACGTTAGCAGCAGGCGATGCTTGTTAGCCTAACCCATACCTTCACCTTCCCTTCCCTCACCACCACCACCACCACCACCACCCCGCTTCCCTCACAGCCCAGCGCCGCGAATGGCGGCTGCTGTTCAGCTCGCAGCGGGACGGCAAGTCCTTCAGCACCCTCTTCGGCCGCCTCTCCGCCTGCCCCGGACCCACGCTGCTGCTGCTGCGGGACGGGGCGGGCGGCAGCTGCGGGGGCTTTGCACCGCTTCCCTGGGTGCGCAGCGGAAGCTTCTACGGGGACGTGTCCTCCTTCATTTTCTCGCTGGAACCCGCGACGCAGGTAAGGGGGCGGGAAGTAGAGAGGAACCAAACCTGTGACACTGTGTACAGGCGGGGATGGTAGAACCGAGAGTGCGGGTAGGGGGAAGCGGGAAGAAGAGGAGGAGGAAACATGGGGGGTCGGTTGCCAGGGGCATGGTCTTGTGGCCTCCCATGGTCTTAGTCCAACCCACCCTCCGTCCCCACCCCACACCAGTGCATGCCATTATCGTTCACCACATTGGGAATTCTTCCACCCCACCCCACCCCGCCACCGCCCCGCCCCAGATCTTCCCCGCCACCGGCATCAACGACAACCTGCAGTGGTGCGGAGTGGGCTTCACGCAGCTGCCTGGGGGACTAGGCTTCGGGGGGGCAGCGGGCGGCAGGGCGCTCATGGGGGCTGCGGGCGGTGGTGGTAGCAGCAGTGGTGTGGGAGGAGGAGCAGCGGCAGCAGCGGCAGGCGGTGGACATGCGTTTGCTCTGTATGTGGACCCCTCCCTGGACTTTGGGGTGAGCCGGCCTATTGCCACGTTTGGCAACTGCCCTTTGGCTTCGGAGCAGGTTTTCCAGGTGGGGTGGGGCTGGGGGGCGGAGGCGCGTAGGGCGCGGAGTGGATCTTTAGATGTATGGGAATGACATCGGCGCTTGGTACCGGTAGTAGTACGGCGCTGTGGATGGTGGTAGCTCGTACGGCATCGTACGGCAAAGGACTAACGAGAGTGCGCGGGAAGGAGCAGAGAGGTGCTCTAGGGGTGGATGTGGGGTACAGAGTGTTTGGCTGCTAGGGGCTGCTTGCGCCGACGTGTACGACGGTGTACGACGGGAATCGTACTGAATCCCAGCCACGCTACGAACCGTGAGGCCCGTACGACAGGCCTCCCCCTGCAATGCCACCCCCCCTGGTCCCTCATGCCACCGCCAACACCCTTTCTACACACTGCAGATCGACACCCTTGAGTGCTGGCTGCTGCAGCCGCCCGAGGAGGAAGAGGAGCGGCAGCCGCAGCAGGGGGACAAGAGCGGCGCCTCCGGAGGTGGGGGTGGCGGCGGTAGTGTGCTGCGCAAGGCGGCTGAGGACCGGGCGATCATGGAGCTGGCGGGGCTGAAGCTGCACAGCGCGGGTCTGGTGGACGAGCCGTTGGAGGAGGACTAGGAGGGGGAGGAGGAGGGGTAAGGTGTTCAGGGGAAGGGAGGCGGAGGAGACAGGCCCTTAGGGGGAGAAGAGAGGCGTAGGGAAAGGGTGAGGATACCAACAGGGAGTAATGCTACCAGGGAGAGGGGGCAGGGAAAGGAGAGAAGGAAGGCGCGTTGGCGTTTATTGTTGTTTTTGTTGTGGTCGATGGCTGATAAGAGGTAGTGGAGGCAAGCGCTGGCAGTGATGGATTAGGAGGGCCGCATACACGTCAATGAGTCGGCATGTTACCAGGGTTGCCATTGTGGAGTTCCATGTGCATGCATTACGGTTTACATGCTATCGCCTACGCATATTTTAGGACAGTCGGGCCTGTCAGCCAGGTCACGGAAGACCAGGGCTGTAGAAGATGAAGGGTACCGGTATGTTGGCGCCATTTCCAGAGAACGGGCGCTTGGGCTCATCCTAACGACTTCCGCATTGAACGCTACATACTAACAAAAGGTTTGACAATAGTAGTAGTAGGAGGAGTGTAAACTTAGTAAGGAGCGCTTTACCTGGCTTGAACTTTGAAGTTGTTGTGCCCTCCGCCGAACTGGTATATATGCCTAGTCAACGTATACTTTGCCACAGGCCGTGCCCTGCCAGCGGATTCTGCAGTTGTTATCGTACAAACCGTCTTGGCAGGGTTACCTGTAGATTGCAAGATTCTTTTCGCGAATTGGTGTGGCGATATACAGTCTCGCTTCAGCAACATGGCTTCAGCGCAGAGCTTGCTGCATAGTCCGGCCTCGCCGCGGCTTGCTACAATCCTGCAGCATTTTCCGCCTGTCACGTACGCGTTTGCCTATGGTAGTGGTGCGCATTACCAGCCAGGGCTTTACGATGTAACGGGCAAAGACCCGCTAGCCGACAACAGTACGATGGCTTCGGAAACAAGTGCAAACTCTAGGTCACCATCTAGCAGCAACGGCACGAATAGCAGTCGGAGCAAGGGACCTGTGCTTGACTTCATCTTTGCGGTGAAGGATGCGCACCAATGGCATGAACAGGTGAGCAAGCAAGCACTCCACTTATGCGCTGGTGTGGCAGACCCTACGAGTGGAGAGGCGAACCGAACCCTGCTCCACGTTTCGCCGTACGATTATGCTTACGGTTCCGCGCTGACCCTCCTCGTCCTCTTCCTGAACCCCCTCTTGCTTCCCTACCGCCCTCCCCCACCCCTCCTGCACCCTTCCCCCTTACAGAACCTGAAACGCAACCCCGAGCACTACTCCTGGGTTGGGCGGCTGGGGCCGGAAGTGGTGAGCAGCGAGGGGGCAGTCGCAGGGGAACACAACCCCCTGTCACACGGTCCAGTCAGGGTCTACGGTTGCCCGGGGCCTGCTGATGGCCAGCAGGCCAGGGAGGGACGGAGTTGTGCTGCTGCAGCACCGGTCGGTGCCACCGCCAACTCCCTTGCGGCCCTCCAGGGGGACTTCTGGTCAGCGGCCCAGTAGACGTGTGTCAGCGCCGCGCCCCCACCTCCTTCCCCCACCACCAGGGACCCCAGTTTGATTACCCTCGGCAGGGCTTCTTTCTCCCGCTCCCGGCCCCTTTGCTACAATGCCCTTACATGCTCCGCCGCACGTGCGGCTCACCTCCGCCTCCGCTCCCACCTTTCCCCCCTTCTTTCCTCCCTTCCCCACCCTTCCGCTCCCCTCCCCTGCTCCAGGTGTGCGGTATCTCCGAGGCGGTGGGTGTGGGGGTGCACTTCAACACGCTGGTGCAGCTGGACGCGCAGGTGGGGGGCGGGAGGGTGGTGGTGGGGGAGGTTGTGTGGCAGAGCAACAGAGGAGGACGGCTACCGGTAGCAGGGGGGCTCCGAGGCCGCTTGCAAGCCCCTAGTGCCGCTGTCACAGGCGACAGGGGCGCATGGCAAGGGGCGTTATGACCATACCAGTACCCCCGGCCCCCGGGCCCTCTAACCCACCCCGCTCCTTACCGTTACCCCACCGCACTCCTCCAACCCCGCCCCGCACCCCCCTCCCCAACCCACCCACCTCCCGCTCACCCCCACACCAGACCACCATCAAGTACGGCGTCATCGAGGCGGACACTCTACATCAAGATCTGTCGTACTGGACGAGCATGTACATCGCCGGACGGCTGCACAAACCCGTCACACCGCTCACGCCTCCAGCCTCCTCCTCCTCTGCTGCCTCCTCCTCCTCCTCCTCCTCCTCTTCCCCCACTGCCGCCAGCCTGGAGGGCGCTCAGCTGCTCAACCGGCACCACGCACTCGCCACTGCGCTGCTGCTGCTGCCGCCCACCTTCACGGAGGAGGTGGGGGGGTGGGGGGCCTGCGGGAGTGCGGGCCGTGAGGAGGGGGCAGGGATAGGGAACGGGCTGGTTGGGGCTCCATCACTGCTGACCTGCCCGCCCCCAACCCTACCTCATCCCCAACCGCATACTCCTATCTCGTCGTACCTCGCCTTCCGCCCCAACCCACCCCGCCCCCGCCCCCGCCCCCATGCAAAAAACCCCGCCCCCATGCAACCCACCCCGCCCCCCCAGGAGCTGCTGCGCACCATCGTGGGTCTGAGCTATCGCGGCGACGTGCGACTGGCGGTGCGCGCGGAGGACCCCGCCAAGGTGGAGCGCATCACGGCGGGCAGCTGGGCGGGGCTGCGGAACATGTACCTGCCGCTGATTGGGGGGGAGGAGGTGAGGGGGGGCAGCTGGGGGTGCGGTGGGGGGTGGGGGGTGGGGAGGGGTGTGATGGTATTCGAGCGAGGGTGCTGGGATTATGTGAGGGTGTGGGGGAGTTCAGGCTTCCTCCACCACATGCTTCCTCCACCTCCACCTCCACCTCCCATGCCTGCCTGCTACCAGTATCCTCCTACCTCGCGCCCCCACCACCACTCCACTACCGCCGCTTCCCCTCTTTCCCCGCAGTCCTCGCGCTACTCGGCCATCGGGTTACAGCCGGCGGGCGAGGTGGCGGGCTCGCACTCCTCCTCCTCCTCCGCCCCACCGGGGCTGCTGTGGCGGCAGGACAAGTCCCCCGCCTCGCAGCAGGCGGCGCTGCAGCTGCTGCCGCCGGGGCTGCTGCTGGAGATGGCGGGCAGGCTGGGCTACCACGTGCCTCTGGAGCATCTGCTGCCCGGTGCGCCCACGCAGGGGGAGGTGGTGGCGGCGGCGCTGCGGGGCGGAAGCGCCACCCGGCTGGCGGCGGACAGCTTGGCGGCGCTGGTGCGGAGAGCCAGCATGTGAGTTAGAGGGGGGTGGGTGGGTGGGTGTCAAAGACATGCCATAGCATAAGGAAGCCATAGGAGGGTTGGGGGGGAGGATGGGGTGAAGAGGGAAAAACTAAGCAACCATAGGGGAAGAGAGAGGTGTTGGGTGAGGGGCGTGGGAAGCGGGAGGAGAGGAGAGGGGCACTAGGGGTGGGGCAAAGCTGCTGCAGGCGAGACAGGCATCCGGCGGTAGCGGAGGCAGCAGAGGGGGGCATGGGTTCTGCGGGAGGTGGGGTGTGGAGGGGAGGCGGGGGTTTGGGCGCTGCATGCGTTTCGAAGCCTGGGAGCGGCGGAGGAGTGGGCTGTGAAGGGGTAGGGTAGGCAGCAGTAGCAACAGCGGCAGCAGCAGGAACAGCAGCGCGAGGTTGGGCTTGCAGTCGATTTCTGGCCCGATCCGAGGCCTTACTCCTGACCCCTTCCTCTCCCTCTCCCCTCCCTCCCCTTCCCCCTCCCCCCACAGCTACCAGGCGGCTGCGGGGCTGCTGGCTGCGGGTGGCGGCAAGGCGGTGCAGTACGTGGGGGCCAAGCTGGGGAAGGCGCTGCGGCCGCTGTGGCAGCAGGCGAGGCAGCAGGCGGGGGGGAGGTAGGACGAGGTAGAGAAAGGAAGCAGCAACCGGTAACTGGGGTTTGGAAGAGGGAAACACTGACGAACTGTTGACGAGGCTTCACCAGGAATGGGGCGCAGCGCGTGAGAGGCACGGGGGACGGGTAGGGGTGGCAGCGGGGATAGAAGGGGAAACCAACCCGTTTGTTAATGGTCGGAGGGAAGTGCTGGCGGAGCGCCTTAGCGAACCGGATGGGGCTCGTTGGGGCACAGCCATGTAGTGTGATATTGGTAGGTTGGGGTGGTAGGTGGATGGTCGGGTGTATTCGGTGATTACGGCTGCTGGTGATGTGTGAGCAGGTGGCCACATGGACGTGTAACGGCAGCTTGTGATGATACGCGACACTTGACGCTGTCTGCTGGCTATAGCTATATAGGTGTGGCGGTTGGTCTGTGTGAGGATGTACGGTCGTGCTGCGGCTGGCTGCTGCCGTACTGTAGAGGCTGGCTGACTTGTCTTACGCGGACTTATAAGGACTTGCGGAAGAGTGTGCAGAAGCGAGTACCAAGCCATTCGTGTACCATTGTATCTGGTGGATTCATGCCTGGTGACCCATGGGTCAATCAGAACTACAACGTACTACATAAAACCACCAGACACCTGTCCATGAACGGCACATGTTAGAGTGATAACAGGAGAGTCCAAGGGCTCACGTGCACTCTTAAGAAGCGTGTTCCCGCCGCTACAACTACGGTACCGGTACTGCCTGTTGGGGGTGGCTAAACATAAAAAGACAGGTGGGCAGTATGTAAACAGTCGACCCAAACGATGTCTCCAGCAACGACTCCTCCTTTCTCTCCTCTGCAGTCTCATAACAGCCAATTCCACAGCCAGCCTAGAGCCACTTCATCAAGTTCGCAGCTGACCTCAGCCCCACGTGCTGTGAAGTACGCAGCGCATGTACGAACAGTTCCACTTCCAAGGTACACGCCCGTTCCCTTCCGCCTCCACCTTCCACATTGCCTTTGCCCTACTTCTTATCATGTTCGATGGATTCGACCTGGCTCGGTTAGGCGCAGCCCCCTGCCGCTAATAAGCTCCTTCCTTCACTCTTGGCAGGTAATGGTATTCGCCGTAGCCCCCAAAGCTGAGCTCCTTCTCCCTCTCAACCGCGCCCGGTCGCGTCCACCTACATGCCTTGTGCCAGCCTGCACGTGTGCTGCTGGCCTTGCTACAGCGCATGTGTGCCACGTGTGCTAACGCATGCGGAGTTACCGGTACGACGCGAACACCGGTGTTCACCTTCCTGCCAGGCCCCATGAACACAGTACTGCCACAACGGTTAGCAGCTGCTGCCGTACCGTCGTCGCTTGCTGTCGCGGCCTCCACCGTTCTCCCTCACCGACCTCCTTCTCCTCTTCTCCCCCCTCCTCCTCCTCCTCCTCCTCCTGCCTTTCACCCACACGGCGGCGGCGAGCCCGCCCTCCACCACCCCGCCCACCACCGCTGCCGCGCGCTACACCGGCTCCTCCCTCCTCCGGCTCCTCCTCCGCCCAACTCGCACCTAGCCCTTGGTCGCCCTCAAGGGCCTGTAGGACAGCACAGGCCGCCGCCACCGCCGCAGCAGCCGTGACAGCAGCAGCGCAGCTGGCGGCGGTGCCCCCGACTGGCCCGCCGCGTCCTTGACAGCGTGCATGCCCCGCTTGGCTCCCGCCGCCGCCGCCGCCGCCGCCGCCGCCGCCACCGCTGCGGCGGCCACTGCTGCTGCCATGCCGCCGCCGGCGGCCCACCGGCCCACTGGTCCCCATCATCGCAGCTGTGAACGCATGCACCACCGCTGCCATGTTCGCTGCCATGCCACCACCGTCCTCCTCATCCTCTTCGTCTTCCTGGTTCATCGCCGGCTTTCCTTTGTCTTCTTCCTTCGCCTCCGTATCTAAGGCTCCCACTTCAGGCCGCGCGGCTGCACCCCTGCTGCTGCCAGCAGCTGCTGCACTGGAAGGGCCAGCCTGGGCCATCTGTACCCGCCGGACCTCTCCTGCCGCTGGTGGCTGTCGGAGCCCAGCAGCAGCAGTCGTCATGAGCATCGCCGCAGCAGGCTTCCGGCTGCAGGCAGCTCCCGAAGGAGGCTCTGCGCTCCTTGTCCTGGTTTGGGCTCCGGCATGCAGGGCTGAATGGTCCCCCCTTTCGCATGTCCGCTTCCTCACCTGCTACCGCGGCTGCTGTCGTTGCTGCTGCGGCTGTTGTTGCTGCACCGGTGTGGTTGCAGCGGGCGCTGCAGCCTGCTGCCTCCTCAGCCCCTCCGCCCGTCGGGGCTTCTCCTGCTGTGGCGGGCCATGACCGGTTGCTGCCATACACGGCGTCAAGTGATCTGCGCCCGCACCTTCGCCGCCGCCATCCGTGTTGCACCCAGCCGTGTGATGCTGGTTACCACCGGTGGCTGCTGCTGACTGGCTTGCGGCATGGCGTGCAGGCGCAGAGCCACCATGCATACCGGTAGTTGCTGGCGGCTGCGACGAACCCGACCCCTTGCGCCCTTGAAACGCTTCCGCAGCCGTTCAGGTTAACGCCAAGGCCGCTTCGGATATATGGCTATTCCTGCGACCCCAATGCATGTCGCACATACCGCTCATTAAAACCCACCATTGTATGCGTGTCGCGTATCTAACCGTATCAGACACCTGACGGTATGTTTGCTGCCGTCTAACAACCGTACATCCATTACATGCCCGGAACCACCACTACGACGCCAACCATTGCCCTGACGTACGTCTGCCACAGCTTGCTCAGCCTGCCACCGGGAGGTCCGTTAGAAATTGTTGCGTACTGCAATTGCAAAGGGCTTTGTGCCTCAGAGCCGCGCGATTCACCTAAGCACCTAGTCAAGAAGCTGCTATACACACATCACCACATGAACGCAACATCAGTACCGGTATTCGTTTGTCAGGCCTCGTCCTGTTCACCTTGCTACACCACCATCCCGCACCTGCTCATGGTGCTAGGAAGCAATCGGCCTTTCCCCGCTCCCGAGAATGTGTTAATACCCCATAAGAATGACAGCAGCACGAAGCCGGAAAACAAACCAGTTAACCATCGCATACAATGTCATCCCCCATTGTGAAGCGCTGTGGTCACAGTTGGTGCTGTACAAGCGCCAACACACCTCACAAACAAACTATCGCTGCTGGTGCTGCAATGCCAGCACCCCGTCCCTGTATGCGACGTCACGGACGCTGTTCGCCTTCTTCAGTGCCTCCCCCCAGTTGACGGGGCAGCCCAGCTCCAGCAGCAGGCGCAGCGCCTCCAGGGGGCAATTGTCGCCAACACAGGTGGTAAAGGTCTTATGTGTTCCCCAGGGGCAGCCCAGCCGCCGCAGGCAGCGCAGTGTACCCAGGTCACCGTTGCGGGCAGCACGGATGTAGGCGTCACCATTTGACTGCGGTATTGAAGGAATGCACACGTACGGGGTCAGATTGAATGAAGTGGAGATTAGGGTTCGGATCAGATTAGCCTTTCTTGAGCCGCTAACGGCGGCCGTTACACCCTTCCTAACCTCCTAAACAGCATCAGTAACAGCCCCTGTTGCCTGCATCGCACTTACCCCCCAACGGCAGCCCTGCTCCACCAGCCACTCCAGCGCCTCCTCGCAGCCCGCCTCCGCAGCCCTGCTGAGGGCGCTCGCATCCCAGGGGCAGCCGCGTTGCCGCAGCCACCTCAGCAGCTCCAGGTTGCCCGACGTGGCTGCGCTGGCAAAGAGGGCGCTCCTCATGTTCCCCCCTGCCCGCCCCAGCAGCCAGGAAACCAGCTCGAGGTGTCCGCCTTGAGCAGCAGAGTCGAGGGCATTAGACGGGTTCAAATCAAAGCGGGCGAAGAACCACTGCAAGGCAGCCAGGTGGCCGTGCCTTGCTGCATTGGATGCAGTGTAGCCTAGCGTCATCATGTCCACTTCGAGCTGGTCGCCCTCGTTCATGAAGCAGTCCAGGGAGTCCATGACAGCGACGTCGCCCCGTTCTGCCGCCAAGTGCAATGCCATCTCGTCCACCGGGTAGCCCCGCCGCCGTAGCCATGCCAGACGGCTCAGCGCATCGGAGCAGGTAGCTGCTTCGGCGCATACGGAGGGGTCCTTGGGACAGCCCTGCTTCTCCAGCCAAACCACCTTGTCCTGCCAGTCGGGGGCGGGGCTGCCGACAACGGTTGTGAGGATGTCGCACTTGAACTGCCGCCCTAGCCGCGCGCCCCGCCAGTCACGGTACAGGCGCTGCAGTGTCGCCAGGTCGCAACCGCGTGAGGCTGTCTGCAGCAGTCTCATATTGCACACCTCGGCTCTCTCAGGTCGCTGCTGCAGCAGCCATTCCATCAGCCCCACATGGCCCCCTCGAGCCGCAGAGTACACAGCTGCGTGGCTCCAGGGGCAGCCGGCAGCCAGCAGCCACTCGCAAGCCGCCCGCTGCCCCGCCTCTGCAGCTGCGTCCAAGGGATGGCTCTCCCAGGTGCAGCCCTGCTGCCGCAGCCACTGACATACCTCCAGCTGCCCAGCAGCAGCCGCTGCTGGGAACGCTCCGCCTGTTTGGACGCATCCCGAGTGAATTGTTGCTAGAAACCCACGGCCGTTTAGGGCGCATCCCGCGTGGGTTGCTGCCACTTGGAGGTTGGGGAGGCTGCCGGAGGCTGCGGTCAGGCACAGCAGCTGACGGCGTTGCGCAAGCGTGAGCCCACGCATGGCGCCCGGACTGCCCCAGCGCTTCGCGAAGGCGTGCGGAGGAGAAGGCAAGGATAGCCGCACCGTGGTGAACTGAGGGCCACGGAAGTGCGCAGCAGTAGCCTTATTGATGAGGCGTCCGGTTAACGCAATCTCATTGGCTGGCAGGACGCGCACAATGGAGAGCAAAAGCTCTGGCGGCAAATCGTGCTTGAATTCCGGGTCGAGCTGCATCAGCACATCCGGTTGGTTGCTCTGTGTAGTCATTTTGACGTTGACCAGTTACAGCTGTTTTCGGCTGATAGGCTGGCTCTAGCAAGTCAGAGGCAAGAAAGCACACAGTTCAATCGAGGCTCCTTGTTGTTTAGAAACCTTTGGTAATACTCGAGGACCGGCACCAACGCCTGTTAAAGTTTACCCTCAAACCCGAGTTGTCGTCCAAATACGCAACGCGCATATGTGTATGTATTAGAAGCTTTGCATAGAGAATTATCTGAGCCAATTTTAAATTGTGGCGTCCAGCAATGGTTCTGGAGCGACAACAAGTCAATGTACGGTGCTCCCCGTAGACGGATTCACGGATACACGGATTGATGCTGGAGTTGACTTGGTTACTTGCTTCCTTGCCAACATGCTTACTGTAGTGTCTGAGATGCTGCTCGTGGAACTTCATGCGATTCTGTGTTCTAGCAATGCGCAGAAACAAAGAGAGCCAAATCATGCACATATTAGTTGGCAGCGGACAGGGACAGCCTCCGAGCGCAGAGGAGCAAACGGCTTTAGCGGCAGCTGCCTGTGAAAACCTATAAAAGCATCTGCTAGCCTGTGCTAGCAGGGCATGTCTAATACGCGCATACACCCCAGTCCAACCCAGCACCCTTCCGACCAAGGCCTTGGCGGCGAAGCAATCCGACAGAAGCTCTACCATTCCCTCACAAAACAAAACCGTTTACCTTCCCTCTACGCCCCAGGTTCTCCCCTTCACAAGTTCCCCAGGTTCTCTGCACCCTGCATGGTTCCCTCGCACACACCTCTTCCCGCTCTCCATTGCACCTTCCCCCCTCCCCACACACTCACACGCAATACGACTTCACATGATGCCCACACCCGCAAGTAACTCGCCACCTCCCTCTACAAACCACCTTTCCCAGCTCCCGACCCCTCCTCCTGTCCTCCATCACCCCTGCTTCAACTCCAGCAGCCTCCGAAGCTCTCCCACCAACCGCGGTGGCCATCTCATGCCCTCCCCCGCCCCCCCAACACGCCCTTCTCCCTCATCCCCCTCCCTCCCCTCCCCTGCTAGCCAGCTGCTGCTGCTGCCGGCCCCCAGCCCCGCCGCCCCCAGCACCCGAGCCGCCTCCAGCTGCCCCTCCGCCTCCGCCCACTGCCCCTGGGACCAGCGCATGGCGGCAAGGCTGAGGTGGGCCTCTGAAAGGAGGGGGTTAAGAGGGGAGGGGAGGGGCGGACGGAGAAGCTGTGAGAGATGGAGGAAACAGGCGAGGCCGCTCTCCTAAGCCCACCTCTTCAACCCAACATCCCACCACCCTATCCACCCTTACCTTGCTTCCTCGCAACCTTCCTCCTACCCCACCTCTAGCCCCTACTACCGGTACCCCCCCCCTGCTTCCCCAAGCTGCACATCCGCCCCTCCTTGCTGGCCAGCTTGCAGTAGACCCGTACCTCTGTTCACCCACCCACCCGCATAGTTGGGGTTCTTCCGGATCACCCCCTGCGTGATCCGCACCGCCCCCGCCACATCCCCCGTCTGGAACTGCAGCTGCGCCGCTCGCAGCCGGTAGCCCGGAATGCCCGGCGCCAGGTCCGCAGCGGCAACAAAGCAACCCGCCGCAGCCGCCCAATCCCGCAACCGCAGCTGCACGTTCCCCTTGTTAAACCACGCAGCAGCCTCCTTGGGGTCTAGTTGAAGTGCTGTGTCGCAGTCTGACAGGGCGTGCTGCCAGCAGGCGTGTGCCTCCTCGGGACGGGCGGCCGCAGCGGCCAGCACGCCCAGCTGCTCCAGGGCGATGGCGCGGTTGAGGTACGGCACTGGGGCGTACGGCGCCAGTTGTACGGCCCGGGAGTAGTCCTGGAGTGCCTGCTCGGGTCGGCCCTGGTAGGCATACCGGTGTACGCAGGGTATACGTGTTAGGTATGCCGGAAGGGAGATGGGGAAAGAAGGGGAGGCAGGGGCAGGTTGGGGTTGGTTGGAAGGGTACGGTAGAGGAAGGGGCAGGTAGAACGTTCAGGGTTAAACGCATGCCGCCTAGCCTGACCCGCAGGGTGTAGGGACCATCCAACCCACCCGCTGGGCCTACCCAAACCCGGCGTGTATCGTGGACTCATGAGCCAACCCACTAACCTGCGACATGTGCACGTTGCCTAGATTGGACCACACTGACGCCAGGGAGGGATCCTCCGACAGCATGCGAGCGAACACCTGTAAGGAAGGGGAGGAAGCAGATAGCAGCATGCAGGCAAACACATGTAAGAGCACGGAGTGGAAGCAGGTACACCTCGTCGAATGCTTTTGCCATGTTCGTCCCCTCCTTTGCCCTGCCCATACCGTGCTTGCACTGCCCATACCGTGCGCCCGTACGCACCGTTTCAGCTACTGCGAAATCTCCGTTGGTGGCCGCTTCTATGCCTGCGCTGCGGCCGCAACGATGGGGCGTTGGGGAGGGTCGGGGGCGTTGGTAAGCTGTCTGCTGCTGCCTACATGTGACAGCCGTACCCGGGCGATCCCAGACCAACGTGTGGTCGACGATAATAGGCGAAACATTAACCACGCTTTGAGTATATGGCTCAAACATTTCTTATTTACCAGAGTCTTTTAGCATGGCCTACCAGCGCGTAGCTCGGGGCTCTCCACATCCGCAAGGCGCACGTTGCTTGCAAGCGCGGAAGGCGTCAAACAGCAGGCGCTTCCCGTCAGAACCATAGACAACATCGCAGCGTTAATAGTTGAGGCCAGGCGTTGCAGCATCTGGGGACAGGGATGTTGCTGGTCGCCATCGATGCCGTCGATGCGTTTAGGCGCCGTGAGCGCCCGCTGCCTTGCAAAGGCGCATTTCGCTTTTAATCGTGAGCATAACTGGAATGCATTTGCTTTGTTCGAAGCTAGCGGTCGACGGCTTTTGGTTAACCCTTGTGATAACCGCATTGGGCAAGTAATCTTGGATATGTCTGGAAAGGTTAAATGTAGCTATATCAGAATACCAGATACATATAATACTGGCGTAAGTGTAGTAGCAGCGACGCAGCGTAGCTGTGGACTCCTGCCATGGCCAGGCATCATGTGTGGTGCCGTACATCTGCCCTCGCCATCCGTCACGGTAGCATACGCAAGGCGTCATTCAACTGCCGTTGTTGCGCTCTTGACGCGCTACATTGGTAACCATTCTCCTGCATGTGCCTTTACCTAAGCAGATATACCGGTTAAGGTACTCCCTCTAAAGCCAACAACCCTTCTGTTGAATCAACTAATCGCCTGCCGTACCAAGCGAACCCTCTCATTTACCAAGCCCAGCCCCTAATTTCTATAGCCTGCAGAGGCTACACAACGAACAATGGGGAGCTTATTCAACACGCCTAATATCAATAGGCCCCAGAACCCTGCTGCAACCATGCGCTTGAGCATACCCCCTCACGCAACACCACCCAGGCACGACAACGAAGCTGCGTACGGAAGAACGGAATGAAGCTTTGCGCCAGTGCTCCAGAGACCCACTGCTTCCCTCGCTCCACGGCTGACCGCCACAACCGGCTGCCAGCCATTGTACGGCAGCGCGAAACGGCAGCTAACCGTACGGCACCAGGTAGGTCATCAGGTGAGCGGCACCAGTGCCCTATCGATCACATGGAGCACCGCCTGTAGTAGCAACACAGCGGCAGTGGCAGTTGCAGTAGCAGTTGCAGAGGCGCAGCAACGGCATTCACAACACGAGCCAGCAGCATACAACAGGAAGTATTGTAGCGTTACAGCTTGTACGGCAGTGTATACCAGGAGTATCCCGAGACGGCCTCCTGGGCTTATCGTACAACGCAAAGGCACAACTCGAATACCTGGCTGCCGTACTGCTACACCCCTGTAACCCTTATGCATGCTGACCCCGGTGCCTTTCAAACACCACACACGCACCCATACACCCACACGCACGTACACACCCACTCACCCTGCCATGTCGTACATCCGACTGTGTCACGTTGGCCGTGACCCCGCCCAGCTCCACTTTCAGGTGGTGGGCGTCGCTGGACGAAGGGGAAGGAGGTACAGGGAGAAAATTGCAGGTGCAAACAGGTGGAAGGGTACAGGTGGAAGGAGTGGTGGGTGGGATACTAAGGGTGAGTTTGGCAAGACCTCAGGGGGAAGAATGCACCCGATGCACTCGTATATTCTCTGCTGCCTGGTTTGTGCGATCTCAATTTGATTTTGTTTCATGCACAGCTTGCTAAGAGCAAGTAAGAGGGATGTGGATACGGATAGGCAGGAAGCAAACGGCAACACTGCCGGCCCCAGCCACACACAGCATCGTGCTGCAAGCCCGCTGCACCCGCACCAAACCCCTCTCACACCCGCTCACACCCACCCATCCACTCGACACCATCCTACCCGTAGCCACCCCACCCCCAACCCCCTCCCGCCAACACTACTCCCCCACCCCCTACCCCTACCCCTACCTCCTCACAATCCTCAGCCTCCCGCCCGCCTCGTTCCCCATCACCACCTCCCCGCCCGCCGGCACGTCACTCGACAGCAGCGCCTGCCCCGCTACCACATGCGCCCGCACCGCCTGCCGACCCGCGGGACTGGCCGCCAGGTTGGAGGCAGCAGGCTGCCCGCAGTCGGCAGCGTAGGTCTCCAGGGCCTGCGGAGGGTCAAAGACCATACCGCCGAACCGTAGGAAACCACAGGTTGGGGTTGGTTGCGGGGGGAGGGTGCATGTGTGCGTGGGGTGCCGTCCTTTGTTGTGAGTGCTGCTACATGGAGGCGCTAACGAGGGGCCTAGATGCTGCTTGCCAGGGAGTGTAGCCACCAATTGGTCTACGGAGCTGTGAGATGTTGTGGACGTGGGTGAGTGGTGAGGTGGCGCGTAGGAACGTTCCAACGCTTGCAGCAATTAGTAGTGTATGCGTACGTGTGCCCCTGACGTCACCGTAGCTGGGTGTATGGCGACTTCACGCCGCGCCAGCCTCCAAAGTAAGGCTTTACCGTGCGGGCCAGAACACTCTGAAGTATTACCTCAAACAAGTCGTGCGCCAACGCTAGCTATCATAATGCTGCCGCGCGCGCGTCATTACGGTGCGCTCAAATAATTGCGAGAGAGGATTTACCGGTATGCAAACAAACAAGACGAGCAAAACAGTACTTGGGTAACGTTCACGCGACAAACTAACTTGCCTGGTCGTTGGGAACGAACACGGTGCACACTCGGTTGGTGAGTTCCTCTGCGACACCAGCAGCCTGTGCGGTTGCTGTTGCCCATCCCAAGTCCCTGGGAAGTGATTTGCCCGCGTCCCTTGGCGAAGACATGACGTGAAAACGCCGGGGAAGTTAGAATAGGTTATTTGATGTTCGGAGCTGGGGCTGCAGGCAGTTTGGTTGGATAGCTGGATGCCAATTGGTTCAAAATGGTTTGCTGTCGTTTATCAGTGCTTGACCCGTGGGTCACTTGTTAGGGGTACATATCCCTCGAGGACATAGAAAGCAGTGTTGTAGCAGTACAGACTGTGACAATTGTATCGGAAGATATTCGCTGCGTGCATACTACTTCACTTGTGCCATTCGTACTGGCCACACATCACGTTCCACCGTTCAGCTCAGATGGTATAAATGTGTCCGTGTATGTAGTAGCATACAGATAGATAATGATCACAGTTTTGTGTTACAATTGTACATGTCTCCAGTGTTTTTTCATCTGCGTCAATATTGCAACGTGAACAACTTTGCACGACAAGTATTGCGTACGACACATACCGTACTACACTACAACTACCCGTCTGCCACTGCTAGGTTGAGTCATATCCACATGTTCTCCTCCTCCGCCTGCCCCCCCACATTCCTCACTAATCTGGCTCTTTCATCACCCATTGCACCCATAGTATCGTCAACAACAATCCCGTCAAGCAATGTGTCCTTGATTGGCCTTGGCGAAGTAGTTGTCATGTTGGGGACTATGACACGATCTGCCATATCCCGTATGCCAAGTACGTGTCGACTTCCTCCCTCCTCCTTGACTTTGTCCCTCTCATGCACCGGTACCCTCGTTCAAGCCAGCGGAGCAAGCACCTGATCAATCAGGAAGATTGTAGCCTGTATACGTACATAGAGGGAGGCAGGGAAGGTAGCAAGGTGGGTAAGGAAGGAAACGGGCGGGTGGGGTTAACAACTGACGTCGTGACGATGACGGGGGATTTAGGAGTGTGCAAGACAGGCCAGTTTCCGTCACCGTATGTAATGTGACATGCGGCATGTGCACCCGCCATGCGTGCTGCGTGTTAGGGTCCGAGCAGCCGGCTGCCGGCAAGACACACGTGCGTTTGCCAGTCTAGCCCGTACATTGCTCCTAATTACCCTATACGAGTGCGCAACAATCTAACGAACGGTGCGACAGCAGTACGGCAAAGTTCGTACGACTCCAACAATACCCTGCCGTACACTACGGCCACTCACGTTGCCGGTGGAGATGTCCGACTGAATGACGTTGGCGGTTAGGCCGCCGGAGGACACCGTCAAGGCACCGCCGCTGGAGGGAGGGAGGGAGGAATGGATGGCGCGAGCAAGTGGTGGGCGGGGCGATGGTAGGGCAAGGCGAGGTAGTGGGGGACGTGGAATGGCAGAGGTAAGGAAGCAATGGCACGGCGGCCAGCATGCGCTTGGCTGAGCATCCATTTGCGCAAGAGACAGTTATGCATGTACGATGCCATCCAAGAGAAAGTAAGGCGCGGTCACGTACGGAGACTTGCAAGAAGGAGGACAATAGCCGCCAACACCCATCCCTCCTGTCCCCAATTACTTGTTGGTGACGGTCAGGGGTGTGCCGGCGACGGTTTCATAGGAGGAGGTGCCGGCCGGGAAGTCGGCGGAGGTGAGGGTCTTGTTGGGGATGACGTGGCTGGTGACGGCCGTCTTGCCGCTTCCGGAGGCCAGGGCGGCGGGGGTGGCGCCGGAGGAGGCGACGTAGGCCTTGATGGCGTCCTGCAGCAGTTAGGTGGGGGGAGGAAGTGGGAGCGGGGATTAGGGTGGTGGGAGGACAGGATGTGTTAAGGCTCAACCATCGAAACACCGCTTTGGATTGTGGGTGCCCAACCAAGTATTCTATGACGCAGCAGGATTGTCCACATAATTGCAATGACGGCATGCGGCGGATCACCAAATGCGCAAAGTCGAATGCAGACGAGGCGCATGTAGTAAGGGGTTAACCAAGGGACCTAACCAATGGCTACGCAGCAGCGCGGCAGGTCAGCTTGCCACATTGGCACGCAGCTCCAACCGTCGGCTAACTGGGCTTGCTTACATCCGTGGGCACGAAGACGGTGGAGATCTTGGACAGCAGGTCTGCATCAAGCCCCGCAGCACTGGCGGCAGCGCTGCCCCAGGACATGTTGGGGACGGGAACAGCGGACGCAACGGAGGTGGCCATTGTTGGTGGCTGTAGCAGGTGGTATGTGCGCCCCAATCGGTGTTCAAGAGGATAGCGTTAAGGAGCCTGACCTGGTGTTGATTATCGCTAGGTTGTGGAAAGGGGTGTTGGCCTCTTGCCTTTTACATGAAGCGGAGTACTGCTCATGGCGTCAGTGCTGCCGTCGCGTATAGCTCCGATGAGTGAGACGCTAGCAGCCTCTCAGCGCCCCAGAGCCAGTCGCTGTCGCTGTCGTGGCGCGCGGCGTGTGGCCGGCTGGCTGCATTTGTATCCGCGATTGCTTGCGCAACAGGGGGGCTGCGAGGCCGGCTACGCGATGGTGTGTCATCTTTCTTTGTGATCTAAATAGATCGCCGTCACTCGCCCTGTGGAGCAAGCTGTATGACTAGTTGAAGCCTGTGGCTAGGGAACGAGGGCAAGCGGCAGCAAGCGTGTGGATCCACGGAACGCGAGGATGCCCCTAATGTACGGTTCATTCCGGGGCACGTGCGGACCCATGGGTCAACTTTTGGAATTCCCTTCGAGCTGTCTTAGACCTCCAAACAAATGACATATGCACCGTTAATTTTTATTTAATTGCAGGCATGGCTATGGATGTCATTAATGAATGGCGGCCTTCTCGGTAGCGCCTTCGCGAAGCGATTGCGTACTAAGCACGGCGAACCCCTAACCTTAGCAAACGCGCCCGGCACTCTATTGTTCGCATATAATTCTTTCATCCATCTTGCACAGGCTAGCCTGTTGTGCGCTTTATGGCACAGACCCAGACGGTTGACGAAGTTGCAACTGAGCACAAAAATGTCGCAACCTACGCAGCAACCGCAACATTTAATTGTTCTAGTTCACGGCCTTTCGGACACCAGCCATGCCTGGGACAATTGCGTTGCCGAGCTGCAGAAAATGCCAAACGCGACCGACTATCTCTTTCATTCCTCAGCCGTTAACGCGCGCTTTAGGACGCACGATGGATTTGATAAGTGCGGTTTGCGGCTTGCGGATGAAATTCGGAAGGTCGTGAAGCAACACCCACAACTTACAAACATATCAGTATTTGGTCACAGCATGGGTGGAATGATAGCGCGCTTCGCACTTGGCATCTTGTTTGATCCCAAAAACGCTTCTATTTGCGGACTGCGGCCTTGTCACTTCCTAACCCTGGCCACTCCGCATCTCGGTCTGTCGGTGGTTGACGGGCCCGCGCAAGTACCCTTCGTGGCTTGGGCGGGGGAAATCCCGCTCCTGGGCAACAGCCTAAAGCACGCATTGCAGGTGTGTGTGTTGAACAGGGCAACCGAGCGCTTTGCGGAGGGGGCACCCCTCTCACCTTCCCCCACTCATCCCCTATGATGCAAACATGATGCACAGGCGGTGGCTCACGGTGTCGCCGCCACCGTGTTCCGGGGCACGGGTCGCCATTTCCTGGCCCTGGACGGGGGGCGCGGGGAGCTTCCGCTGCTCATTCGCATGACACTGGACGAGCCGGACAGGTGCGGGTGGGCGGGAGCGGGCGGGTGGATGGGCGGGAGTGGGCGGGAGCGGGCGGGAGCCGGCGAGAGCGTGGTGGTCGGTTGGCTGGACTCCGATGCAGTGGGTGCTTAAGAGTGCTGCATGCGCAGCAGGATGGCTCTGCGCGCGTGCGTGATAGTTCGTTCGTGAGTTCTGCGCGCATGCGAAGTCTACTGATTGTCAATCCCTTAGTCCGCTCTCTCCCCCCCTGCCCTCCCGCTCATAACGCCAGGGGGCAGTACTTCTTCTCCGCCCTGCGGGCCTTCCGCAGCCGCGCCTGCTACGGCAACGTTCGGGGGGACCACTGGTGAGGTGGGGGAGGTGCGAGGGACGGGAGGTGGAGGGGGCGGCAGGTAGGGGGTTGTAGGTAAACATTGTAAAAACGAGACGGGCGTCCTTGTGGGGCGAAACACAAGCTTGCAAACCGGTAGACGCATGGTTGGCAATCCTAACAAGCTCTTGTGCATCCATTTGATGCAGGGTCAGCTGGGAAAACGCAACAATCAGGGGCAAAGCAGATCTGCCGTACATTGATCTCGATGTGGTACGGCAAGGACGAGGTGTCGTACGGGAAGACCCCCTGGATGCGGGTTTCCACCAGGACCCCGCATCCGTACGACAACTGGTGGATCCAGCACCGCCGCTGTCACCGCCACTGCGGCCGCCGCCGCCGACGGCGAAACTGCAAAGCGGGGAGCGAACGGCGACGGTGTCATCGTCCTTGGGGAAGGCGGCGGAGGCGGAGGAGCCTTCTTGGTCGGCGCAGGCGTTGCTGGCGGCAGCAAGACACGCGCCACCGTTGCCGTGCAGTCCTACCAAGGCGGCCGCCGCTGCTGACGCCGCTACTGCTGCTGCTGCCAAAGACGCCGCCGCCGGCACCCGCGGCGCCGCTGCATCGACCGGCTCCAATTCCGCATCGGGTGCTGCTTGCACCAGTAACCGCGCCGGGCATGACACTGGTGCAGACGAGGTAGCGGAGGAGGGTGCGCCAGCGGCGGCTGTGTCCGCGGCTGCTGCTGTTGCTGCTGCTGCGGCTCCTCAGGGCTCCCAACGCGAGCTGGCGGCTGCGGAGGTAGCATCATCGGTGGCGGCGGAGGCGGCGTCAGACACCGCAGCGGCGGCGGAGGCGGTGGAGGCGGTGGAGGCGGAGGCGGCGGAGGTGGAGTTGGAGAGGGCGGTGGAGCGGACAGCGGAGACGCCGGAGCAGGTGGGTGTGGCGGATGGGGTTGAGGTGGGGTGATGGGCGGGTGAAGTGGGAAGCTTTTGCTACCATGTGCCATGGGGAAGGGGGCTACACAGCGGGGACAACGGAGGACATGCATGGGGACCGGGGGCAATGGCGGGCATTGGGTTGCACTGGAGGCTGGGAGCGGCAGGACGGTGTGCGCTGGCTGGCGTGTTGAGGCACCGGCCCCTCCCTCTCGCGCACCTCCCTGCACTTGTCCCCGAAGTAAACGAACAACAAACCCGATAACCGACCGGATGCCTGCCAACACCTCTCCCCCCCTCCGCTCGCCTTGTCGTACAGCTCGTCAATTTCCTGTTTTTACCCATTCCTCCCGCTCTGGTATGGTATGGTCTTTGACCCCCCGCGCTACCACGTCTGCCGCAGGTGATCTCCTTTGCGCTGGCGCGGCTGCAGCAGCTGCCCTGGCGACGAGTGGATGTGAGCTTCGCTGGGGCTCGGTTGGGCACCGCACACAACAACATCCAGGTGGGGTTGGTGGGAGTGGTGGGAGCGGTTGCGGGTGAACACCAGTGGATGTGGGTGTGCGTAGGGGGGGGGAGCAAAGCACATTCCAGCTGTTTGTGAAGTGGTGCATGCGGTTAGGCGGTGGATGTGCGGAGTGTGAGGCATGAGGTACAGGCAAGGCAAGGTCGGGTGGTCGGACATGCATCCTTGGATAAGCAGCCTGCATGCACTCCCTTTACTCCGCCTCCTGCTGCTCCTCCTGTTGCACCTGCTGTTGCCCCTCCTTCCTCCGCCTCCTCCCTCGCTGTGCGGCTGCTGTTAATACTGCTGACCCTCGCCCCCTTGCCCCTCCTTCTCCCTCTCTTTCCGACCTCTCTTACTGCCCCCCCCCCCCTGGCGCCCCTCCTCCTCAGGCCACTCGGTGGACCAACCGCGTGGGTCGCAGCGTGCTGGCGCACATCCGGCAGCACCTGCAGGCGAGGGGCGCGGGGGGGGGGGGGGTTAGACAGAAGAACACCCAATGGGTTGAGTGATATTGGCAAACCAGATGCCAAGCTGGGGGAAGGGGGTGCAAGGGCGTTGTGGGAATGCCGCATGCGAAGGCAGGAGCGGGTGATCTCACGTCGGGCCCCAACCTCCCACGTCCCATGTTGTTGGATCGCCCCAACCACATGCTGCTCGCTTCCCCTGCACGCCCCCTCCCTCCCCATGATGATGCCTTATCACACGGTCAGTTAGTTGTTTCCTCTTTACCCTCCCTCCCCGCAGGCGGCAGAGGATCACCTGCAGGCGCAGTCGGGGGCATTGGGGGCAGCACCACCGAGCACCGCTGAATAGCAGCAGCAGCAGCAGCAGCAGCATGACAAAGCTGCAGCGACAGTGACAGCAGCATTACTAACTTGGAACGACGTGCGGCAGTTTGAACGGTTTTCCGTACTAGCGTACTAGTGCCATACTGTCGTAATGCCGTACCGGTAGTTATACAAGGCCCATGCAGCTATCATAAGCATACCGGTGCATATACACCCTAATACCTCTACCGCTGATACTTATACTCTATTACCGTACATACCCTAGGTATGCGTTCACAAAACTGGCCGTGAGTAGCGACGTACTGGATTGTCGGAAGGTGATACGTCTTCAGCTGAGCACCGCACCTCGCAACCCCGCTGGAGGGGAGAGTAGACAGCAGTAGGAGGGGAGGTGCCGAGTGGAAGGGCGGCTGTGCGTGTGTTAAAACAACCGGCTGCGAGTCGGAACGTACTGCGAGCTGGTGTGGGGATGTGTGTTCCCTCAGGGTGCTGTTGAAGTGTAATGGGCCCAGCGCGGTTGAGCAAGGCTTCCGGTAACTCGCTTGTACAATGTTGCATGTCTGCATCCCTTTTACTGCATCCCTTTTACTGTACTCCTTGTAAGGATGACTCGTTACAGTTCAACAAAGCTCGAGGTCAGTCCCCAAACAGCTGCCCCCTCCCGCTACGCACCTCAGTGGATCTACCGCAATCCTCCCCACTGCCCGCATACAGCTACAGGCCAGCCGACACATCTCCTCTCACTCCGCTGCCCTTTGTGTTCCGCCGTACCTTCCGCAATCACCTTTTGCAAGTCAGAAGAGCCAGCTGCCAGGTCATCTCCCGCACTGCGTTGGGTTTGTTGTCGTACGGACAGCCACTGCTCGTCCCAAGCTACCCTCACCACCCCGCCGCTTCCCGCCGTACCTCCGCCAACACCAAGTGCTTTCATCGAATTGATCCCCCTCTCCGACCAGCTTTCTCCTTTCCAATCAATCACCCCTACGGCGCCCGCACTCGCAGTCAGGGAAGGCTCTGGTCAAACAGGCAAAGCTCATACCGCAACCACTACACCGCCCTCACCACCCATCCATCCTCATCCCTTACCATCTCCCCCTCTCACGCTGGCACGCTATGCACCGGCATGCCCTTCTGGTTCCTCTCAATGATCTCCCGCGCCAGCGGCACCTGCCGCCCCAGCACCAGGCTGCTCACCACCCCCCGCCCGCCCGCACCCCTCGCCGTACGACCCACACGCCGTACATACTCCGAGGGGTCACGCGGGAAGTCGAACAGCACCACGTGCTCGCAGTAGGGCGCATCGATGCCCCGGGAGGTGCGGTCCGTGGCCACCATCACAAGCGGGACGTCCTCCTCGGCAACGTGTTCCCCCTCCTTCTCCTCACCAGCAGTACCAGCAGTACTGGCCTCCTCCACATCCGGCGCTGCCACAAAATGCCCCTCCTTCCCACTGCTGTTGCTGCTCCTGCTGGCGAGCTTCTCCCGCTTCTCCTGCCGCTGCCGGCGCCGAAGCTGCTGCTCCAGCTCCTCATCCAGCTCCTCCTCCTCCTCCTCCCTCTGCACGCCGCCGCCCCACACATCATCACCCTCCTCCTTCTGCCCCTCCCCTTCCTCCTCCTCTTTCTGCTGCTGCTGCTGCTTTGCAAGCAGGAACTGCTGCTGCCGTGCGCGCTGCGCCCGCCGGCCCGCCTCGCTGACCGGCTGCAGGAACTGCGTCATGTGCTGCGAGCGCAGGTCCTCACGGATGGCCTCGTGGTAGGGCAGGATCCTGGCGGGAAAAGAAGGAAATCCAACGTGTGGTTTGATAGTGGTAAACTAGCTGGGGGGGCAGGTGGGGGTCAAAGACCATACCAAACCATAGGAAGCCACAGGTAAGGTCAGGTGGGAGGGGGAGGAGGAGCGGGGATATGGTGGGGGTGCGGGGTGGGGGAGGACGAATAGAACATGCGAGCATGTGCACATGAGCATGCATGCCAGGCTGCATGCAAGCCGGTGTATGCGTGCATGCGACACGTCGGACGGGGGTGTGAATGAGGACGCATTGGGCGCGCATGAGCGCCCTTCCCCCCCTCCTTTCCCCCTCCTTTCCCCCTCTCGCACACACACCTGTACTTGCGCTGCTTGGGGTCCGCCCGCGCCAGGAAGTTCTCCACCTCGCGGCAGGTGGGGATCTTGTTGCAGAACACCAGGGTGCGGGGGGCGGCGTGGCGGGACAGCAGCGCCTGCAGGGCCTGGTGGGGGAGGTGTGAAGGAAGGGGGGAATGAGAAGTTTGTGTGGGGGGGCCCGACAGGAAGGTATGGGGGAAGGGGAGCTGCTTCCAGTTCTCATGCGACCATCGCCGCCCCCTACCACCGCTGCAGTGTCGTACCGGGGGGGCCGGGTTGCAAGCAGCGCACCGCGCACCGCCTGACCACCCGCATACCGGTGTGCACATCGCGCATATCCCCAGCTGCCCCTTCATATACCGCTACTCCTGTCTGCTCCTCCTGCCATGCCACGCCCCCCCCGCTCCCCGCACCCCTCACCTCCAGCTTCCTCTTCCTGCCGCTCTCCTCGCTGACCTCATCGCCCCCGCTGCAGTCCACCAACTCCTCCACCAAACCTGGAGGGAGGGGGGGAAAGACCATACCATACCATAGGAAGCCACAGGTTAGGGTGGAAGCAAAGGGGATAGGAGGGGCAGGGGCGGCAGCGGACGGAGGGGGCCCAGGGGCGGAGTGAGCCGCGGAGGGGTGTAATAAGGTAATGATTGTGGAGGTTGGGTCAGCCATGGGTTGATCCGGGCAGGCAAGATGCGAGCACGGAGCGATGTTTGCCGGTTCCTGATGGCTGAGGAGGAGGCAGCATGCGCAAAGCAACGCAAGAAGAAGGAGAACCCCAACACAGGGCGGGGCAGACATGCCTCGTACACGCAGCAGAGCACCCTCATAGTCGCACCCTTGAAAATACATCACCACACCACCACACACCTACCCCCCTCCCCAAAGCCCCCTTCATTGCACCCGATCCCCCCATCCTGAGCCTCTTTTCACCCCGAGCCCTCCCCACACACTCACCCGCGGCGGTGCGGTGCAGCCCAGGCCCGAAGATTGCCTGAAGCTCCCCCGCTGCTGCTGCCCCCGCTGCTCCTGCCCCCGCTGCTGCTCCCGCTCCTTCACCCCCCTCTTGCTGCCCTCCCTGCCCCTGCTGCTGCACGGCCCTCAGCTGCCCCCACGCCTCCCGCAGCTGCCCCCACACGTGCTGAGGCAGGGTGGCGGTCACCAGCACCAGCCGCATGCTGGGGGGCGCGGCGGACAGCAGGGGGGACACCTGGCCCAGGAAGTCGGCATGGTCGCCTTTGGGGAGGAGGGGGGGAGGGGAGGGGGGGGGAGACGGTTTAGTACCAGTGAGGCCGGGGACGTTTGGCTATGAAGCTATGAGCAAACCGGAGACCGCTTTTCAAGTCATGTATTCCCGACAACACCCCATCCGGCCCCATCAGCCTCCGCCGTATCCCGCAACCCAAACCCCCACCCCTGCGCCCATCCCCTCCCCCCCCACCCACCCATGAGCACATCCACCTCGTCCATCACCAGCGCCCTGCAGCCCTCCAGCCGCACCGCCCCACTGGCCACCAGCTGCTGCAGCCGACCCGGGGTGCACACCAGCAGGTCCACTCCCTCGGACAGCAGCTCCTGGGGGGGAGGGGGGGAGTGAAGAGGAGGGGGGGAGTGAAGAGGAGGGGGGGAGTGAAGAGGAGGGGGGGAGTGAAGAGGAGGGGGGGAGTGAAGAGGAGGGGGGGAGTGAAGAGGAGGGGGGGAGTGAAGAGGAGGGGGGGAGTGAAGAGGAGGGGGGGAGTGAAGAGGAGGGGGGGAGTGAAGAGGAGGGGGGGAGTGAAGAGGAGGGGGGGAGTGAAGAGGAGGGGGGGAGTGAAGAGGAGGGGGGGAGTGAAGAGGAGGGGGGGAGTGAAGAGGAGGGGGGGAGTGAAGAGGAGGGGGGGAGTGAAGAGGAGGGGGGGAGTGAAGAGGAGGGGGGGAGTGAAGAGGAGGGGGGGGAGTGAAGAGGAGGGGGGGAGTGAAGAGGAGGGGGGGAGTGAAGAGGAGGGGGGGAGTGAAGAGGAGGGGGGGAGTGAAGAGGAGGGGGGGAGTGAAGAGGAGGGGGGGAGTGAAGAGGAGGGGGGGAGTGAAGAGGAGGGGGGGAGTGAAGAGGAGGGGGGGAGTGAAGAGGAGGGGGGGAGTGAAGAGGAGGGGGGGAGTGAAGAGGAGGGGGGGAGTGAAGAGGAGGGGGGGAGTGAAGAGGAGGGGGGGAGTGAAGAGGAGGGGGGGAGTGAAGAGGAGGGGGGGAGTGAAGAGGAGGGGGGGAGTGAAGAGGAGGGGGGGAGTGAAGAGGAGGGGGGGAGTGAAGAGGAGGGGGGGAGTGAAGAGGAGGGGGGAGTGAAGAGGAGGGGGGGAGTGAAGAGGAGGGGGGGAGTGAAGAGGAGGGGGGGAGTGAAGAGGAGGGGGGGAGTGAAGAGGAGGGGGGGAGTGAAGAGGAGGGGGGGAGTGAAGAGGAGGGGGGGAGTGAAGAGGAGGGGGGGAGTGAAGAGGAGGGGGGGAGTGAAGAGGAGGGGGGGAGTGAAGAGGAGGGGGGGAGTGAAGAGGAGGGGGGGAGTGAAGAGGAGGGGGGGAGTGAAGAGGAGGGGGGGAGTGAAGAGGAGGGGGGGAGTGAAGAGGAGGGGGGGAGTGAAGAGGAGGGGGGGAGTGAAGAGGAGGGGGGGAGTGAAGAGGAGGGGGGGAGTGAAGAGGAGGGGGGGAGTGAAGAGGAGGGGGGGAGTGAAGAGGAGGGGGGGAGTGAAGAGGAGGGGGGGAGTGAAGAGGAGGGGGGGAGTGAAGAGGAGGGGGGGAGTGAAGAGGAGGGGGGGAGTGAAGAGGAGGGGGGGAGTGAAGAGGAGGGGGGGAGTGAAGAGGAGGGGGGGAGTGAAGAGGAGGGGGGGAGTGAAGAGGAGGGGGGGAGTGAAGAGGAGGGGGGGAGTGAAGAGGAGGGGGGGAGTGAAGAGGAGGGGATTAACAGGGATACAGTACATGCTCCGCATTAGGGCGGGCAGTGGGGAGGGTGGGAGGGGGGGAGGGTGGGAGGGGTAGTATTGATGATGGGGCGCATTGCAACGGGCTCAGTACGGTGGTAGTAGCTGGGTGTGCTGGTCCCAGAAACGGATGAACACCGACAGAGGAGCTCTGCAGGACACAGCAGGACACAGCAGGACCCGAACCCCAGACCCCCACCCCCCACCCTCACCCTCTGAGTCCGAATGCTGGCTGCCCTCGCCCGCTGCTCCACCTGCCCCCCCGTTGCGGCGGCACTGCGGCAGCGCAGCCCCGCGCCGCTGAGCGCCCGCACCACCCGCAGCACCTGCTGCACCAGCTCTGAAGGGGGCGAGGGGGGAGGGGGAAGAGGGGAGGGGGGCGGAGACGAGGGAAGGGGAAGGAGGAGGGAAAGGAGAGGGTTTGACCATTGGAGGGAGCGGGAGAGAAGGGTTTCCATGACGCAAGTGTGGGGAATCCTAGGTACCCGTAACCAGGGGACACCTCTAGGTCGCGGCGCATGCACCATGCAGGTGCGGCGGCGGAGGTCCCTGGCAGCAGCCCAAGCGGAGAGGGGCGGCGGCTTCCCTCCTCTTCCCTACCAGCAGCCCCCCTCCTCACTCACCCACTGTGGGTGCCACCACTATGCCCCGCGGGCAGTTGGGTCGCGTCACACGCCCGCCGGCCTCAGCCTCCTCAGCACGCAGAATCTGGGAGGGGAGCGGGGTGCAGAGGCGTGCAGCGGCATTGCAGCGGGAGGGAGGGAGGGGAGTGGCAGGGGGGGAGGAGCAAGGGGTTGCAGTGGGGGCACCAAACACCTTGCAGGGGGCGGACACAACGCCCCCGCCGGAAGCGCCACACATGGCGTCCGATCATACGGTATCAAGAGCAGCAGCAACAGCAACAGCAACACCTGTTAGACCTGCTGCTCCCTGCTTGCCCCCCCACCCCAGCCCACTCACCCACTCTCCCCCCCACCCCCACCCCCCGCCCACCTGCATGAGCGGCAGCAGGTAGGCCAGCGTCTTGCCGCTGCCCGCCTGGTCCGCCAACACCACCGCACCACCACTACCGGCACTGGGGCCGGGGCCGCCTCCTGCCTTCCCGGGCTGCGGCAGCAGGCGGGACATGGCCTCGGCCTGGAGGGGAGGGGAGGGGAGGCAGGGGGATTAGATAAACTGAGCCGCGAGGAAACACCGACCGTGACCATAGGAAGACTCGTTGGGGGTTGCAGGGAAGTTGGGGAGGGAGGGCCGGGTGCTGCTGATCAGCGCGCCAAAACACCCACACACAGCCCCTTCCCACTCACCCGCTCCTGCACCTGATCCATTCCCTCACTCCCTTCCCCACTGCTGTGCCACAGCATGTGGTGGTTTCCTAAGGCTTGGTATGTGTCTTCATTGACCACCCTCCAACCCCCTACACATACATGAAAGGACTTATCACCTTCTCGCAACCACAGTACGTTCCGACTCGCAGCCAGTTTTCTTAACACACCAGACTTCTTAACACACCAGACTCATTAACACACCAGACTCATTAACACACCAGATTTCTTAACACCCACCCTGACCCACCCACCTGGATGTGCGAGGGCCGCTTGATGCCCAGCTCCCGCAGCGCCGCCACCACCTCCTCACTGGCACCCACTTGCCGCCAGCCGCGACCCGAGAAGAAGGTGCCCTTGTCGCCCTCGCCGGGACGAACCAGCGGCAGATCGTACGGCAGGGGGCGGTTACCGGTGGAGGAGCCGGGGGGCCGGGGGGCCGGGGGTGCGGGTGGCGGGGGTGGTGGTGCGGTGGAGGGAGCCTCGATGCTTTGGGTGCTGCTGGGGCTACGGAGGCGCGTCCTATTGCTGTTGCTGCCGTCGACAGCTGGCTTCTCCTCTCTCCGTCCCACACGGGGTCTGCTGGTTGAGTCGCCGTCACGGCGGCTGCTAGATCTGATGGTGTTGCTGCTGCTGGTGTTGCTCCTGTCTTCAGGATTGTCCCCGCGGCGGCTGTGGCGCTGCTGCTGGGGCCTCCCAGCGGGCTCCGAGCGGCTGCGGCCGCTGTTGCCGTCGTCAACGTTTCTTGAGGCGGGAGCCCTCCTTCGGTCCCCCTCACCGGCCGGGGCTCTGTCGCCATCCCTCCTGCTGCTGCTGTAGCTGCTTCCGTTGCTGCGGCTGCTGCTGCGGCTGCGGTCCCTAGAGTTGCTGCGGTCTTTTCTGTAGTCCGGGCCGTCGTCGTCAATGTCGTCACGGCTGCGACGCCGATCGGACAGGTTCGACTGGCGCTTTGGAGGAGGGGCGCGGTCACGGTCCGACCGCTTAGAGGCATCGGGCGCAGGATCCAGAGTGCGCGAGGGTCCGTCGCGACGTCCCGCAGCGGTGGCGCAGTGCCTGAAGTGCATGGACAAGCGAGCAGGCCAGTCGTATGAGGTCTTGAGTGGCAGCAATCCAGGATAAATGAAGCGGGTGTAGTTTTGCTCGTGAATTATGGGACGGGCGGCTAAACAGGAAAAGTATGGCGGCTACGACGCAAGCATTGTTTCCGTCGCCCGGCCTAACCTGGGCGCGACGGATGTCGTAACTGGCGTTAAAGGGCCTCTGCATGGTATGCAACTTTGTAGTGGTCTTGAATTGGCTGCAAGCCTGCAACAGCAGTGACCGCAATTCTTAACCACCAGCCGAATTGCACCCGAAAACGACGCAGATGTAAGATATCCACTTGCCGGTTAGAAAGCCTTAATGCGTCCATGCTGAAAGTTGCTTCACGCAAAAGTAAAAGCGCTCAATAGGTTAAGGGCATGGGCGTCGGTGCACTCCGAGTTAAATCCGCAAAATGCCGTGAATTGCCAATTATATGGTAACTATCAATAGCATACATGTGAACACATACAATTGAGTATAAAAGGTACAGTTATACTCTGGAGCCGAGTTGCCAGTGTACTACCGTAACACCCCTTGCGCGAGCTGTGTGATTTATCGCTAGATTCTTGTTATTGAAACCTTCGACAACTCTTTAAGAAAAGAAGAAGGCAAACTTCCGTTGGTGGCCTGGTGCCGTCGGCTGCACCAACAGTCGGCCATGCTCAGCTGCACGCAGCGCGCACTCATGCTCCGGCCTGTTGCCGGAGCTGCCACCTCAGTCGCTCTTAATGTTGGAGTTACCGCCGCAACGCTATCGTCGCGGGGCGTATCGCCCTGCGTCTGCTCCCTACCTCCACCGCCATCTTCAGCCTCCTCCCAGCCGTTTTACCAGCCGCGCTGCCACCTCCACCACCGCCCCGCACCCCACCCCTGCGCCGCCTCCACCTCCGCCCCTACCCGCTGGCCCCTGCTCCGCCTTCCATCCCTCACACCCACCCCCTACCTCCCCTCACGACTCCTCAGCACCGCCTCCTCCTCCTCCTCCGCCCACCACCCCCATGCAAACAAACGACGACGCACCACAACCTCCGCCTCCTCCTCACCTAACGACGCCCCACAGCCACCGCAAAGCCGCCGCACCTCCCACCCCCACCACCGCTCCTCCCACCCCAGCCGCACCCCCACCCTCACCAGCGGCCTGGGTCAGGTCATCTCCGCCGCAGCCCACTTCGTGCGCGTGGAGGTGCACACGCTGCTGCCTGATCAGGCACCCACCCCGCCCAACTGGCGCCCCCCTCCGCCACCCCCCCAACAACTTGGAAGCAGTAGCAGCAGCGCATCAGCAGCAGCGGGAACTGAGGAGGAGGGAGGCGGCGGTGTAGGTCGGAAGGGCCGCAGAGGCCCTCCGAATCCAAGGAAGCAACCCCAGCAGCCCCAGCAACCCCAGCAGCACTCCTCTCCCCAGCAACCCCCGCTGCATGGTGAGGTGGTGGTGCTGCAGCCGCTGTCCCCGCCCCGGCAGCTGCTGTGCAGCGTGCGGGCGGTGCTGCGCAAGATGCGTCAGGAGGTGCTGGTGGGGGACTGGGTGCGGGTGGGGAGCATCGACTGGGGGGCAGAGGCGCCGCGCGGACAGCAGTCACAGGGCCCTCAGGGTCCTCAGGGTCTTCAGGGTCCTCAGGGACAGGGGCGGGGTCCTCAGGGTCTTCAGGGTGTCCAGAGTCAAGGTCAGTCGGGTGCTGGTGGTGGTGGTGGTCGCGGGGTGGTGGGAGAGGTGTTGCCCCGCAGCAGCCGGCTGGCGGACCCGGCGGTGGCCAATGTGGAGCAGCTGCTGCTGGTGTTCGCAATGGACAGGCCGCCGGTGAGGGGTGGGGTCAGAGACCATACCGAACCATAGGGGGGGATGCTTGAAAAGTGCAGCAAGTGGAGGGGAGGGAGGGGGTAAAAACACCGGTAAGGAAACTGACGAGCTGTATGGCGAGGCTTCACCAAAGGTTGAGGGATGGGGGGAGGCAGAGTGTATAGCATTGGGTTGAGGATGGTGGTAGCCCGTACTAAACGCATGCGGTGAGGGTGGGAGGTGGGCAAGAGGGTGGGCATGAACGCATCTTTCCCGTCCTGCCTCCCACCCCACCTCTTCCTGCATGCCCTCACCTCCCCCCTCTCTCCCTTCCCCCCCCAGTTCGAGACTCACCAGGTGTCCCGCTTCCTGGTGTCCGCGGAGGCCTCCGGACTGCCCTTCGCGCTGCTGCTCAACAAGGCAGACCTGGTGGGGGAGGAGGAGCGGGAGAGGCGGAGGCAGCAGTGCAGGTGGGGGGGTGGGGGAGGAGGAGCGGGAGAGGCGGAGGCAGCAGTGCAGGTGGGGGGGTCGGGGAGGAGGAGCGGGAGAGGCGGAGGCAGCAGTGCAGGTGGGGGGGTGGGGGAGCAGGAGCGGGAGAGGCGGAGGCAGCAGTGCAGGTGAGTACGGCAAAAGGAGAAAACGCTGACCATGACCGCGACTGTGACCGTGCAGGTGGGGGGGAACTAGGGTGGGTTGTGTCTTGCGTGTGCAGGAGAAGGGAGTGGGGAAGGGGAAGGGGAAGAGGAAAAAGAATATCCAAGGGGAAGGGGGAGGGAAGGGGCGGCAGTGCACCCAGGGATGGGGGGCACGACTCGCCCCGCAGCACCCCCGGCCTCGCAGCCCGCCCAGGAACTTGTGCCGACTCGCAGCACCCTCGACGCCGCCTTCACGTCCGCCGCCTTCCACCTGCCTACCCGCCCCCCTGCCTGCCTCGCTGGAGTACGATACCTACCTCCGCCGGCTACCCGCCCCCCTGCTACCCTACCCGCCCGCAACCTCCCTACCCGCAGGTCCTGGGGCTACGAGCCCATCATCCTGAGCTGCGAGACGGGACAGGGGGTGGAGCAGGTGGCGCAGCTGCTGCAGGTGGGGAGGGGGGGAGGAGGAGGGGGAACAGCATAGGGGTTGCAGTACCGCTTTTTAGATGCTGTGCATTGGTGCGTCGCAGCGGCCTCTTATCATGTCGTACCACATCCGTACGCCGTTCACTCCACTCGCTAAACTCCCTTCCTCGGCTGAACATCCCTCCTTCCCTCCCCGCACCTTTCACGCCTTCCTTGCTTCGCAGGGCCGCATATCCGCTGTTGCGGGTCCCTCCGGCTCCGGCAAGTCCTCCCTCATCAACAGCCTGCGGCTGGGGCGGCACCGACCCGACCTGCTGCTTTCCAGGGAGGGGGACGCCAATGATGACCCACGGGTCACTGATGCCGCTGATGATGATGCTGCGGATCGGGAGCTTGTGGCTCTAGAGGAGGCGGAGGGATGCGGGGATGAAGAGGAAGGAGATGATGAAACAGCTGCCAACGCAGCAATGACACACGGGAAGAAAGGAGGGAAGAAGAAGAACCGTGGAGGAGAAGAGCAAAATGGCAAGGAGGGGGGAGGATCTTCGTCGGCGCAAAAGGGCGCCGACGTCAGTGACCCACGGGTCAGCGGCGGCAGCAGCAAGGGCGGAGCTGATGGTGACGCGGCTGCTGCTGCGGAGTTCCTGGCGGTGGGCGACCTGTCTCGTACGGGACGCGGCATGCACACGACGACTGCCGTACGGCTGCTGCCGCTGCTGGGGGGTGGCTGGCTGGCGGACACCCCGGGGTTCGGACAGCCCACCCTGGAGGAGTGAGAAGGGGGGAAGGAGCTTGAGAGGGGGAGCTTGGGAGGGGTTTAGGGAGGGAAGGGAAGGGAGGGAGAGGGGGCATGTGTGTACTGACTAGGAGTGTATAACGATGGCAGACAATGTGCCTTGTCCTCACTTTAAGCAGGTTCTTTCTCTGACCTTCCTTGCAACTCCCCTCCCTCTGCACCCCCCCCCAGCATCCCCTCCTCCCAGCTGGCCTCCTGCTTCCCCGAGCTAGCTGCCCGGGTGGCCGCCTCCCCCTGCCGCTTCAGGGACTGCATGCACGTGGCGGAGCCGGGCTGCACAGTACGACAGGCGCTGGAGGCGGCGATGGAGGAGCGGGAGCGGGAAGAGCAGCGGGAAAGGGAGGCGGCGGGGGTAAAGGAGGAGGAGGAGGTGGTGGCAGGGAAGGCGGGCGCGGAGGGAAGGGGCCAAGCAGCTGAGGCGCCGGCGGCAGTGGGAGCTGAGATGCAGGGCGGGGGTTGCGGGGTAAGGGTGGCGGAGGCGGGCGCGGGTGCTGCTGCTTCAGGAGTTGCAGCAGAAAGGGCGGAGGAAGGGCGGACGGAGGAGGGCGGCGAAGCGGACAGGGAGCAGGTGGACACGGAGGAGGGTGCGGCTGCCGATCTGCTGGCCCCCTGCGGGCTGCTGGAGCGCTACCCCATCTACCTCAAGTTCCTGCAGGAGGCGCTGGTGGGTGGGGCTGGGGAGGAGGGTGGGGCTGGGGAGGAGGGTGGGGCTGGGGAGGAGGGTGGGGTTGGGGTGCTGCGGAGGGCGTCCCACTCTCCCTGTAGGGATAACGACTAGCAGGGCTTCGCCCGACATGCAGTGGAGCAGGATGACATATGAGCCTAGCACCGTATGGCCATCGCTTCCTCCCCACCTTCACCCACCTTCTTCCTCCTTCCCCTACCCACCCCTGCCTCCCTGCCGCCCGCTCCTCAGCTGCGCGAGTCCAGCGACGTACGGCAGCTGCAGCGCGCCAAGGCGGCTCGCGAGGGCTTTACGCGGACTAAGAGTGTGCGCGGTGGGGGGGAGCGGCGGGAGGTGCGACTGGAAGCGGGCGGGCGGCACAGAAGGGAGTCACGGCAGGCAGCCAAGCAGGCGGGCAGGCGGGCCGGGGAGGAGGAGGTGGGGGCGGAGATGGAGTGATGGTTTGGGAGGGTGAGAGTTGTTGGAGTTGGAGTTGTTTTGTTGAAGAGGAGGCGGGCTGTTAGGGCGTGTTTGTATGTCAGCAATTCAGCGTAAGTTATAATCGATAGCGGAGGCCGAAGCATCTGGAGTTGTGTCGGTGGCTTAGTTCGGAGGGTTTGGTTCTTTACCGTTGATGGCAGGGGTATGTTGGGGAAGGAGTTGGACTCTGTCTTTATCCCTCCTGGTTACACTTTCATACAAGTACTCGAGTATACGTATATTATATAAAACAAGCGGAGTTGAAGCATTGTCGGCTACTTGTAGCACGGCGAGGACGCCCGTCCTTCGTGTCGTGGATAAGGAAACATGTTTAGACTGTACCAAGTTTGTTATATGACAGCTTTATGAATTGCAAGCACAGCCAGAACTAATTTTTTCGGCCAGGAATTTGGTTCGGAGCAGGTCAACCTGAATCCTGCAGCCATAGCTACCCTTCCCCAGCCCCCTAAGAAATATATCCTATTAAAAGTCAATGTCCTATTATAGTCTTTCTTAATAGGGAGAATTCTGTAATGATCATTCGATTTGGCTCGACAGCTAGCCTTTTACAGGCGTTAGTTGGCAGCCCGTGACATGAGCAGTGTGGCCAAACCAGAAGTGACTAGGGAGTATACCAAGTATTGCATCGAGACCGAAACTGTATCCAGATTGGAAGTGGACATTGTTCAACTACGCCGCAACTTGTCCACTTCCAAGCTGGTGGAAGTCGTATCCATGCAAGCATACGGCTGTCATTGAAATCCGCTAGGCGCACCAGAGCACCCATGGTGCTTTGCAATAAATGCTTACCTATGTCTTGGCACATGTTGCGTAGGGGTGAACCTATGCCGTGCCGAGTGCCGTGTCACCCATCATCCATCTCGTCGAGCACGATAAGTCTTCAGGTGTTGCCGGAGGGCCCTGCCCTAAAATGTCTTCCTCGTCCAAATGAGTCCTAGCCGATCGAAGCCCATGACCTCCAATGGACGAGCTACCACTTTTTTGGGGTGCATGACCCTACCACGCCGTACCGTTTCAGATAAAAGCACGTTGGGCAACTCTCGACTGCATAAGCAGTTAGTTGCATCCATCAGCCAGCGAGCGATATCTAGGCAATAAACAGTCAAGATGATCTGCTCAACTGTGCGTGCCGGTGCTGCTTCTAGGACGGCGGTTGCCCGCAGCAAGGTGAGCTGATGCTCGAAGTTGATCCGTTGCCTTGATAGCGTGCGAAGGTCAGGAGCGCCCTGGGGTGCAAATTTGCTTGCTGCGCACTGTTGTCCTTGCCTGTTGCGCATCGATTGGCACCAGTTACGTCGCGTCCGGCTCGACAGGACCGACTCCTATGCCTAAACAGCAACGTTGCATAGAGTTTCTTCCCTTTTATGAACAACATATAAATTCCTGAAGAATGCTGAAGCCTAGTTCACTCCTCAGCGGGTCTTGCTTGCTTAATTTGCCTCCCTCGGCTTGCAGACGGTCAAGGTGACGGCTCGCGGCAGCTGGAGGGACAGTTCGTCTGTCACCACAAAGGTTCCAAGGTATGAAGTCATTTTGTGTTCTTTGCGTCTACATATCTGGCGGAGGTGTTTGCACCGTTGCCGACGCCGGGATGTTGTCGCGACTGATTTCCGAATAGGCAGCCACTAGTCGACTCTTTACACGGTGTTCGCCATTTAGTACATACAAACATGTGCGTTTTGTGTCTGTGTTATCAATCGACGGTTGTCACCTGTCGCGTCAGCCCTTCCCATCCGTCGCGGTAACCAACCCATCCATCCCTCCCTTTTCCGCACCTTTTGCCTTCCTGCAGCCGCTCTTCCTCGTCTGCCAACCGCGTGAGCCCCACTCGCTCGGTGCTCCCTGCCAACTGGCGCCAGGAGCTCGAGAGCCTTCGCAATGGCAACGGCAGCGCTCCCTCAGCCCCCACTCCTGCCGCCCCCGCTCGCTCCTCCTCTGCCAACTGGCGCACCGAATCATCTTCCTCGGCACCCAAGCCCGCCTCCTCCGCCCCAGCCCGCCCCAGCTCCAGCCCGCGCCGTACCGTGACCCCCAACCGCTCTTCTCTTCCGCCCAACTGGAAGCAAGAGCTCGAGAGCCTCCGTAACGGTAACGGTAACGGCAGCAGCAGCAGCTACAGCAGCTACAGCGCCCCCGCCCCCGCTCGCTCCTCTTCTGCTAGCTGGCGCACCGAGGCTGCCCCCGCGGCTCCTGCTGCTGCTGCTCGCCCCAGCTCCAGCCCCCGAAAGGCGGTGGTCCCTGCTCGTTCCTCCCTGCCTCCCAACTGGAAGCAGGAGCTGGAGAGCCTGCGTAACGGCAACGGCAGCTCCTCCTCCTCCGCTTCTTATGCCGCCCCTGCCGCTGCCCCTGCTCGCTCCTCATCTGCCAACTGGCGCACCTCCCCCGCGCCCTCCCCCGTCTCCTCCGCCCCAGCCCGCCCCAGCTCCAGCCCCCGTCGTACCGTGACTCCCAACCGCTCCTCCCTCCCGCCCAACTGGAAGCAGGAGCTGGAGAGCCTTCGCGGCGGTGGCAGCGGAAGCTCCTCCGCTTCCTCCGCTGCCCCTGCCCCCGCCCCCGCTCGCTCCTCGTCCGCTAGCTGGCGCACCGAGTCTGCCTCCTCCCCTGCAAGCAGCAGCAGCAGCAGCAAGCCGGGCGCCAACCCTTGGACCGGCAAGTCGAAGCTGGAGATCAAGCGCACCAAGCTGCCCGCCAACTGGCGCAGCGGGCTGTGAGCAGCAGCGAGGGAATGAGGCGCCCCTTGCGGCGACGACTGCATGGTGATTGCGGCCCCGAGGCGAGGGGGGCTGCTGGGGGTGCAAGGCTAGCTTGTTGGTTGGCTAGGATGGAAGAGGGGAGAGGGCGGAGGCGGAGGCGAAGTAAAATGAAACCCTTGCGGTGGAGAGGAACTATAAACCCGCGAGCCGAGGCATCGTGAATAGGCTATAGCGGTTGCGTTGGGTGCCGAGATGGGAAGGCTTGGGTCTGGCTCGTTTGGGCCCCCTGAGGGGGGTTTATCTCTTTATGTATGTTTTCTGTAGTTGTGTGTGTATGGCTTGCGTAAGGGCATGGCAGGAGGTGAGGGACTTGCAGGCACGCAATCGGCGGCAGTGGACAGTTCTGAATGTGTGTTAAGAAAACTGGCCGCGTGTGTGTTTTTGGTTGGGCACTGTTCCAAAGCAGCAAAGACAAGCAATGAGGCGGTGCTGGCGGAGGTGTCTGATGCATATGTGCATGCATGCATGCATGTTGGCATTCTTTGCAGGCGCACCGAGTGTGTTACAACGTGAGTGAGTATTCGTGAGGCCAGTTATGGTGGCCAGATGTGGAAAGCGGAGAGGCTAAACGTGAGAGGAGGCTAAACGTGAGAGGCTAGAGTGACAATGGGGTGGTGGACAGGGTTCAGCGGGGGGTGGCGCATGGCATGCTGCCCGCTGCCGCAGCGAACCCAGCGCTCTTGAAAAGTAGTGAAGCAGAATGTCACCCTTATTATGCGAGTCCTAAGGTATGTTTGCACAATACGGTGCAAGCAGAGGAGGAGGTATTCGAAGTATGATGCTGCTCAATATCAAGAAGATGATGGATGCGACAAGTACGGCAGGGTGATGTTGTATACTAGCTGACATGTTGGGATACAGCGGAAAGTAGTGCGAAAAGTGCGATTTGAGCCTATCATGTGAGGCAACGTGGAACATTGGTGATCTCTGTCCTTTGGTAACACCGATGAGAGTCTCACACGCCGTAGCATATGGTACGACAATGGCCGTCTCCCGTCTGCAAACCACATGCACAAGAGTTTCCTCCCCACGCATTACTGCCACTGCGTCACATTACCCGCTCTCCGGCGGTGAACGCTGTTTGAGTGGCAGGGGAAAGTATTTACACAGGGGCCGTATACAGCCAATACACCACAAGTAACTCGGGGTATGTCCGGTCGTTGTCATAAACGTCAAAAGCGCACCGAGCAAGCGCCCTTCCGTACTGTCTAACGGTCACACAACGATGTCATGGGTACTCATCGGTCGGTCACTACAGAGTCACGTCAAGCTTCGAGTGTACGTCCCATGTCAAGAGTCACTGTCTGCCTCCAATGCATGATTGAATGGCGGAACCGCCTCCTCCGCTGCTCCCGCCCCCAGTCCGCGTCATACCACACATACCCCCACCCCTCCTCATATCCCCCAATAAGCCAGCCCGCCAGTCGTGCATCACAGCTTGGAAACCCCCCCGCAGGCCATGCCCGCCTCCGCTGCCGCCCGGGTCACCACCTCCGACAGCGCCCCGCGAATAGACCCGGTGCGCGCGTCCTGCGGGAGGGGAGGGGGGTTTAGAGGGTTGAGGGGGGAAATTTAATGATAAGTGCAGGGTTGAGGGGAGGCACCACAGGAACGGGTGGACAGCGGGTGGGCCATGTGTGTTGGCCAGACATAGCTGCATGCTGCAACCCATGATGGAGCCCTGTCACATGGTTGGCTGCTTAGTCACTTCCTCGCCAGTCGCCACCACCACCCCACACCCTATCCACCCACACCACCCCTCACCCCACACCTCACCAGCTGGTCGGGGATGTGGCTCAGCAGGCTGAGCGGCGTGACGCTGATCCAGCCGTTCTTCAGCGCCCAGGCGTCTCCGCCCTCGTCCTGGTCCCTGAGGACAGGCAGAACGCATACACACCCACACCCGCGCGATGCGAGTAATGCGGTTGAAAACTCGAAGGTCGGCAGGCACGAAAGCAGGCAAGGCACGCCAGCCCTCATCGCCCCTCAAGAACTACGGTACGCTGGTTTAACCGGGGTAGCAGGAAAGATCGAACCAGGATGCCCAGGCCAACAACTCGCCGAACCAACCGAGCCCGACCCAGGTCTCGGTAGCCAAGCCAAGCGGTTGCAAATGAGGGTTGGCAACCAACTGAGCAGGAGAGGTACGACAAGGTACAACAAGCAACCCGCCACCAAACCAAGGGGCGTGTGTCCCACCACCAGGGATTGTCAGCAACTTATATCATTATCACACCACACTTTGGAATTTCTTTTTTTCACCCCCCACCCGTACGAGGCCCCTGCCTCCCACCCCCCCAGCTATCCCTAGCGACTCACTCCTGCACCACGCCCGCATAGTTCCGGAACACGCGCGAGTTGGGCGTGTGCTCGTCAATCTCCGCCAGGTGGGGTCCGGGCGCCTCGCGGACCTCGCGGAAGGCCGGGAACACGCAGGCGATGCTCTGGAGACAGGGAGCGGGGGGATGGATGGGTGGGTGGGCGGGTGAAGAAAACCAAAAATGCCGTCGTATGTTCACGACGGCTAGTGGGGAAGACGGGAGGGGCAAAGGATGTGTGGTATGCGCAGCAGCAGACGGGACGCGCCGGCGGGCGTTACGGGGGTGCTGAGCTGATACCGTGGTCGCCTGAATGTGTGTTGGTGGGCCGTGTTGTGGCGGTCCGGCGGTCCCCCCAACCCCCGCGCAACCGGTGCCACCCACCACCCCAATCTAACAACCCATCTCCGCCCCACCCTGCCCCGGCTCCTGCTGCTCCTCTCACCTGCCTCGCCAGGTACATCCCCTGCAGCAGCTGCCCCTGCCCGATGGGGAAGTTCACGTTCACCACCACGCCCCGCAGGCTCGCAGCGGGGGGCCTCCGGCCGGCTGGCTGCCCTTCCTGCTGCTGCCCATCCGCTGCTGGCGCCGCTGCCGCCGCCTGCCCCGGCAGCAGCCCCAGCATGGCGCGCACCAGGGGCAGTGCGAGGGAGGCGGAGAGCGCGTAGTCGTCCGGCTTGCGTGCGAGGTGGTTGTCCAGGGAGAGAGCCATGGCGGGGATGCCCTGAGGGGGAGGAGGGGGCGGAGGAAGAGGGGGGAGAGGAGGAGGGAGCTGAGGAGGAGGAGGGAGCTGAGGAGGAGGAGGGGGCGGAGGAAGAGGGGGGAGAGGAGGAGGGAGCTGAGGAGGAGGAGGGAGCTGAGGAGGAGGAGGGAGCTGAGGAGGAGGAGGGAGCTGAGGAGCAGCAGCGGTGTTGGGGGCGGGAGGAGAGCGAAGGAGCAGGGCAGGGCAGGGCAGGAAGAAGGAGCAGAGCAGGAGGGGGAAGCAGGGCAAGGCACTGCTCTGCCACACAGGTACCCCCACATGCAAGCGGGGATGCACCCTCCCCCCACCCCCACCTTGCATGCCGCCTCCCTGGCCGCCCCTACGGTGCCGCTGTAGATGACGTGCAGGCCGCAGTTGTCACCGCGGTTGATGCCGCTGAGCACCAGGTCAAAGGTGATGTCCTGGGGGGGGGGGGGGGGAAGAAGAATACCCAACGGGTTGAATGATGTGGGCAAACGCGAAGACAAGCTCGGGGGGGTCGCGGCAGGGAGGTGGGGTGGCAGGTGGGGTGAGGGAGTGAGAGTGAGGGAGTGTGCGGGTTGCGTGTGTGCAGAGGAGGCACTGCAGGGGTGGAGGCAAGCTATTCTAGCGAAGCAGCTTAGCTTAACTGCACACGTGGTAGGACAGACCCATGGGTCCATTGCATCCCTATCTGACAGTACCCCTCAATGTTGTTGTGTTCTGTGGCTTATTAGTTGCCAGGACCTAGCTTGTGTGCCCTTGTCGTCTGCCCTTATTTTGCCTCCGTCGTAGCCCCACTACGCAGCTCCTGGTAACCAGGTTAGCCGTGTATGAGACGCCGGCAAGGCAGTATCCAAGAACGAACCGAACATGAATCCCAAAACCTTTCAATACGTGTGGCAGGCTTTCACATACTGCTGCTGATCAGGAGCTTTACCGCCACCCTAAGCATGGATTGCGAGCCGCACCAAAGGCCAGCCCAACACCCCGGTGTTTGGTTACGCCAAACGAGCATTCGTGACGCTCCTAGAGCTGCAATAACAGCGCCAAATGCGCTATCGACCAACTCTTTTTAGCTAAGCTGGTTGCCAAAGCCAGAAACGGACACGTAGTTCTGATGTACACTCACTTGGAAGACTGGGCTGCACAGGGCTAGCATGACGCTGTCAGCCGGCGTTCCGTCCACAGCGTAAGCCTCCACAACACCCGGAACGGGATCAGCCGGTACACAGCTGAGGTAGCGACCAAGCGTAATGGCATGTGATTGAGCCGAGCGTTCGCCCGACGGAGCGCAAACATAGACGTCGGCAAAATTAGCCTGTTATCGGGATCACAATATGTAATAATATTGCACTAGTGCTTGCTAAAGCAAGGCGCTGACCGAACGCCATTCCGCTGTTGATGCAGCCGCACCTTGACTAACTCCCCGACAAGAGCTTTAATGCCTGGCGCATTAATACCGTCATCGTTTGAAACCAATATACGTGGCCGCGACATGGTCGTTCGTAATGCGCGGGAATTCACTGCCCAAACTTTCTAATGCGCAGGCGGCTGTTAAGTCCGGATCCACGTTTCTCACGGTTTAGTACTCCCCAAAGGCAGAAATTCTGGAAGGAACTTGCCTCCTCTGTTGGGGCCTGCTAACTAATGATATCCGTACGTAACTGCAGTTAACCCGTACATGCATGGCGCTAACATACTACGTTCGCCCAACCTGCTTTTTGCTGATGATTTGACTCTGTTAGCAACCTCTGTACGGCGCATGGCATACCTTCTTACGAGGCTTGAGGAAGTTTGTCGTGCCTTTGGTATGCGTGTGAATACGGATAAGTCGGAGTTGCTAATTTTTTCGCCGAACCCAGCAACTAGAGTTGCTCAAACCGTCCTAGCAAGCATCAGTCTGCGGTTGGGGGGGCAGCCGGTCCCGGTTAAGAGCAGGGCGAGGTATCTTGGGATTAGCTATGGTCCCGATACACCCTTTGATTCGTGCAGGCGAGAGTTGTATGACAGCGGGCGGAAATGCATGTTTGGGTTACTAGATAAGCTGCGCGCGGGGCGGTTTTTTGCACCTGATATAATGGTAAGGAGTTTTGACGTGCAAGTGCGCTCCAAGCTGTCGTACGGTGTCGAGGTGTGGGGCCCCAGTGCCCTCATTGAGATGTTTGATGGTGTCCCTAGAGCAGGCGCACAGAGTGCTGGCAACGCCGAGTGGAGACGTAGGCAGCGGCGACCAGGTGCCCGTGCCACCCTCTTTGAAAGGGCACTGTGTGACCCTGCGGTGGAGCTCCAGAAGGACTTCTTGCGGCGCGTATCCTGTAGTAAGTTACCGGCCAATCAAATCCTGTTTGCGGAATACTCGCAACTGCCAATGCAATACTTCTGGGCGAAGTGTGTGTTTAACTTCTGGAATAAACTTGTCAAGGCGGAGGGCACTCTAGCTAATGCGGCTTTTCGGGATAACGTTGCCCTAGCGGCTGCTGGTGGCTTCATGGGTTCGTGCTGGGTGGCGCAAGTGCTTAAGGTGTGCGGGAAATTAGGGTATGACTGGAGGGAAGGGCAGCCAGGTGCTGGTACCCCGCAAGTGATAGCCCCCTGGTTAGCAAATCGCGAGCTGCCTGTGCAGCAGTTGCTGGCTGCTTTGCGGAATCGGTTTTTGGCTAGCTGGGGAAGCGAGCGGCTTGTGGTGGCCCCCCGATCCTTTGTGTCGGATGGTGGGCAACCCGGAGTGAAGATGTGTCGTTACAAGCATTGGATGGGATCCCCTTTCACCATGATGAGCTGGCCCCCATATGCCAAGACGTATATTCCTAGGCATCACTTGTCTTCCCTTATGCGTTTTCGCATTGGCTGTTGGGACATTGCGGTGAATCGCCCTGGTAACGGGGCGCAGCGCGTAGCTAGAGAACAGCGTTTGTGCCAATTATGTGATGCGCATGTCGTGGAGGATGAGTTCCATGTCCTGATGGAATGCGCTTGTTACGCGCCTTTGAGAACGGCTGTTGGGTTTCCTGAGGTGCCGAACCCCACTGATGCAGATATGGCTAATATTATGTGGAACTTTGATGTTGCTAAATTGGCGAACCTTCTACATGCTATTTATGCGTGTAGGTCTAGTCGCGCTTGATAAGGTGACCACCTACCCAAACAGTTTTGTCTCCCCGCGAACTTCTATTTGTCATTGCACCTCTTGACCGGAATGGTTCGTGAGGTTGTGCGGTAGGGCGGGAGGGCCCTACACCGTACCATGTAATCGTAATCGTAATCGTAATCATACTACAGACGTCGTATCTCGTATGAAAGCCCTAGCTCCCTTGGATCCTATCCTCTTGTCGTTGGCCAAGAAAGTAGCATGGGAAGGCTAACATCAACAACATAAACTTACACGGAAGGCATAGGTCATTACCTGTCACTTCACTGTCCGTAACCTCCCAAAGGCTTGAACCCTCCCCAGACGTCAACAGTAATCTTCACAAGAACCCTACTAGGCCACAAGCTGAGGCGTAATTGGTGCTAGAAGACGCACCCTCTCATGTGCCGGCCACTGAGTGCCACAGCCAGCTGTACCCTGGCTGCAGTTGTGTATGCCTCCTCTGTCCTCTCTTATATGCACGTACAGTGCTAAAATCTATCTTGCAAGCATAATAAGCTTGCTTTCATCCCGGGGAGCGTTAAACTTAGTGGCTTGGTGTGCACTACCGGTATCCATGGTGGGGTCAAGCTGGGCTATAGTGGACTGCATAATCTCGCTAAAATCCAGAGGCCATTTGAAAATGGCTTGTATACGTCCTCTCTCATATGGCTGTATGCCTGGGACTTGCCTGCGTTGCGTGTGAGGGACTTACTGATGGTTTTCTTGCACGGCAAAATCTTGACCCTTGCAACCAATGCATCACAGCTAGGCGTTTATGGTATATTCCTGTAAACACTCAATAAATAAACTTATCTCAAATATTTTTAGGGCGACCTCCCAACTCCCTTCCAGGGCAGTTGTAGGAATTGGACGCAAAGATGGCAACACAACAGTTGTTACAAAGGCCAGTAGGCGTTGCGCGGACTTCCCGCGTACAAAGGGCGCACGCCGCCCCATTGCGCCCTGTCATTAGCCGACGCGTCCCCTTCACACCCGCCACACTATCCAGCGCTCCATCTAAATATAGCAGCGTCCTCCATAGTCGCTTGGGGCGTCGCGTTGCACTTGTCGTCGTTCGTGCAGCATCCGAGGAAGATGGCCGAACAGCCGGTCACCCGTTTCCATGGGAGGAGGATTTTGACCTGTTGGGCGACAAAGTCAAGGAGATTACGGACGAACTGATCGACGACTTGCGCGGGTGCAACATCTGGCTGGTAAGCGGCCATGGGGTCTACCAGCTCTACCATGCCCTTGTAACATACAACCTGCTGCTTGTCACCCTGAGCTCTGTCATACAACTACATGATGTGAAGGGCCTTGGAAACAGCAGCCCTGCAGCTAAGCTGTCACCGCCAGCTGGGCCCAGGGTTCGACGATATCTCTGGTGTTTGACTGGTACCCGGGTTGAGGAACAACTTGGGCTTGCATGCTTAGCAGCAGCGCTAAGGGCGCCCACTCGTGACAAGAGACTGCCTCGGAGGGCTTGGGCCTCCCTCCTTCTCCAGTCTTCTCTAGTCTTCCCAAGCATGCACCTCGTACCCCAGACCACCACCTGCCCCTCTCAGACCCCCCATCCCCTCCGCCCCCCTCCCCCTCGTCCCTCCAGGTTGGCATGATGGGCAGCGGCAAGAGCACCGTGGGCCGCATGCTGGCCAACACGCTGCGCTACGCCTTCTTCGACACCGACTCGGTGATCGAGCTGGCGCACGACAACCGGCCCTGCGCGGCCATCTTCGCGGAGGAGGGGCAGGAGTACTTCAGGCAGTGCGAGACGCAGGTGGGGGCGGGCAGGGCAGGTGGGGGCAGGACAGGGCAGAGCCTGTTTGCTTTCTTTGCCTAACACCACCACCCTACCCACCTCCCCGTCCCCTTCACTCCTCCTAACCCCACCCGAACCCATCCACGTACTGGCTTGGCTAGTTCGGGCGGGGCGGGGGTCGGGCTGGCTCACATGTTGCAAACCATGATGACGCCTTACACATAGTCAGCTAGTTGTTTCCTCTTCACCCACACCAACCCCACCCGCCAACCCGCATCCCCACCCCCACCCGCCCCCCCCCTCCTCAGATCATCAAGGAGCTCTCCCCATACCGCAACCTGGTCATCGCCACGGGCGGCGGTGCCGTACTGCGCCCCGAGAACTGGGGCGCCATGCAGCTGGGCATCGTGGCCTGGCTGAATGGGGACGTGGAGCTGCTGGCCAGGAGGGTGGCGCGTGACGGACTGGAGAAGCGGCCGCTGCTGGCCGCCCCATCGGGCTCGGCTTCCCCGGCCTCCCCGGCATCGTCCTCGGAAGACTCATCATCATCATCATCATCATCATCTTCGTCTTCTACTACTTCGGAATCGACGTCGTCCGAAGCGTCTGCGTCCGCAGGAGGAGGCGAGCAAGAGGACGCAGCGGCGCTGGCGGCGGCTCGGGAGAAGCTGGCTGCGTTGTTGGAGCAGCGGCGCATGTACTACGAGAACGCGGATGTGGTGGTGAGCCTGGAGGGGTACGGGCGGGACGCGGAGGGCGGCGCGCCGGCGGCTGCGGTGATGTATCGGCTCCTGGCGGCGGTGCGGGACAAGGTGGCGGAGAAGAAGCGGCAGGATGCGGAGCGCATGAACTTCCGGATCGAGGGCGCGGAGCAGCTGAGGAGCATGCGCACGATTGAGAGTCCGGCGGTGCGGGCGCAGCAGGCGGGGGAGCAGGAGGCGGAGGGGCAGGCGTGAGAGGGGGTGGCGGCAGAAGGAAGTTAAGGCAATGGATTCGGGAGAGCGGGAGCGTGGTGGGGAAGGTGAGAGCGGGTGAGAGGTGTACGTGGATCAGTGGACGACTAAATGAGAGGGGTTGACAGATGGACAATGTCCCAGGGTGAGGTTTGGGGAGAGGGAGAGGTGTGTTTGTAGGAGGAGGTTGCCGGTCGAGGGGCTTCGTGGGTGTGGGGAATAGATAAACTGAGGAGCGAGGGCAGGGCAGCTTGGTCTCCAGAAACGGATACCGGAGTATTTACAAAATTGGGGATTACGGATGCAGGATGTGTCGCGAATGATTGCCGGATAGAGGGAGCTGAGAGCAACAGATCAGAAGAATGTAACAATGCAGCGATAAGGTACACCTTGACAGGTTTCGTTACCGGTAATCATCGTTTTGTCGCGCATGACAGCCTCACAACGTCATCTCAATGTCCGGCCAGCCTGCTCCGCCTGCATGCATCCGATGTGCCACTGCAGTGCCACGCTCCACGCTTGACGTGCAGAACGACCCACGGGGCGCCACACTACCCCCCCCCACACACACACAACGTTCCCTAACGGGAGCCTAGAACGCTCTGCTTGGTACCGTAAGCCCTCACTAAAGGCCGAAGGGGCCGTACCTCTCCTCTCTCCTCCTCACCACCATGCTTTCTTACCACCCCCACCACCGGCACTCCTGGCAGCGTCCGATAGAAACACTAGGCAGCCCCCGCACGCACGCACTTCACCCACACCTCCTCCTGTCACACCATCACTTCCCACCACCAGCACCACCACCACCGCCGCCGCCCTCCGGCAACGCACGCCGAGCCTCGCGCAGCACCCAACGGCCCTACCGTAGGTTGCGTGGGGTCCCACCGCTGTCATCTTCCTCCTCCTTTTTACTCCTCGTTGTTCCCTTCCTTGCACGTTCCCGCCCACCCTTCGGTCGTTGGACGCCGTCCTCTTCCGGTCTTCCTGAAGCCACGGTCAATGTCCTATAGCCGCCACAACGCCGCCTGCACGCCCCTACATGATTCGTTTTCTTCCTCTTTGTTCCCACACTCCTATACCCCTCCTCCCCCACGCCCCACCCCCCTCCTACGCCAGGATGTTCAGCTTCTTGAGCAGCGCCCCGAAGTCGAATGCGGCGGGCTTGTGGTTGAAGTCGTGCACCAGCGGGTAGTCATCCGCGCCGCAGTAGAAGGCGCGGACCAGCTGCATCAGCGTGCGGGCCTGGGGGGGGGGAGGGGTGGCGGGAGGGGGGCGGGGGGTGGTGGTGTTGGTTTGGCAGGGGCGCAGGGGAAGATGAGGGGAGAGGGCTAATGGAGAGTAGGAGGTTGACGGAAGAGCGGGCTTGAAGGAGGCGATGCGATGCCATGCGGAGAGGGCCTCCGGTGCCGATGTCGTCCCTCCCCCCCTCCCTGTCCCCCCGTCAGTTGCTTCGTCAGTGTCTCATTATATTGTTTACCCTCCCTGTCCCCCCTGCCCCCCCGCACCTCCTCCAGGTTCATGCCCTTGTCGTGGATGACGTCCCCGCGCACCAGCACCACACCGTGCGAGTCCAGCAGCTCCGGGTAGTGCGTGAGGGTGAGGTAGGGCGGGGCGCTCTCGCCGTAGCTGGGGAGGCAGGGGGGAGATGTGGGAGGGGGAGCGAGTTGAGGCGGGAGGCGGGCGGGGCAAGGGGTTGGAGGCAAAGGATAAGCAGAGCCCGGAAATGCTGGTGCTGCTACCGTATTGGTGTCAACAACACAGTGCTTGCTGCTCCTGCCGCTGCTGCTGTCCTGATCTGCCGCCGCTGCTGCTGCCCTGATGGCTGCCTCCATTGCAGCTCCATTGCGCTCAGCCCCCGGCAGCCCAGTACCGTAACAGCGCTTCCGCCCCATGACGCCCCCGCCGCCGCTGCAGCTCCTGCTAGACCGTCCCACCCCTGAGCGCCCGGCCCCATCGCTGCAGCCGCCATCGCTCCCTCCCTCCCTCCCTCTCCCTTCCCCCCCTCTCCCTCCCTCCCTCTCCCCCTGCCCCCCCCCCTCTCCCACCCTCCCTCTCCCCCTGCCCCCCACCCTCTCCCACCCTCCCTCTCCCCCTGCCCCCCCCCCTCTCCCACCCTCCCTCTCCCCCTGCCCCCCCCCTCTCCCACCCTCCCTCTCCCCCTGCCCCCCCCTCTCCCACCCTCCCTCTCCCCCTCCCCCCACACCCACCGTTTGAACTCCTCTAGCCCCGTCAGCAGCACGTACGGCATCTGGCACTGCAGCAGCAGCGTCTCGTAGCCCGCGGGCTTGGCCAGGGGCAACACGAACATGGGGCTGCATGGACGGGGGGAGGGGGGGGAGGAAGAAGAATACCCAATGCGTTGAATGAGAATGGCAAACAAGACGACAAGGGAGGGGGGAGTCAAGGCAGGACGTGGGGTGCGTGGGTCCGGGTTTCCTGTTGATACCGGCACTGGTCTGGTGTTTGCTGGTGGGCACTGCTACGGATGGTGCTGCTGTAGCTAGATGAGGGAAAAAAGTAAATATGTGAAACAACGAGTCCCAATCCCATATCCCGACTCATGCAGTGAGCGCCTTCGGAGACACTATTGTAGAGACACGCATCTCAAATTACTTACCGAAGCGTTGCTTACCGTAAACCGAGACGACTTGAGGAAGAAGCCGCCTTGCGTGGTAACACTAGGGAGACATGCGCCGCGCCGCCGGTCACGAAATGCAAAGCAACACGCATATGGGGTATACGAGCACACATGTTATCGAGACGCGTTACGGGAAACTTACCTGGAGATGGAGGCCAGAAGTGCCATGGCCATAAGGATTGGAGACGCAGACCAACAGAGCCGCACCAGGAGCGGGTCCAGTATCCAAGAGGAAGCGGTTGTCAATATGCGGAAAAATAGGGAAAGAAGATGAGGGAGGGAAACAGGGAAGGGCGATAGGTACGCCAGGAGTGGTTCACGTACCTCTCCTTGGCTCGCTTGGTAAAGTTGCCGTACTCCTCAGCGCTCAGGACACCACCCACTCGGCCGCCCTGGGGGTCCGCGTGGTACTGCGGCGGCAGTACGGCAGTAACTACCATCAGGCTTGGATTCGCAACAGGGACAGGATACGGATGAAGGTGATAGAGCGGTCTTCTGGGCTCGATGTTCCTGTACTGTTCCTCACTGCTGAACCCCTAATGACCCCGGGGTCTACCCTTAGCGCAAGCACGTGAAGCCTCACCCCTAGCCAGATGTCCGCCACCTCTTCCCCACTTTTCTTGATAAGCTCCTCTAGCTTGACAATCTGGCCCAGCTGGGTGGGGCTGGGCGCCGACACGCCGCTCACGCTAGCTTCTTGCCTCAAGAGGGTACTCCATTTTGCCTAAGGAAGAACACGCGATATAAACAGGTGTCATAGCTCTTATCCATGCAAGGCGAGCCGGTAATTTCAGTGCGTCCGCAGCCCTGCATCGCGCTTACGAATGTGCTTCCCCGGCCCCGACATCCGGCGAGCCCGTGCAGTATCCTTGAAGAAACGCGCTGCATTTTCCTCGCGTAATGTCGAAAGAAACCTCCTGACTTTGTCTATGCAAGGATGACTACTTTTGCTATGCGCGATCTAAATCCGTTAGGCAAATTGTGTACCTCTGCCTCAGAACTCTGCTCCCTTCCTAAGGAGCGGGCCCGAGTCTGAAGAGGTTCAGCTTCGGAGAGTGCCGCAATGTTCGGTTGTATGTGCACAAAAATGGATATGCCGCAAGATGTCAGTCTTCTATGTATTAATTACCAGTCCTCTGGTTCATTCCATTCTCTTTGAGCTGTGGAGAGCAGTTGCCAACGGTACCTACAGGCGTTAGTACGGCACATCGTAAGAAAGCGTACAAGTGCAAGCGCTTACGATATCAGGGTCTGCGCAGTATCGGTTCAGTCGAGCGCACACTGTGAGCATGTCGCTTATCCAGTGGCATGACAAGCACAAGCGTTTCTCCGCGACCAGGTTAAGCCCGCCGTTCCATCGCCTTTCAGCAGCATGCCATGGCGCAATGGCCCAAGCGGAGGCGTTACAACATTGAGGATTAGGTGGTGGGCAACGTTGACGCCCACATGTCTATACGGCGCAACAAACCGAGCAAGACACGAGCAAGCGACACGTCCCCAAGCATGGCCAAGGAAACAGCCAGTGGTTGTACCGTGCAAACCGGCTCTTTCTTAGTATGGCGACAGCAAAGCCCGCTGCACAAACATCTAATCGCAACTGGACATGTCCAAGCCCAACCGCTGGAACCCGTAGAACGGCAGCACCTCGATATTCTCTTACGGGTTCTCACATACGCCAACGTAAGGCCCCAACTGGCCTCCAACTGGCATCTCACGTGCAATCCTTTCCCAGCGCTCAACAAACCCAACCCAACCGCTGCCATAATTGTAGCAAAGCAGGCGCCTAGCGCGCCCAACGCCACATGAAAACAAGTCCGGCGTACAACCAGTCCCATCACTCGGTCATATGTCTTACTAATCCTTCAGTGTCCACAGTCTAGTAGCTTCCAACCTGTGAGATGTGCAGCTGTACAGCAAAGGGTAACCCATTAGCGTCCTCTACCCTTAGTACCGTAACGTACCCCGAACCCCTCCGAACGGCACGCACAAGCTTCCCCAACCTCCACAAACCCCAACTAATGGCGACCCCAGCATCCCCTGCACCTCTTAGACCCAGACTCCTGTGCTCGACCACGCAAGCCCTACAGCTGGCCCTCCCTCCTCTATCTACTCCTACCGTAACCCCTTCCCCGAGTCCTGACCGCCCCGTTCCCCCTGCTACAGCCCCAGTTACCGCTGCATGTCATCCTGCTGCTGCTGCTGCTCCCCTTCCGCCACCTCTTCCACCTTTGCCCGCTTCTGTTGCTGCTCCTCCGCCCTTCCCTCCCCCGCCTCCTGCCCCTCCCCCTGCTGCTGCTGCTGCTCCTGCGCGCTCCTGGACGCAACGCCCAGCACCCCCGGAGTCATGCCGCTGTCGATGGTGCCGTACGACAGGAAGAGCTCTGCCGTACGCTCCATGGCGACACACACCCCCGGGTGCTGCTCGTCCTCGTAGCTGGGGGTTGGAGGGAGGGTGCGAGGGAGGAGGGAGGGTGGTGTGAGTGTGGCGTGTGGAAGGCGAGCGAGGTCGGTGGTGGCGGGGGGCAAGACTTGGCCCCTCCCAGCTTCTTCGGTCCACCCTGCTCAACCCCCCGCCTCTGTCCTCCATGTGCATGGCGCCTGCAGCCCCGGTGAGGGAGGTTATTACAAGTACCGCCGCCCCTCTGCCCCGCCCTCACCTCCAGGCCAACCCATCGTCCCTTATGTCCCCGTCCCCACGCCAGTGCCCAGCCCCAACCTCTGCCGGCACCTCCCGCCCAACCCAAGCCCCCAACCCCACCCCCGCGGTCGGCCTCACCCCTTGCGCAGCGCCTCGGGCGCCCCCACCTCCCACAGCACATCCCGCCCTCGCTCCGAGCCCGCAAGCACCAGCACCGCCTCGGCCATGCACTCCCGCACCCTTAGGGGGGAAAAAGGGCGGCAAGGGAGGGAGGTTAGGTGGGATGTCGGTTGGTAGAGCCGTAACCCCATATCGCCATACGCCCACTTGCCCACCCTTCCCGTCATGCAGACCGGAGTGCGCTGCCGTTCCCTCCCAGCTCTGCGCTCCCTCCCCTCCGCCCTCCCGCGCTTCCCCCTCCGCCTCACGTGTCCTCCTTCTCCAGCGGCTGCTGCCCGCTGATGGGCCGCAACATGTGGCGCAGCAGCTGCGGCTCCGACAGCACCGCCTCCAGGGTGCCGTCCTCCTGGGCGGTGGGGGTGGAGGAGGGGGTGGAGGAGGAGGTGCGGGAAATAAAGACGACCCAAAGTGTTGAAAGATAATGGTGGGAAGCGTGCGAGTCTGACGGCATGCCTGCCAAAGCTGAAGCATACCGCAGAGGGTATGCTGGCCGAGCATCCCTGTCAAGGCGTTCCCGGCTTTCCCGCCCATTCCAGCCATCCCTTCCCCTCCCCTCCTCGGCCCCCATGGTGAAGCCCACACATGCCGTGCAGCTGGTCAGTTCGTTCCGTTTCACCCCCCCGCCCCCGCCCCGCCCCCGCCCCCACCTCCGCCGACAGCACGCAGTTCTTGATGGCCCCCGAGGCGCCCAGCCGCCGCAGCGGGTTCCAGGCCGCCAGCTGCGACACCAGCGCCGCCAGCAGCCCGCGACCCGGCTGCAGCAGCAGCCGCCGCGCCGCCGCCAGCCGCGTGACGTTGGTGAGCACGGAGGCGACGTGCTGGTAGGGGTCGGCGTCGCCGGGGCAGAGCGCGATGCCGCTGGCCACGAACTTTTTGAGGAGGACGGCCCTGCAGAGGGCGGGATGGGAGAGAGAGAGGTGGAGGAGGGAGGGAGGGGAGGAGGTGGGTTAGGAAGCTGAAGGATGGTGGGTGAGTGGGTGTGAGGGTTGTGTGTTGGAGGTGGGTCCCGGGCCACCCAGCTTGCTCGCCCGCCCGGCCGTCCCAGCGCCCCGCAAACCAACGGAAACGTTACAACTCCCGGGCCTAAGCCGCCCTAAGCAGCCCGGGCTACCCACATGTGCAGGCCCTCCATGCTGCCCTGACCGATCTGCAACAGGTCCGTGCAGCCCTTTTCGCTGATTGTGACGTTGGCAAGCAGACTCGTCTGGGGAAATGCAGGGAAAGAAGGGTGGGAAGGAAAAGCGGTCATGTCTTGCGTTGAAGGATTCGACACACACACAGCAACTATGGGTTCTTCTGTAGCGCCACAAGGATTGCTGCCAAGGCAGCGTCACTTGTAATGCAAGCGTACACACCAAGACGACTTACCAGCAGGTCAACATGCGGTACTGACCCGTCGCGGATCATCTCCATGACCCGGTTAACGACGTTTAATTGCAGTAATACCTCCACAAATGTTGGGTCATGTGAAACGTTTACAAGCGCGACCAGGCTTTTCCGTGCAGCATCCCCGCCGAGGCCCACGGACCGGAACAGCTTTAACGCCAATGGTCGCTGCCGCGTCTTCACATTTTCGATGCCCTCAGGAGTTGCCGTCAAACCAGCAACAATATCAGCTGACATCTCGCGAACCTGCGCCGCCACGGCGACATTGAAGGATGCATTAGGGAATTGTCCGAAGAATTTTTGCCAGTTAACCGCTAAACAATGTTCCCGAGCATGGTTACCTCTGCACGAGGATGATCGAGGAAACCAATAAGTTCTTCTAACTCGGAAGCCGCCATTCCTCTCACGTTTGAGCGGCTTACAAATATCGAATAAACGTGGTTTTGCAAACAAAATACATTGTATTTGTTACTAGAAGTAGACAACAACGGATGTGCTTTGCCGTACGTCGTCCTGTTATCTGGTTTTCTGCCCTCCTGTGGGTCCTGCGCTAACACCCAAAAGTCATGCTACTTCCCGGTGCTTTACCCCGTGCCGTGGCTAATCTTGTACCCCCCCTAAAGTGGAGATGTAGTAAAACATGTTTTCGGGAAACGCACCTTACCCCTTTTAGCGGCTGAAGAGCTTACAAGGCCCGCAGCTACTACTCCGCAGCTACTTCTTGCATTTGCTCGGGGATAGCTTTTCCTGCCAAGGCCACGGGCCAGAAACTACACAGCTCTAAGTCTCACGAGGATTATTAACGGCTATCAAACACGCTTGTACTGCCAACTCACGGCCAAGCCACGCAACATCCACCCACGCCAGCAAAATTCCATGGCATAATCGGGCAACTGCACAGGAATTACGTTGCCTACAGTTTTAAGGACCGTAAATGAATGAGCTCAATCGTGCTCGTCCCAAACCCGGTAAACATCCATTGCCCAACGCCTTACAACCCCCACTGACATGAAACGGCCGCCGAGGCAAAATAAGTAAACCTATTTAAATACCACATAACAGAGCAAGCACTTTAGGATAGCAGAACACTGCAACATCGTCCCGTGATCCTTCAAAAACACCTTCACGCTTTATACGCAACACGCCATTGAGCCCACACAACTTTTGGGGAAAGTACTTGATGGGAAAAAGTTTCCATGCTCTTTGTGGCGATGCGTCTTTGCGGCATATACCATCGACTCCTACCTGGGGAACCCTCCACAGCAACGGGCTAAACCCGGGGACCCCAACAGCGTTTTCAGTGATCCACAGGATCGGTGTTCCCGCATTTGTTTCTTTGTCATTACGGCCACAGAGCCACTCAACGGGACGAAACAGCCACGACTTTGCCGCAGGACAAGCGACGCACAGCCGCGACTGCCGGTTCACGGGGTTGTGCTCAGGAAAGCCGCGCCCTACGCAGTAAGAACCAAACCGCCCCGTCCCCAACTAAATATAAGCACGCGACGCGACATCAGTTGTTTCCAGGGCAACGCCACACAGTACACCAACTCGTCTGGAACAGCCCCGTTTTCCACCAAAGAGAGAAACGAGCAAGCAGACGACCACAAACTGCCGGCATGGATGCCCAGGGGAAAGTCTCTTTCAATAGCGGAGCGGGAACCCGCATAAAAGACACGACAGGAACAATTCAAAAGTCAACCCTTCGCTGAAGACGCGCGTCTGAGCGTCCACCCTATCAAAGTGCGGCTACAGAGTAATACCTTCGTAATCTACGTACAAAGGCTTAGCTTAACATAAAACAACTCAGAACAAACGGCCGAGGCAGTATCCCCGTACGCGCAGTAAAACAATTGCACACGACAGCCAGCAAGTGGATTCGGGGCACCCGCCTACCAGCAGTCCAAATATGAGCATATCGACTATCGTCTTCACCGGCACCTTAACTCGAAACCAGACGCTGCTACTATCAACTGCACTTTAGGCTCCAACTGCGCTTTGCTCCAATACCAGGATAACTCTCTCTTGAGACCCCCCAACCATTGGCTTCTTACGCATCCTTGCCATCAAAGCCATAGCATGCATATTACATACTCATCAAACTCTACCACATGCGCCAAAGATAAAGACATCATGCCTACTAGCGCAACCCCACGCAGACATCCAAACAGTCGACAGTGCATGCGGAAGAACTTGAGAACTCCCTCCAGCCATCCACGCACAGGAAGCAGACTCCGCACAACACAATCCACCGCCAGGCGAAAGCGCGACAGGTGCCGCCAAGCGCCTTAAGAGCCCTGTGAAGCCCGCCCCACTGTAACGACGACCCCAAGCCCCCACAAGAAAATTACCCATACGACCGGGTGGCCCCCCCCAGTAAGAGGGCGCTGCCCCGCCCCCAACGCATGCGACGATAGAAACCGAGGATGACCGGGCAACTGAGAAGGCATGCCGCGTCATGTTCTTACTCCACGTGCGCCCCAATACGTACTCCGATCCAGTACCATGAACACGTGCCCTGCCGCCCACACTCTGCCCCTTTGCATGACCACTGGCGGGAGGGTCATGCCTCCCTACCAAAATGCAGCCTTCCTTCGACCAATTGCAACAACCCACCATCGCCGGGTCCAGCCAACCATTACCCGCGCCCGGTCACTGCCTCAATCGCCGCCGAACATGCAACTCTAACGAGCACTAAGTCGACAACTACTGCGAAGCGCTGTACAGCGACTGTGCAGCAACAACACCAACAAAAGGCCCAGCACCCATTTTGGAAGAACACGCAGTTATAAAGGTAGCCCTCCCCTGGGTTGCCTCCAACCACTGGGCAAAGCACTGCAACAAGGAACAAGCTATACACCTCGTTGCAGCTTACCTCCGCCCCTCATTCTCTCACGTGGCCATATGCGGGCACCAATACGTGCCGCGCATGCGCCAACAAATGCCCAAGGCAATACCCCAGACGGCAACTGTGACCGCAGGCAAAAGCCATAAGAGCTCGACTCCAAACTCTCACACTCTCGACGCTCTCTCGCATGCATGCAGGCCTTGCATCAGCATGTGCAGGCAACAGGGCGCTCTAGGCGCCCATTGCCAGCGCATAGCTTCTTGCTGTGGGCACGCATATGAAAGGACCGCACATGGCAAAAGTTGGATTGGCCAAACAGTTGAGCAAACAGCATTGCCACACGTCTTTAACCCATTTGCAGCAGCAAAGGCACAGCAGCAGCAGCATTACTCATAGCGAAAGCGAACCGGGATCCAATATCTAGAACTACTTAGTACCAGACGACATCCCCATCCCGCTTCTTGTGTCCCAACCTTGTCGTGTGGAAGCGCATGGTCTCCACCGCCCTAAGACGGCATGAGCCAATAAAGCACTTTCAACAAAGCCCGTCCTTTGCCATCCTACTCTGGAAACCACACTCCCCCCCATCGCCATGGTATGTATATTCAAAAATTGACGACAGCCTCACAGTACCTCGCTATGCTACCAGAATCCCAACCCAGCCCGGCAAAGCAAATTTGTACAGCTACTAAGCGCTTGCAGCTAGCCCTCAAACCCGAGCCCCACGTCACCTTCCGCCCCATCCCCACGTCGGAAACACCCCACCTCTCTCTCCTCCACCTGCACTCCCTCCTCGTCCCACCCCACCAGGTCAGTGGTTCCTCGCGGCTCAGTCTACCTGATCCCACCCCCCAGCCCCTCCTCACCACCACCGCACCCCACCCCCCCGCCTCCACACCGCACCCCACCTCAATGCTGCATTAGCGCCTCCATGTGCATCACGCACGCCGTCAGCTCCCCGTCGTTCGGCGTGTAGTCCGTCATGGTCTGCAGCACGGTGGGCCAGGCGGGCACCATGCCGCGCGCGCGCCGCACAACCAGCAGCGCCGCCGCGCCCACCAGCGACGGCCGCAGCCCCACCACCGGGCTGCATGCCACCTTGAGCACCAGCGTCTGCAGGTCCTTGCTGACACGGTCAATCGCCTTGAAGTCGGGCAGGTAGTGCCCCAGCCGCTCCAGGTAGAGCTGGATGACGCGCATGGGGGAGATGGTGGAGATGTCGTGCGCCAGCCAGACTAGCACGTTGCGCTCCATAGCAACCAACATGTCCGCTCCGAAACCCGTGAGGAGGGTGACCTGCTCGAGCTGCGGCCACATGGCGGGGGCTTCGACTTGCCGGGCGGCCAGGAGGAGGCAGCTGCAGAGGATGAGGGGCCAGGCGCCGACGTTGAGGGGCGAGCCGCAGCAGGAGACGCGGTCAAAGAGCTGCAGTGCATCGTACACGGTATCGTCCTTGAGCTGGAAGGCGGCGCCGTACTTGAGGGCGAGGTGCACGATCTGCGGCCGCTGGGCTAGGAGCGCCTGATTGCACAGGGCGGGGTTGACGCTGAAGAGCTGCTCGTACCTGTGGGGGAGGAGGAGGGGAATGATAGGGATATAGATATTCCGGATTAGCACTAGGCTAGGGAGTTGGAAGGTTGGGTTAGCGTAGGGGGAGGAGGCAGGAAGGTAGGGGGATTGCCGGAATGGAGGGGCGCCAGGAGAGGGAGGGATGAGGAAAGGTGTGGACGGAAGTCCCAGCCACATGCCGAATGCGCTTTATGCCACACTACCAAAACAACCGCATGCCGCATGAAGCCATGCCCAGGCACCTTCGGCGAACGGAACCAGGAAAGGGTTACTACACCAACTCATACCGCACTCGCCCCACGCTGCACCTAACCAAACTAGCCCGGCCCCCTCCCCGCCCCACGGTCACGGCCAGTGTTTCCTCGCGGCTCAATATATGTAATCTCCCCACCCCACCCCCCACCTCTTCACGGCATTGAACGCCTCAATGCAGCGAGCCGCGATGGCGACGTCCTCCGACAGCAGCAGGTCCAGCGAGATGCGCTTCAGCTGCTGGCTCTGCTGGATGTGCAAAAACTCGTTGAAGGCAGCCGAGCGCAGCCACACCGCCAGCGGCGCCGCAGCTGCCTCCAGCGTGATGGTCTGGTCAAAGAGGTGCATGGTGAAGGGCGACGCGTTGCCGGCCAGCAGCAGCGACACCGCCTCAAATATGCGCGCCGAGGGCTGCTCGGAGCGGTTCTGCTTGGATTTATGCAGCGTGAAGACCACCTTCTCGCGGAAGAAGCCGGGACCGTCCTTGAGCAGCTTGTTCCTGTAGGTGGGAGCAGGGAGGGAGGGAGAAGGGAGGGAGGGAGAAGGGAGGGGAGGGCTGAGAGGCAGACGTGTAAGGAGCTGCAAGTGAAGTAGCGCATGTGCTCTAGCAGCAGGCCGGCATGTCGAGGTAGGAGGAGAAGAAACGCAGGAGGAGGAACGCCGTGACTAGGACTTTGCACCATTTCCAGGCCGCTTGCCAAGACCCAGGCGACCCTGGTCAGCACAGGCTCCGGTGGCGCCCCTCCTCTCGAATCACCCACATCCACAGACACTCCAATCCAATATGTTTTTCCTCGCGGCCAGTTTTCTAAACACCCAACCCCACTCACTTGAGCTCCGACACCCAGCGCACCACCGTCACCACCGCCGCCCCGCTGGTGAAGGCCACCGTGCTGTACTGCAGCACGTTGCTGTCGTGCTTGCTGTTCGTGTAGATCCTGGGTGCGGGAGCGCAGGTGCAGGTGCAGGCGGGCAGCGAGGGAAGGTGAGAAGGGGGTGAGAGGGACAACATCGCATTAGCAGCTGATACGATACGCAGAGCCCCCTCTCCTCCAATGCTGGCAGGCAGGCCAACACAATCCCGCCGGCGCTGCACCCCATCCCAGCCTACCCGCCCCTTCAACCGTCCTGTACCTCCCCACCCCACCACGTACCCTCTCTCACCCCACTCCCTCCCTCTCCCACCCCACCTGAAGTGCCCGCTCCTGTTGGCCAGCGTCCACAGCTGCAGCGCCTTGGCCTGCGCCAGCAGCACCCCGCTCTGCCACAGCACCTCCATCAGGCTGTTGAACACGGCCGCGTCCGGGTGGCAGCCCTGCGCCTGCATCTGCTCAAACGCCTTGAGCGCGCGGCGCCACTGCCCGCCCCGCTCGTAGGCGGTGATGAGGCCGCAGTAGGTGATGCTGTCGGGCTTGCAGCCCTGCGTCTGCATCTGCTCAAACAGCTCGCTCGCCTTTTCCCAGTGCCCGCCTGTGGGTGTGGGTGTGTAGTTGAGTAGGGGGGGGCGGGTAAGGTGGGTGGTAAGTTTGGAGATGGGGGTCAAGGCGGGGTTGAGGCCTGTTGTTGAGCACCCAGCAGCCAAGGAGCTGTCGTTGCGGTGGTGGTGTTAGCCGGCCTCGGCTGCACGGGATGCCGACAATTCGTGTCTACTACATCGTCTCGTCGCAATGCCGGTGCATACCGGTAGTAGTTCTAGCACAGCCTGGCCCGCATACATCCCTTCAACCCCGTTCTCCACCCACCATGCGAGCAGGCGGCAATGAGGGAGTTGAAGGTCACCACATTGGGTTTGCAGTTCTCCTTGTGCATCTTGCTAAACAGCTCCAGCGCCATCTCCCACCGCCCCGCCTTCTCGCAGGCGCTGATGAGCGACGAGTAGGTGATGACGTTGCGCTCGCAGCCGCGGCGAATCATGTCGCGGAATATCTCCAGCGCCTTCTCCACCTGGCCCTTCTTGCCGTACGCGCTGATGAGGGCGGTGTACGTCGTGGCCGAGGGCTTGACGCCCGCCGCCAGCATTTTCTCGTACACTTTGAGCGCCTGCTCCGGCTGGCCCGACTTGTTGCATGCGGATATGACTGTGTTGTAGGTGCGCACCTCCGCTTGGATGCCCTGATGGAAGGTGTTGTGAGGTGGCGCGGGGGCGGAAAGAAGAGGAGGCGTGTGTGGGAGGTGTGGTGGAGAGCAAGGTGGAGTAGCAGGCGTGCTGCAAAGTTCAGCATGGCAAAGGGCGGGTGGACATCCCCACAGGAGCTGGTAAGCTATCGCCACGCCCTATGATACGACACAGGTGCCGACAGGTTGAGGCAGCTGGACAGTTCCGACACGTAGGTTGCTGTTGCGCCATCCCTGCCATCCCACCTCCCCCCCATCCACTCAACTCCATTCACCAGCCCCCCCCTTACCTGCTTCTCCAGCGTGTCCAGCACCTTCACCGCCTCCTCCCACTGGCAGCGCTTCACGTACACGTCGATCAGGATGTTGTACGTCACCTGCGACCAACACAACCGGGCACATAGGGTCGTATACACAGTCCCCAGCCTCAAGCTAGGCTTCTCTTTGCCCGCATGGGTTTCGCCCTAGCCCACAAACCCACCCACACTCACATTGGCACGCTGCCCCAATACCCACACCCGTCCCAAATCCCGCCCCGGCCCAGCCCCCACCGGACTCTGACCCAATCACACGCGCACCCAACACCCACCAGCTCCTCCTTAACGCCCCCACCACTTCCCTCATCGCACCCCACCCCACCCCAACACCCCCCGCACCAGGTTGGGGCTGCAGCCCTCCTCCAGCATCTGCTTGTACACATCCTGCGCAAGGTCCAGTTCGTTGGCCTTTATGCACACGTTCATCAGCGCGCTGTACGTGTGCACGTTGCAATCGATGCCGCGGCTGCGCATCTCCGCCACCAGCTCCAGCGCCCGCCGCAGCTGCTGGTGCGAACCACACTGGCTGATCATGGTGGTGTAGGTGTAGCTGGGGGGGGCGGAGGGGGCGGGGGTGGGGTGCGTGGCGAGGGGTACGTGGAGGGGCAGGGAAGGGCAGGGAAGGAAAGAGAGCGGAGCGTGAAGGTGGAGGTGCGGGGTTGGGGGAGTGCTCAGGAGGTAGGGGGAAAGGGTAAAGAGGAAACAACTAACTGACTGAGGGATAAGGCGTCAACATGGGTTGCAACATGTGAGCCAGCCCGACCCGCCCAGCCCAGGGGGAAAGGGGGAGAAGGTGTTCGCCTGCTTTCTGTAATCTGCATAGCTCCCCGGGAGCACATTGGTGTATTGCGGTATCATGTGCTTTGGTGAGTTCGTTAGTAGTGAGTGCGCAGGCTCGGGCATCAGGACAAACACATCGTCGCTAGCCAACTCCCCCACCCCATTTCCCCTCCCACCCCGTCGGCCCCAGGCAGCTTACAGGTCGCACAAGCCTCCGAGCTCGTGGCCGGGCTCAAGGGCCCGGAGCCAATCGAAAATCTCGACAGCGCGCTTCAGGTAGCCCTGCTTCGCCAGCTCCTTGAGCAGGGCCGCCATAGCGGAGCTGTCCAGGTAGTAAAGGCCCTGCTTAATAGCCTCAACGGCGGACTCCTGCGTTGCGACCGAAGTAAGTTGTTAGCGCAACATATCAGATGCCCCCCAAAGCAGCGGAACACACCTGTGGAGCAAGCTTGAGGACTATCTTCAGTAAATCCTCGACCGTCATGTCTGAAAACGCCAGACCCATGTTGTCCTGAAGCTTTTGGCCTTTTGAAACTTTGGTCACCTGTTGCCATAGCCTGCGATAGCCCTGACCGCGCTGCGGGTGCTTTCGTGGGCTTGAGCCATCTTTATTACTGTTCTGCGGAGGCCGGTACGAGGTACCCGGCCCAGCGGCATCACCAGAGTTGTCCTGTGCTAGGCTTGCTGACAAGCTTCGTGAAGCGGGCTCCAGTGGGCCATCGACGCGGCCGCTGGCCGCGTGGCCATTAGGGTCAGTGTTAAAAAACACTGGCGCCTCTGCAGCGCTGTTTAAGCTTGATAACAGGTCCGGGCAGGAGGACAAGTGCGAACTGTAAACACTATCCAAATCCTGGGCACTGTCAAGGAACTCTGCGCCTACGTCCCGGGTTGCGCTTCCTTTGCCCTGTGCCTTGCCGCTGCTGGAAGTAACTGGAGCGTCAAAATCGACATTGTCCGTCGTCAGTATGTCTGTTTGCGTGAGCCAATGCTGAGGTGCCGCTGTATCCGAGCCCAACGAGGTACTGTTGAGCAGGAGAGCAAGGCTCTCGGTTGGGTCCCCGCGGGCTTGCTGTGGCCCATCCGTAGGTGCCGCCATGATCCTGTTGGTCCTATGAAGCTGTATGCGCACCCGCTGCTGTTAACAGCGCAGCACAGGCGGCGTAGACAAAATGTGACTCCTAATGCCTCGTTACCTTTGGGCCTGAGGCTCAATCCCTTAACTAGGATATTGTCTAAAGCCCATTATCAGGAAGAAGATTGTAGCAAACGAAGACGTAAGGTGCTTCCCTATACTGGCCCAGCTCAAATTGTACCAGCAATGCAGTACAAGCTTTCCGGGAAACAACGACCCGGAATTAAAGGTGTGAACAACAGTATGGCAGGTATGCGGAGTGTCTTGAACACCCAGCATCATGCAACGTGTACGACACAGTTGCCTTTACACGACCTTTCCTGCAATCGAAGGTTACCTTCGATAAGTACCTTACTAGCGAGGATTGAAGCAATGCTATTGTCCTCTAGGTCATAAATATTAGGCGTGGAGGCTGAAGACACGTAGCATATAGGCCACAGACCAAGGCAAGTTGTTTAGGAACTTCTTTGCTGCGGCCAAGTCGTGGCGTCCTGATGCATGCGTAGAGTAGAACTCCATTGACACTACACTGCTTGCTGAAAGCCTTGGGTTTTGAACCAAACCTGTACGTACTTTGACTGGTTCACGTAAATGCCAACCATGGCCAGACAGCCTGAGGCCGGGGCATTAACACCATGCCAGGGTTATGCTTCATCGCTTGACAGCGCGTTGATGCATGCACCAGTGCAAGCTCACTAAGGATTCCTGCCTACGCGGGAATGCGTAGGTGCACTTAGTCGTCATACGTTAAACCTACCTTCTGTCAACGCGGCGGCGCTATGGTACTGCATCAATGCCCGCATGCCCTATGGCGTCAGCCGTGTCTCTCCTTGCCATCGTGCTTATCCATGACCTTGTGCCGCTGACGGGGTGTTCATATCAGCCAGAATTCTTAAGGAGGCAGTGCCAATGGAAGGGGATGCAGAATGGCTTTGCAATTTCGACGGGCAATCCATGTGGACTAAAAGGACCTGTGGGCCTCGTCCTTGTATAGGCAGGGCTCCTGAGAGCTTCTCTGTCAGCATTGATCAGCGCTAACCATGACTGTCCTGGGTGGTTTGGTATTGCGAATTGTTAGCCTGTACTTGTCGCGCAATGTGGAGAAAGTGTTGTGTTGGCGATGCAGAACTTGATAAGAAACATGCCAGCGACGGAGGTACGCCTGCATATTAAGGTGGCCGGACTCGTGCACTCGCTTTGGTTTCTGAGGGAGGTTAGGATACCGGTACCGTGTACGCACGTCGAAAGGGCTGTTCCCAAGGCATTTGGTGTGTTGTGTGTGGCACAGTGCTGGTCCTTCCCAGCGCGTAGGCCCATGCACCTTTCTTTGGCAATTGCTTGCTTCGTGCAACATCAGTGCACAATTTGGAGTACAGAACCGAAGGGGAACCTAGGGGGTTTACCATTAAGTACAACGAAATTGGCGCTTTGCTTAACTGTAACGACAATTATGTCGTCGCGCCAACGAAACAACTGCTGGTTAAGACTGAAAGTCGCATGGCAATCCGTCGACAGACCATGACGCCTCGTATACTATCAATTAACGATGAGGGATTGAGGCCCGGCTTATGGAATATGAAGCGTATGTATGTATGTATGTATGTGTTACAAGCTTCGTACCGAGCTCGTAAGATCCGTCCGAGCCAGAAGGCTCATGGATCGCGAGCACAAAACGCGAAAACAACCAAAAGAAGAAAAGTAAACAAAAGAGACAACAAACAGAACGCTAATCATATGATAAACCCTGTCTGCGCAATCCTGCGACTTCGCATGCTAGTGATTACGCTAGCAAGCAACGCCTGATTCTCCATGCCCATGACAGCAATCATATCAGCATCCCGTGAGACACCACTTTCCCATATCTTATCACGCAAATCATCGTAGACGGGACATTCAATGAGGATGTGTTTCTCATCTTCCACTCTCCCCGGCGACCCCTGCACGGCACACATAGGACAGACACGCGCTACTCGTTGTCTACCCCTAGGGCGATTGGCTTCAATGCCCCACACACACAGCCGAAAACGCATCAGGTTCACATGCTGCCGCTGAGTAATGTACCCCCTGTCAACCGGGTCACCCATCCAATTTTTGTACCTGCACATCTTAACTCCAACCCCTGGTACGGGGTCTACTGGGTTGAAGAGCCGCGGGTCATCTTCCAAACTCCTATCCTCCCAATCCGCATCCATTCTATCAGCAAACTTTTTAGTGAGAGCAGACACGTTTAGCTCCGTGCCAGCAATACGTTCCACACGCGCATCCAAGTCCAACTCACCCCCCAAGGCCGTCAAAGCAGCCAGGCCGGAGGCCAGTTGTCGTATCAGTCGCTTCGGCCGTTGGTTAAACGGGTACTGTGTAGTTAAACCCCAGATAGGCAGCGGATAAATCGACTAAGGATGTTAGTTACATGCTACAGCTTTTTGGATGCGATCAGGGGCTTTTTGGATGGGAAAGTTTGTCCTTTTAAACTATTGTTGTACCGTCCAGGTACAAACTAACCGCCAGAGTTAGCGTGGGGACAGAGCCAAGCATAGTGCTTAACTGATTACACTTAATAGCCTACCCAGCCTTACTGCAGGGCAGACTGCGCAAAGTCGAAGCACTGGCCAACCATGAGCCCGAGCCTGGCTTAGCAACTCGAATCCTTGAGATTAACACAAACCATATAAGGGCATGTCCCTTACCTGACATGAACCGGACGAATGCAGCTGCTTAAGTCGTAACGCTGTAACATGTGCTTCGTTTCTTGCTTTACGCCAAGGCGCTGCGATGATGCGCGTCATGCAACTCCTTACCCACAGCCAGAGACGCCCTATGTTGACGGTGCCGTCGGCGGTGCAAGCGGGACTGAGCCCCTTGCGCGCGGCGCTGCGAATCAACTCTTGCAGAGTCAAGCGGTAAAAAGCTATCCTGAGCGTGGCGCCTCCACTGTTGTTTCCCTGCGTACTCGACCATCTCCAGATTCGACGATGGCGAACGATGCCTTAATGAGCACCAGCGGCAGCCTTGCCACCGTGCATACCGCCGTTACTGGTAATTGTGCCTTGGTAAAAGGTGTTGGTATCAACCAGCTTATCGCCGCCAGCACGCAACAGCTATCGCCAGCACCGCCCAGCGTCCTCGCCCATCCTGCTCCAAGCCTCGCCAACAGCAGCCAAACCGCCCCCTACCGCAACTGGGTTTCCATTTCCATCGACACGGTAGACATGACGGGCAATGCCGAGGTTCCGAAGACTGCTGGCCCCATCATTGGCTCAGCTGCCCCGGCAGGAGCTGCCCCGGCGCGATGCCAATCCCTGCCACTGGAGCTTACAACCCCTCCCGCAGCAGCAGCCCCCTCCCAGCAGGCACGACCGGCGGCGCCAGCGTATCGCCTCAGGAAGCCCAGCTCCACGATGCTGCTGGAACGTGGGGACGTCTCCTCCACATTGCCACCACAGCCACAACCTCCTGTGGGGGCCATGTTGGACCTCTCTCGGGTTCGGGACCACGTCACGGAGCTGCGGCCGCTGTACATAAGGCCTGGCGCCGCGCTGCTGCTGGGCAAGTAGGGGGGTTGAGGTTGTTGTACAGGGGCCTACCGGAATGTCCCGCGCTCCTCCCCTGCATGTAGCAGCAATGCTAGCCACGTCTGCTTACTGATATCGTGGCGCTTAGAGAGCGCTGGGAGGCATGAGAGCGCCGCCAGGGACGTTGTTGTTGTGTTTGCTGCAAGCGGTGCTGCGGCCGTTTTTTCCTGTCAGAACCTCTAAGGACCTGTGCACCTCGAGCCGCCATTCTTACCGCCATTCTGGTCCTGCCCCCCCACCGCTCCTTCCCGCCCCGGTCACCCCGGCTGCTGCAGGCAAGGCCACGGCCTCGGGTGAGCCCCTGGTGGCCCGCTTCGAGCGCGGCCGGCCCGACATGCTGCTCGCACCGCCACTGCTGCACGCCCTGCAACACCGCCGGCCGCCGCACCACGCCAACGTCCTCTCCATGCTTGGCGTCTACACCGTCCAGCTGTCACCGCCTCGGCAGCTGCGGCTGCCTAACAACGCACCGCCCGCGCTGCCCGCCTTGGCGCCCATTGCCATCCCAAGCGCACCTGCCGCAGCATCCACCGAGGGCGCGAGCCGGGAGGTGGTTGGCGGTTGTGACGATGGTAATGACGATGAGGGTGGTGCCCGCAGCAATGGCGCTGAGGAGGGCGGTATGGATGGCGAGGGCGAGAGCGAGGCGCCAGGGACCTGGTCAGCATGTGAGGACCTGCTGACTGCGACGCTGGCGCTGCAGCAAGCCGGCAGCGGCGGCGCTCGAAGCAGTGCTGCCGGCGGCGGCTGTGCTAGGACGGCAGCGGGCGGAGACTTGCCGGGCGCGCCGGTAGTTCTGTCCACTGCCGGCGTACATGGCGGCAGTGCGGCTGCCGCTGCTGGTATGACCGCCACTTGCAGCGCGCGGCTGCGTAGGGCCATGCAGAGCCCCCAGGTGCTGCTGCGAGACGTGGTGGGGCACCTGCGGGAGGGCGGCGGTGCGCAGCCGATGGTGGGGGAGAACATGAATGAGAAGTGCAGCAACCAGATGGGGGAGGGCGGCTTGGGCAGACGTGCCAGCGCCGGCGGTGAAGGAGCTGGCAGCTGCAACTGCGGAGGTCATGGTGTCGAGGAGGCTGCGGTTGACGCCTGTGACGGTTCTGGCTTTAACAGTGCACGAGAGGGAAGGTGCCAGGAGGAGGAGGGTGAAGTTGCGGGTGGTGGCGCGGGTGGTGGCGGCTGCGTTGGCGGCAGCGGGAGCAGCTGTGGTGGTGCTGCTGCGCTCGCTACGCTATGTCTTTCGGAGCTCTGCAGTGGAGGCAATCTGTTTGACGAGGCACGGAGGGGCGCATTCAAGTGTCTACTGCAGGAGCTGTACGACAGAGCCTCGCATGCCGCGATCATCGTTTCGGATGCGGACCTCTTTTGCCGCGTCGAGCGGTTCATAGCCACAGCTCGAGAAGTCGCCCAAGGCTTGCGCTACCTGCATTCCGAGTACGGCATTGCGCACGGCGATTTAGTCAGCCGCAACGTCCTGCTGCAGCGCCACACGTCGGAAGATGACCCATGGGTCACCCGCGGGTATTCCGCCAAGCTCGCTGGGTACGGCAGGCTGGAGATGCTGCCGACGACGCCGACGCAACCTGCCCCACCGTCGTCCAGCTGGAACAAGGACCGAGATAGCGGCGGTGGCGGCACCGGCGCTACGGCTGCAACCGCTGGCGGCAGTAGTGGGGAGGTCGCAAGCAGCTGCTTGCAGCAGCTCTCGGCTACCTCCCTGGCGCGTGTCAATACGGTGCATGTGGGGCTATGGCGCGACGTGCATTCCCTGGCACCAGAGCGATTGCTGGACCCTCATGCGCCGCCCACGTGCCAGGCTGACGTGTATTCGTACGGTACGGTGCTGTACGAAATGGCAATGGGAGAGGCACCGTGGGCGGACATGACTCCAGGTATGCGAAGGCGGGGTGCACCCCTTACGCGTTCCGGCTTTCCCTGTGCTGCGTTTGTTGGGGTTATCTGCCGCTCAGGCGGGTCGGGCCTAGGTGCGCGTTGATCTCTGGCGAAACGCGCCATGGTACGCTTACAATGTGTACCTAAAGGTCTCACAGCATGTCCTTGTGCATGCACCATAGCACCCCGCATCCCCTCACGCACGCAGTGCTCCCCCCTGCCGCAGCCTGCGTCGCCGTGGGAGCCGCCACAGGCGACTTCCGCATCCGCTGCCGCCAGCCCCTGGCAGCACCCTCCATCGCGGCACTCATCGAGTGGTGCACCTCCCCGCGTCCCCAGGAGCGCCCCTCGCTGCAGCAGGTGTTGGGCGCGCTGGCAGCGCTGGAGGCGGAGGTGGGGGAGGGCAGGAAGAATACCCAATGTGTTGAATGAGGATGGCAAACAGGACGACAAGCTGGTGGAGGAGGGCAGGGAGCGAGCGGTGTGGCGGCGGCGGCGGCGGGAGTAGCAGCGGGTGATGAGGGCGTTCTTGGGGTCAACGGAAGGCGGTGTGGACGGCGACGCGAGAAAGTCTCAGAGGGCTGGTTTCAAGGAAGGTGGGGATTTGGCGAGATGGTGGCGAGGGATGGTGGTAAGGAGGTAAGGTGGTCAAGTCGTGGTGAGCGTGAATGGTCCGGGGGGAAAGCTGTTACCCCCACTCACCACACAGGCAGGGTGGTAAGGGCTGCGCCCGTAATATAACTGCGCAAAGGAATTCAACGACGGTCGTGCGCACGATTAAATTGTGCCATGAACCTTAAAACGGTTGTTATGCGTGGAAGCTAGTAGCGAGTTTGTACAGCTTGCTGGGTCGCGTATCCTGGTTCGAACGAAGGTATTGCTGGTATTGCTTGGGGTTTTCCGGTGGTGGGGTACTTGCATGTTGCGGTTCCCTTTAAGTCGCCAGGATGGCCTAGTGCTTTAACTGCATGCAGCTCGTACTCCTTATAGCCTGTCGTATTGAATATGTTTTTTGGCGGTGCGGTCTTTGTTGGGCGTCAAAAGCGCAGGTATTGGCCCTGGATGACTGGATAGGGAATCGTACATGTTTTTGTGTGCGCGTCTTCGCAAAAATTTTTGATCGGCTTGTCATTACGCATTACTCGCAATTTCGCAGTGGACCCAATCCCTGTCCGGCAAAACGTTGTCTCCAAGCTGTCAGTCCTAATCGCTGGCTTCGTAAGTTATCGCAGGTACTGTACATTAATCCTGGAATTGCCGTACCGGTACTCATGCCCTGGCATGCGCCTCCGTATATGGTACTTATGCCTTCCTTGCCTGCTCGTTGGTGCGGCTTACGTGCATACGTCCCTGAGGCGTGTTTAGGCGTTGTTGCTAAGGCCTCCTGGTCGTTGTGGGTTGGTGAACCTTATCCTAGTAACGGTGTTTGTGCTGAATGGGAATCCCGTTATTGTCCTTTTCTCTGCACTTGCAAAGAAGGGCTATCCTTTGGGCTTTCGAAAGCAGTAACCATCCGCGGTTTCAGTACTCGAGAAGAAAACATACACGCAGCTCAGTGTTGTCTTGGCATTGCGGGTTAGCAGGCGTTGCCCATGCTTGTTTGCTTGCTGTGGAGGGCAGGCGGCACTGCGCAGTTACGAGCGTGCAAGCGCGTTCTTTGCAGGGGCGCCGTTGAGGAAGATCTGCTGTTAGGGACGATCATACTTTTGTTGTTGGTACCAGGCCTAGAGGCCTCGTATTGGAACGAGGTTGAGGCTTCTCAGGGGCCTACTTGCACAGGGGCCTACATGCCCTTTGTGCCAATTTTGATTTTAGTATTTCTGGCGCCGTTGTCTTGTGCTTTTCGGGCACAGGGGTACCTGTGATATCCGCCGCTTCTGGCAATCAACCACCCATGCGGCTAGCTACTGATGGCTGCGGCAGGGGGAGTCTACTGTTGTATCGATCGGAAGTCCATTAGCACCCAGGCGCATTTGCGACGCTGGTTTTGTCATGCTCCGGTCAAACCGTCCGTGTGCTGTCTGCTGGGGGTTGGTTTTGTCGCGTTTTCCCCGGGTTTTAACCGAAATAAGTTGGCGCCTTACGTTGCGTACATGCTGCGCGCCATGAGGAGAGACCACTCAGTTTCCGATGTTGTGTTGGGATGAGGTGTAAGGGGCGATGCGCAATCCGTATTTCTGCATGCAGAAGCCCCGGCCCTCAGCGGCCCTCCCTTTGCTCCTGGTTGCAGCTGTAGGGTTGACAGCAACTCATATGCACTGTGCCTTGCCTAAACGTTCTCGGCCCCTTGTGTCCCTGTCCTTCGTTTGTAATGTGGCAGCGGTGGTGTGCGCTCTCCTGGAGCTGCGGCGTAACCATGAGGCCTGCCTGGATAATGCCAGGTGACTCTGTCGGGGGTGTTTAAGTTGGAGAACTGTTTGAATAGTTTAAAACGTGCATTCGTATTTGGGCAAAGCCGTCATGTCCGTCTATGCCTGGGTATTCGGGCCTGGCCGGTTGAATTTGAGGAAGCACTGGTTCTCGAAAAGAAGCATTGGAAAGGGGCCCCACACAAGTTAACCTGGCTATCCATGTACTGGTCCATTGCGCTGTCTACTAATCGTGTGTCATACAGTGCTGTATTTTAAGTTCTAACTGTACGGATGTACGGTGTTGTCGTCGTACAACTCCGTACCGCTTACTAATTGCTACCTGCTACAACCGCCGTAGTGAACTGAAGTTATGCTTTCGTAAGCTTGGTGCCGCCGCTTGATTGTGTGCATGGCTGCCGGTATCCGTAATCAAAATGCTACTGCAATTAATCTGGACTGATGGGAGCGAAGTGTTTGGACAGGAAGCCAATAAGTTCAACTTGTTCATTGTAGTCACCATTGTAACACCATCGGAGTATTATGTTGCCATATCCTGCGGCTGCTGGTTGTAACACGTTGTCTTCAAGCCAACCCAAGGGGGCCTGTGCGCAACCCGCCATGAATTTAACCGGTTTAAGCAAGGAAGGTGCCTCAACCATGCTTGACCCGTCATAGGACACGAGGAGGGGCGGACAGTCGGCCTTTCCCCCAGGGATGGCGCCTTTCGCTAGCACTGACATGCCCCGCTTAAAAGCCGTGTCAACATCAGTGTGATATGTCCCCACCTGTAGCACCTCTAGCGGAGGGCCCTATGGCCTTCAGCCAAACAGGTTACCCAGACAGACAGGCAGAGGAAAGCCTACCAGCCACACAGCAGTAGCAACGCGAAGAACAAACATTTCGAACTGCAGGTCTGTATCCGCCGGCACACGCACAAGAGCACTGGCAAGTTCCTGGACACTCTAGACGGCCGCCGCACTGTGCCGTGCGCCAGGTTCCGCCGCTGCTGCTGGTTCGCGCCATATGCTCCTGCTGCTCCCAACCTGCTGCACGCAGCTCCCGTGCGTCCTCCACCTAGCTACACGCGGATGGCTCTCTTGCGCTCCGCCTCCTGCGCTGCCGCCTCCGCCTTCTTGTGGGAAATGAAGTCCGCGTAGGGTTTGGGGTGGTGGGCCCAGCAGGGCTTGGCGTAGAAGTCCTGCGGTCGCGGGAGGCATGGCAGGTGTACGGCAGTAGATGTTTTGGGGATGCAGCTACAGTTACGGCCTGAACACGCTACGTACGAGCCAATGGACCAAGGGCGCTATGCGACTAGATGGCATGGAATCCGAGGACGGCAGATGGCGGTGGCTACGGAAGTTACAGTTCAGTACGGATGGCCCGATGCCTGCGCATGATCAGCTTTTCCCGGAACTGCAACGATAAACAACGGGCCGTCGAGGTCCCACATGCAAGGACAAACTTGCCTTGACTTTGGGCACGTGCTCCTGCACCAACACCTTGCCCTTCTCCTTCACGGCCCCATGCTGTAAGTGTCGTGATGTTGTACGGATTCGCATTGTCGTACACATCCGGGTCGTCGTACACGCGCGCGTGTTGCGATGAGTGCAATAGCAAGATAGGGATTTGTTGCGGAAAGGGCGGCGGAAGGGGTCATACGAGGTAAAAGTAACTGAAGTATTAAATTGTTTACGGGTAAAACGGACAAACGGTACACTGTTTGTTAGCCCTTAGGCCGTAGATGCCCACATCTTGCCTTCCGCCAGACAACCCACCGTCCCGTCTTTGCTGCCTTGCCAAACCCCTACACATGATGCCCTGCAACCCCGCCACTTCCCACCTCTTCCAGGATCTGCATGACCCCCGTGTGCCCCATGTTGCTCGCCCAGTGCCAGGGCCGGTCGCCAGCGTTGTTGCTGGCGTTGGGTTTGGCGCCCAGGCGCAGCAGCAGCCGCACGCCCTCCTCCCAGCCCTCGAATGCTGCGTTGTGCAGCGGCGTGTTGCCCGCAGCCTCCACCTGGTTGACGTCAGCACCCTCCCCCACCAGCTGCTCCACCACTGCGGACAACGGTGTCAATGTTAAATGGATGATGGACCAAGTCACCTCGACAAGGAATTACTATGGATTATTGTAGTAAGCAAGCAAATATTGAGTATGGAGGAAGTAGGATAGGCGATGCGGTAGATGCAACTTACGGGCAGCGTTGCGGTTGCAAACTGCCCGATGGAGACGCATGTCGCCAACAAGGCCACACCCACGGATGCTGCCGCCGCCGTCTTCTTTAATGCCAACAGGGCCGCGCCATGATGGCAGAGAGGTGTCGCTTATTGTTGACCACCAGTCCATTGTTCTCGGGTTAGGGCGAATTATATATGACTAAGAGACGCAAAAACGGTAGACGGTAGCACTCAGAAGCCATGAACAGAAGCCATGAGCTAAACATGTTTAGCTTTATGGTCCAAGCCTGATCCATCCTAGACTGTCAGGGGCAAGGCGAATGGTTCTTGGAGCTGCCAACCGCGGCAACAACGGAAACGGTCTTTGGGACGTATAGGGCTAAACTAGCACGTTTTTTCGATTTTAATAGTAAGTGTTTGAAAGCGTAATCTTGGTGCAGTTCGCGACTTTCTGTGGGAAACAGAACCTCGGATGGCGCTGAAGGTGCTCGGGTATTGAATGCGCATAGGAACAGAGTTATGGCCAAAGTTTGTAGCGAAGTTTATGCTGGAACGGAAAGCAGGTGGAAAAGGGGCAGTGGGGCAGCTCCTGGTAGCAAGCATAGGTTTGGGCGCGGAAGTGGTAAAGTGTACTGAGTTATGTAAGCCTTTTGTGCAAATACAACTGTACATTTCCCGTCGAGATGATTAGCCATATCAGTTTCTCCTTGCCTGCACATAGCGCCAAAATTGTACCTATACGACGACGACTGACACGAGGCATAGATGGGGAATGCACCGAAGCCCGGACAGACACGCATGTACAAATGACAATACAATTAGCCTAAAAATGTCCACCTGCGGCTGCACAGTGCTGTTGCGTCCTTGTTGCGCCTCGAGATGTTGCAAGCGTCCTAATACATGAGACCACGTAGCCGTTCCATTAGCTTACGAAGCGTAGCTAACGCAAAAATCCGGGCACTAACAATACATTATCTAAGACGGGAGAACACCCAATGCCATCAGTCTTCGTCGGTGCGAAGGCCGGCATGCCATCGGGTACCCGGCAGCTGATGACCGTATCACGGTCTCAAGGCACTGTTAAGTTCCTCTTGGCGCATGCAAGACTCTGAAGCAACGAGAATGTTCGCACGCGGGCCCCATAGGCAGCCCAGCCGGCGCCAGCCACACCCACTGCTCCAACCAGCAGTGCCCCAGCGACCGCTGCTAGTCCGGCAGCAGCCCCTGCGGCGCCTCAATTCGGCATGTCTCATAGCACTTATACTCTTGACAATTCTTCTGGTCAACATACATGCCGTCAGAACAAATTCGCCCCATCATGGCCATCGTCAGCTCCAGGACCAGCTCATCAGGGTCACCGCGTCGCCCTCATCACGCCCCCTGTGCGGAAATCGCACGCAAGGGTGGTATGCGGTTGGCTTGCTGCCCAATCCCTTAGCAATGTCAGCAGACGTGTTCGGCAGCACCTACGACGCCAACGGCCTTCCACGGCAATGCGATGAAAACACCGTCCTAGCCGCGACTGTTGACACATTCAGCCTGCCCAGAAACCTGCAAAATTTTACGCTGGTAGCGGTGCTCGAATGGCCACGTCGACCGTCAGAAACTGGCAACAGCATCACTAGTGACGGTAAAAGTAGCAGCAGCAGCACCTGGGCTGAGCTGCTTACGGCAGGTGGCCTAAAGGTGCAATGGGACTTATCCACAGGTACGCAGCCTGAACTCCTACTCTCGCGATATGGCGTATGGGCTGATAGCGGCGGGATGCACCTGTGTATGTCCCAGCCGCCTTTCTTCGGTCTCCCTGTCTTGCCTGCTTCCCACATGCCTACATGCATGCATGCATGCTGACCTTCCTCCTCAGGCAACATTCGGCTCCTCGCCTCCTGGGCCCCGGGTGCATCCGTAGTGTTCGCAGCAGCAGCAGCCACAAGCAGCAACACCAGCACTGCTACTGCTACTAACACCAACACCAACACCACCGCTGCTGCTGCCACTGCCAGCAATTGGCCGGTGACGGTGGTCTCCCTCAGCCGCCGGGCGGACGGGGCACTGGGGCTGTGTGTGAATGGAACAGCTGCCAGGATGCTGCAGGTGGGTGGGTGGGTGGGTGGGTGGGTGGGTGGGTGCGGTGCGAGGAGGGATGGGGTAGAGGGCATGCAGGATTGGAGGAGGAATCTCAGTGAAGCGGCGGTGGGGTTAGTGGCAGGATTCCTCCAAACATGTCAGCTGAATGGGTGGCGTCGGGAAGATGAAACCCGGGTTAAGTTTGGTTTGGACGAAGGCCTGGAGGGCCTGTTGGGAATGTCTGGGGTCGGCTGTGGACGACCCCGACGACACTGCATGTCCTAGTAATAAATACATACAAGGAGTTTGCACACAAACATAACCTGCCCCAGTCCCTCATGTTCCTTAGCTACCGCCTTTCACTGTGCCCCCTTCCAAACCGACCTGGAATCATCCTTGACCCCCTGCCTCCACACCACCTGCGCCCCTCCGCAAACCCTCAGCGTCCCATCGGATCCCTGCTCAGCAGCGGCGGCGGAGGCTGGCTGTACGGCAGCTCTCATGGATCCGGCTGGTCCCTCGCCGCCGCCGACAACCTGCAGCTGGGCGACGCCGCCGCCGCCGCCTCCGTCACCACCCGCATTTACCAGCTCTGGCTCGTCACAGCCGCTTGGAGCTGTAGCGATGTAGCAAAACACATGTCGTACGGCAGCAACGGTGGCGGCGGCGGAACGGGCGACGCCGGTTTTAGTGGAGTCACTGTCGGGCAGGCAGCGGCGGTGGAGCCAGCGGCGGCAGCTCCCCTCCTGGTGTCGCAGCCCTACTCCAACAGCGCTCCGGTGTTGGTACGGTTGGTGGCAGCGGTGGCTGCAGGCGGCGGCACGGGTGTGGAGGGGGAGGCGTTTGTGGGGGAGGAGGTGACGGTAACGGGGGAGGTACGGGACGAGGAGGGGGACGGGCTGCGGTTGCGGATGAGCTGGTTCGGAGTGACACCGAGGTGGGTGGGCGGGTGGGATGGGGTGGGCAGGTTGGCGTGAGTACGGCAGTTAAAGGGGTTGAGGAGGGGGGTTGGGTTGGGTTCTGGTGTAGGGGTGTGTATGCCATGGTGTGCTGTGCGCACCATCTTTACCCTGAGCCCGCCGCTGTTGGGGATTTTGATGTGGTGATGTGGTGCTGTCGTCGGGGTTGGTACCGGTGGGTCCCGGACTCGTGTAACCCGTGTTACTGTGGTCTCCTTCCCCACGTTACCTCTGTTGCTGTGTGTATACTTGTCCTTTGCCGTCTTGCCCCCGTCTTGCCCATTGCACCGCGCCCCT